CGTTGAACTCCTCGCCACAACCTCGTAGCTTCACCTCAATCAGCAGCAGCAGTTGCACGAGGGGGGTTCTGTATGGGATGAGAGGGGGTTCTATATGGGATCTGTATGGGATGAGTGGGTTCTATATGGGATCTGTATGGGATGAGACGAGGGTTCTGTTATGGGATGAGGGTTCTGTATGGGATGAGAGGAGGGGCTCTGTATGGGATGAGACGGGCGTTCTGTATGGGATGAGACGGGTGTTCTGTATGGGATGGGATGAGGGTTCTGTATGGGATGAGACTGGGTTCTGTATGGGATGAGGGTTTGTATGGGATGGGAAGAGGGTTCTGTATGGGATGAGACGAGGGTTCTATATGGGATGGGAAGAGGGTTCTGTATGGGATGGGATGAGGGTTCTCTATGGGATGAGACGGGCATCTGTATGGGATGAGTGGGGTTCTATATGGGATGAGGGTTCTGTATGGGATGAGATGGTTCTGTATGGGATTAGATGAGGGTTCTGTATGGGATCAGAAAAGGGTTCTGTATGGGATGAGGGTTCTGTATGGGATGAGGGTTCTGTATGGGATGGGAAGAGGGTTCTGTATGGGATGAGGAAAAGGGTTCTGTATGGGATGAGATGAGGGTTCTGTATGGGATGAGAAAAGGGTTCTGTATGGGATGAGGGTTCTGTATGGGATGAGATGAGGGTTCTGTATGGGATGAGGGTTCTGTATGGGATGAGATGAGGGTTCTGTATGGGTGAGGGTTCTGTATGGGATGAGATGAGGGTTCTGTATGGGATGAGATGATGGTTCTGTATGGGATGAGATGAGGGTTCTGTATGGGATAAGAAAAGGGTTCTGTATGGGATGAGAAAAGGGTTCTGTATGGGATGAGGGTTCTGTATGGGATGAGATGAGGGTTCTGTATGGGATGAGGGTTCTGTATGGGATGAGATGAGGGTTCTGTATGGGGTGAGGGTTCTGTATGGGATGAGATGAGGGTTCTGTATGGGATGAGATGATGGTTCTGTATGGGATGAGATGAGGGTCTGTATGGGATAAGAAAAGGGTTCTGTATGGGATGAGGGTTCTGTATGGGATGAGGGTTCTGTATGGGATGGGAAAGGGTTATGTATGGGATGAGGTTCTGTATGGGATGAGGGGTTCTGTATGGGATGGGATGAGGGTTCTGTATGGGACGAGGGTTCTGTATGGGATGGATGAGGGTTCTGTATGGGATGAGGGTTCTGTATGGGATGGGATGAGGGTTCTGTATGGGATGAGGGTTCTGTATGGGATGAGGGTTCTGTATGGGATGGGAAGAGGGTTCTGTATGGGATGAGACGTGAGGCAGAGGGACACGTGAATTAGGGAACACGATCGACCAATCAGGGAGGGTTTGTCGCGTCAACAAAACTTGGCCAATGTCGTTCCGAGTGCAGCACACACCGCTGTGTTGGGGAGTTTAACCCACAACAACGTTTACTATTCGAGTACGGTGACGTTTCGCCGGTAACAACAACAACAACCTACAACAACAACCTACAACAACAACCTACAACAACAACAGCAACCGGCCTCATCAGGCAACAGCCAGAATGGTCACGTGAGTGGGCCCTGGGGGTGGGGGCTGGGGCTGGGGATGGGGTGGGGGCGGGGTGGGGGCTGAGGGGGGGAGGATTTCATCCAGCAGTGGAACGACCACGGCTGATTGATGATAACGATGCTGATGAAGATGTCGATGGTGATGAAAATGCTGCTGATGATGAAAATGCTGCTGATGATGCTGCTGATTATGATGCTGATGAAAATGATGATGAAGATGCCGATGAAAATGCCGATGACGATGCTGATGAAGATGCCGATGAAGATGCCGCTGAAGATGACGATGACGTTGAAGATGCCGATGACGATGCCGATGACGATGCCGATGACGATGCTGATGAAGATGCCGCTGAAGATGCCGCTGATGAAGTGAAGCCGCTTGCCGTGCAGAGAACCCGTCGGGCCACTTGGTCGCTGGGACCGCCAAAGACAAAAAAAAACACAAAAAAGTTGCATGCGGCGAGCATTCTTGTGAGGTCGTGAAGGGGTCGCGGAACGTCGCTCGGGGTCCCCCCCCCCACCCCCCCTCGGGGTCACCCCGTCCCCCCCTCGTGGTCCCCCCCTCCCCCCACCCCCCTCCTCGCTGAGTGTGCCGGCGGCACCTGGGAGCTGAGAATGCCGCCTGCCTCCTCTTCGGTTTGAAAATAATTTTTTTGTTAGAACAGTTTCTTTAGAACAGTTTCTTAGAACAGTTTCTTTAGAACAGTTAATGTAGAACAGTTTCTTTAGAACAAATGTTTTTTACAATATATTAAAGATGAATTTAATATTTAACTAAACCGAACATTAACATTAGAGAAGAATATTGCAAAATGGTACATGTAGAGTGAGGAATAAGATGCGATAAAATATTGCAAAACGAGGAATAGAAAGCATTTGGTAAAATAGTTTTCCTGTGCAAACAACAAATGCGAAGTAAGACGAGTAACCACAACAATCACCACGACATTGCACACATTACAACAGCACAAGACTCATATACAGAATCATAGCGAATACTTCATTAGATGCACCCCACCCCGCCACACTGATGTCCCCCACACCCCCAAGTCGTGCCAGTGTCATGGGTAGTGTCATGGGTAGTGTCATGGGTAGTGTCATGGGCAGTATCATGGGTAGTGTCAGAGGTAGTGTCAGTGTCATAGGTAGTGTCATGGGTGGTGTCATGGGTGGTGTCAGGGGTAGTGTCAGTGTCATGGGTAGTGTCATGGGTAGTGTCATGGGTGGTGTCATGGGTCGTGTCAGTGTCATGGGCAGTGTCATGGGTAGTGTCAGGGGAAGTGTCATGGGTAGTGTTAGGGGTGGTGTTAGTGTCAGGATGGTGTTTACCCCACCTGTTCCATCTGCACGGGGATCGAGTGTTGCCTCCTCGCCTGCCACGCGTGGCTCTCCTCCCACGCGTGTCCACTCATTCCAAACTGGCAAAACATTCCCAGTTACGTGGCCGCAGAGCCCCGCATCACGGCGATTATTGCACTCGTTAAAGTCCATCACCGGTGCAGCTGTCCGACAGTAATTACATTCACACCCCCCCCCGCACCCCCCCCCCTCGCCATTCGCAAAATGACTGAAACCAGGAATAGGTTGAACCCTTTATAGCAAATAAACGGGGAGCTGCGTTAAGATAGAGCAAAACACCAAATCGAAACCTTTTTGCCAGGCGTAAAGTACCGCACTAACCACGCACACTAACTGTGGCGGAACACGCAAACAGACATGGCTCCGACAATCTACTGGCAATATATTTTTTTTATTATGTTTTATTTTTATTATTTTATTACTTCCCTTCTACGTGACTTTACCGAAAGAACCAAGAAGATACTGGCAATATCTTTGACACTGATTGGCCTACGCCAGAGACGGCCGCAGCCTTCTTCATGGCCTCGTCTCACCACTAGTGTCCGACCAGAGAACAGCGCCACGAGGCGACCAGCACAAGGGCAATGCCACACGCAGCAGAACATTTCTTGCTCAGCACGAAGCGTGAAGGTCCCGTAGAGGTCACGGGCCTGCAGTTGCTGTTTGGGCATCTCAGCCCCCCCGCCTGTTTGGTTGCCAGAAAGGGTAAAACCCACATCCTTGTTTGTCATCTTTTGGATGACTGTCGAAAATGGGTCCCATATAAGCATTAGCTTCCCCCTATAACCATTAGGTTCCCAAATAACCGTCAGGTTCTCAAATAACCATTAGGATCCCATATAACCGTTAGGTTTCCATGTAATCATTAGGTTCCCATATAACCAATAGGTCCCCCATGTAACCATTAGGTTCCGATATAACCATTATTGTTTCCATATAACAATTATTGTTTCCATATAACCATTAGTTTCCCATAGAATCATTGTGTTGTTATGATTGCTTTTATTGTTGTGTTGTTATTATTGTGTTGTTGTTATTGTTAATGTTGTTAGTGTTGCTGTTATTGTTGGGATGTTGTTTCTTGTCGTTGTGTTGCTATTGCTGTTGTTATCTTTGTTGTTGTCGTGTTGTTATTGTTGTTGTGTTGCGATTGCTATTAATGTTATTGTTGTGTTGTTGCTATTGTTGTCGTGTTGTTGCTATTGTTGTTGTGTTGTTGCTGTTGTTGTTGTTGTTGTCGCACTGCACCGAGTCCCCCCCACTGCGCCACTGGTCCTTGACTCATCCGCTCTCTCCGCACGTGGTTCGAGCGCCTCAGCATGCTCATCATCCTGCTCAACTGCGTCACCCTCGGCATGTTTCAGCCCTGCGAGGACATCGACTGCTCCAGCGACCGCTGCAAGATCCTCAAGGTGGGTGGGTGGCCGGACTCGCCGCTAACCCCCAACCCTGACGGCCAGAGCCTTCCTTGCCCATAGCCTCTGAGCGATAACGGCGTGGTGGAGACACAGTGTGTGCAAAAACATCGTTAGCTCTGTCTCCCTCTCTCACTCACTCTCTCTGTCTCTCTGTGTCTCTTTCCCTCTGTCTCTCTGTCTTTCTCGCTGTCTCTCTCTGTGTGTGTGTCTCTCTCCCTGTTTCACTCTGTTTCTCCCTCTGTCTCTCTCTGACTCTCTCTCTGTCTCACTCTCTGTCTCACTCTCTCTCTGACTCACTCTCTCTCTTGCTCTATCTCTCACTCTGTCTCTCGCTCTCACTGTCTCTCTGTCTCCCTCTGCTCTCTCTCTCTCTAACTCTCTCTCCAACCCCCCCCCCCCCCCACCCTACTGGTCATCCTGTGAAAAAGAGTGTCTCGGCCTCACTGTGCGCTGCGTTGCACCACTATCCGAGTAGTTAACCTCGCATTCAGTAAACTTGCAGAGCCAGGGTGAACATCCGACTCCGGCGTATTTAATGAATAGAACGAGGTAAAACTGATGGAAAAACACAGCACAAAATACAGCATCTGTTACTACTTGCAATATCGATACAATGAACGAACACAAGGAGCATCATAACATTATCTTAGATAACATGAATCTCAACAATAGGTCCTCGATGGACCAGGCACCTACATTAGCACTGAATAGCGATACAACAAGAGAATAAGGTACTGTGTTAAATAGGTCGCTTTGTGTAATCACCATACTGCAGCCTCAATGTACAGCGCTGCATATAACACTGAACTGTGGATGAGATACTTCTTCATCCTCAAGATCGCATTCAAGTTACATGGGCACAAGGAGTGGCTCGACTTAACCAACTACAAATAACGTTCACAATAATGCCAGTTCTTTGGGTCTTTCGGTTAAAGTCACATAGATAGGTTAAAAGAAGATAACTAAAATAACAAAAAAATACTTTTTTTGTTTTTTTCAGTCTGATGGCGACCGCTTGCGTTGCGATCGAAACGCTGTAGTTTTTTGTTACGTAACTTTACCAAAAGACCCAAAGAATATGAATTCCTGCAGTCACGAAAGCTTTAAGTCAATAATGCCAGTGGCAGGCTTCGTTGTTAACTAGGCCCCATATTTATCGTAACAATTTAACAGCATTCATTATAAAGGCATTTCCAGCATTATAACGGCAATCCTAACATTATAACGGCATTCCCAGTAGTATAAGAACATCAACGAACTTAGAGACAATGCTTCTTAAAGTCCCACAATGAACAGATGCATCCGTCTTCACTGAAACGCTAATTGTGCCTCCATTTTGTACTCTGTGTAATGGCTGACACCCCTTCCTCGTGACTCCCTCCCCCCTCTCACCAGAGGTTCGATGACTTCATCTTCGCCTTCTTCGCGGTGGAGATGGTCATCAAGATGCTGGCGCTCGGCGTGTTCGGGAAGCAGTGCTACCTGGGCGATACGTGGAACCGCCTCGACCTCTTCATCGTCGTGGCCGGGTGAGTGGGCTTGCCTGGCTAGGCCCCGCGGGACCATCGTGGTCGTGTCGGAGATGTTGTTACTCTTGGGATCGTCATTGTGATCCTGGAGACGCTGTGAATTCTGGGATCACAGTGGTGATGGTGGAGAGACTGTGAATATTGGGATCACAGTGGTGATGCTGGAGACGCTGTGAGTCCTGAGATCACAGTGGTGATACTGGAGACGCTGTGAATGTTGGGATCACAGTGTTGATACTGGAGACGCTGTGAATCTTGGGATCACAGTGGTGATACTAGAGACGCTGTGAATGTTGGGATCACAGTGGTGATACTGGAGACACTGAATACTGGGATCACAGTGGTGATACTGGAGAGACTGTGAATCTTGGGATCACAGTGGTGATACTGGAGAGTGTGAATCTTGGGATCACAGTGGTGATACTGGAGATGCTGTGAATCTTGGGATCACAGTGGTGATACTGGAGACGCTGAATACTGGGATCACAGTGGTGATACTGGAGAGACTGTGAATCTTGGGATCACAGTGGTGATACTGGAGACGCTGTGAATGTTGGGATCACAGTGGTGATACTGGAGACACTGAATCTTGGGATCACAGTGGTGATACTGGAGACGCTGTGAATGTTGGGATCACAGTGGTGATACTGGAGACACTGAATACTGGGATCACAGTGGTGATACTGGAGACACTGAATACTGGGATCACAGTGGTGATACTGGAGAGACTGTGAATCTTGGGATCACAGTGGTGATACTGGAGAGTGTGAATCTTGGGATCACAGTGGTGATACTGGAGATGCTGTGAATCCTGGGATCACAGTGGTGATACTGGAGACGCTGTGAATCTTGGGATCACAGTGGTGATACTGGAGACGCTGTGAATCCTGGGATCACAGTGGTGATACTGGAGACACTGTGGATCCTGGGATCACGATAGCGATCGATTCTTCTCGACGAGCTTTACACGATGCGCTAATCAAAGTTTAAAAGTTTTGTTTCTGACTACGGCAATGTTGGCTCGGTGAAGACCGAGAGAGGATCGATTTCTGGTGGGTCGCTGCGTTTTTTTTCTTCCATTAATTACGATTTCGACTTCCGTTTATTCGGGACCCCGGGGGTCCCGCCGTGAGGTTCAAGTCTTGCCCCCCCCAACCCACGGCAGACCGGAGCAGGCTACAACGTGGTGCGTGGACCTTTGTCTTTGCGCGCGCGCGCAGGATGTTGGAGTACTCCCTGGACATGCAGAACGTGAGCCTGTCCGCGATCCGGACGGTGCGTGTGCTCAGGCCGCTACGCGCCATCAACCGCGTCCCCAGTGAGTAGCAACAACACACACGCACACCCACACACACACCCCGCACACATACACACACACCACGCACGCACACACACACACCACGCACACACACATACACCCCGCACACACACACATACACCCTGCACTCACACAGACCCTGCACTCACACACACCCTGCACACACACACACCACACACAACACACAGACCCCACACACACCCCTTACACACACACACCCCTTACACACACACACCCTACACACACACACCCCGCACTCACACCACACACACACCACACACACACCCCGCACACACACCACACACACCCCGCACACACGCACACACACCACACACACACACCACACACACACACCCCGCACACACGCACACACCCCGCACACACACCACACACACCACACACACACACCCGCACACACGCACACACACCACACACACACACCCCGCACACACACACACTGCACACACACACCCCGCAGACACTGCGTGTGTGAGTGTGTCTGTGTGTGTGTACGTGTGTGTGAGTGTCTGTGTGTGTACGTGTCTGTGTGTAAGTGTTTACGTGTTTGAGTGTGTACGTGTGTGAGTGTGTACGTGTGTGTCTGTGTGTGTGTACGTGTGTGTGAGTGTCTGTGTGTGTACGTGTCTGTGTGTATGTGTTTACGTGTTTGAGTGTGTACGTGTGTGAGTGTGTACGTGTGTGTGAGTGTCTGTGTGTGTGTACGTGTCTGCGTGTGTGTATGTGTGTACGTGTGTGAGTGTGTAGGTGTGTGAGTGTGTCTGTGTGTGTGTACGTGTGTGTGTGTACGTGTGTGAGTGTGTCTGTGTGTACACGTATGTGAGCGTGTGTGTGTGTACGTGTGTGAGTGTGTCTGTGTGTGTGTACGTGTGTGAGTGTGTACGTGTGTACGTGTGTGAGTGTGTCTGTGTGTGTGTACGTGTGTGTGTGTACGTGTGTGAGTGTGTCTGTGTGTACACGTATGTGAGTGTGTGTACGTGTGTGAGTGTGTCTGTGTGTGTGTACGTGTGTGAGTGTGTACGTGTGTACGTGTGTGTACGTGTGTGAGTGTGTACGTGTGTGAGTGTGTACGTGTGTGTGTCTGTACGTGTGTGAGTGTGTACGTGTGTACGTGTGTGTACGTGTGTGAGTGTGTACGTGTGTGAGTGTGTACGTGTGTACGTGTGTGTACGTGTGTGAGTGTGTATGTGTGTCTGTACGTGTGTGAGTGTGTCTGTGTGTACACGTGTGTGTGTGTCTGTGTGTGTGTACGTGTGTGTACGTGTGTGAGTGTGTACGTGTGTACGTGTGTGAGTGTGTATGTGTGTGTACGTGTCTGTGTGTAAGTGTTTACGTGTTGAGTGTGTACGTGTGTGAGTGTGTACGTGTGTGTGAGTGTCTGTGTGTGTGTACGTGTCTGCGTGTGTGTATGTGTGTACGTGTGTGAGTGTGTAGGTGTGTGAGTGTGTCTGTGTGTGTGTACGTGTGTGTGTGTACGTGTGTGAGTGTGTCTGTGTGTACACGTATGTGAGTGTGTGTGTGTGTACGTGTGTGAGTGTGTCTGTGTGTGTGTACGTGTGTGAGTGTGTACGTGTGTACGTGTGTGAGTGTGTGAGTGTGTCTGTGTGTGTGTACGTGTGTGAGTGTGTCTGTGTGTACACGTACGTGAGTGTGTGTGTGTGTACGTGTGTGAGTGTGTCTGTGTGTGAGTACGTGTGTGAGTGAGTACGTGTGTACGTGTGAGTACGTGTGTGAGTGTGTACGTGTGTGAGTGTGTACGTGTGTGAGTGTGTACGTGTGTGTGTGAGTACGTGTGTGAGTGTGTACGTGTGTGCGTGTGTGTACGTGTGTGAGTGTGTACGTGTGTGAGTGTGTACGTGTGTACGTGTGTGTACGTGTGTGAGTGTGTCTGTGTGTCTGTACGTGTGTGAGTGTGTCTGTGTGTACACGTGTGTGTGTGTCTGTGTGTGTGTACGTGTGTGTACGTGTGTGAGTGTGTACGTGTGTACGTGTGTGAGTGTGTTTGTGTGTGTACGTGTGTGAGTGTGTCTGTGTGTGTGCATGTGTGTACGTGTGTGAGTGTGTGTACGTGTGTGAGTGTGTCTGTGTGTGTGTACGTGTGTACGTGTGTGAGTGTGTGTACGTGTGTGAGTGTGTCTGTGTGTGTGTACGTGTGTACGTGTGTGAGTGTGTGTACGTGTGTGAGTGTGTCTGTGTGTGTGTACGTGTGTACGTGTGTGAGTGTGTGTACGTGTGTGAGTGTGTCTGTGTGTGTGTACGTGTGTACGTGTGTGAGTGTGTGTACGTGTGTGTGTCCAGGGGAGCGGTGGTGCAGCGGTTAGCACGCTGCGGTACGAACCCGGCTACCCGAGTTCGATTCCCACTTACGGCCAACACCAGTGACGATTATATCTGAACCAGTTCTGGGCCTCCCCTAGGTCGACTAGGGGAGGCCCAGAATGAGCACCTGGTGCGGTGTGTAAACATCGCCACTGGGGGAGACAAAGGCGGCCGGGCGTGATGCTGGCCACCCCCCTCCTCGTGTGTCGTGCCCGCCTTCATAGGCGCTGCTACTCGTTCACAGAACTTGCCCCGACAATCTGTTGTACTGTGTGTATGTTGAACTTCTTTCGTACCGTACGTAGCCAACCGTGCTAGTCGCAGGTGCGGGGAAGGACAATAAACTAAACACAAAATGCAGTTATAAATAAGTGAGTTTTCAACCCAGATGATGATTTAAAAGTGCAAAGCTCCAGTGGCTTTCGAATATTGGAAGGAAGAGCGTTCCAGACGGCCTCGCAGAAGGGCGTCTGACAGCGCTGCGGGATGCGGTGACCACCGTTTTTGTTCAATGACGAGCCAAAAGTTCAATGGCCGGCCAATAGTTCGATGGCCGGTCAAAAGTTCAATAGCCGGCCAAGAGTTCGGTGGCCGGTCAAAAATGAAATGGCCGGTCAAAGGTTCGATGGCCGGTCAAAAGTTTGATGGCCGGTCAAAAGTTCGGTGGTCGGTCAAAGGTTTAATGGCCGGCCAAAGATTCGATGGCCGGTACAAAAGTTTGGTGGCTGGCCAAAGGTTCGATGGCTAACCAAAAGGCCACGCGGGGCGACCGTTGTCTTGCCTGTGCAGGCATGCGCATCCTGGTGACGCTGCTGCTCGACACGCTGCCCATGCTGGGCAACGTGCTGCTCCTCTGCTTCTTCGTCTTCTTCATCTTCGGCATCATCGGCGTGCAGCTGTGGGCCGGCCTGCTCCGCAACCGCTGCTTCCTGGCCAACAACTTCACCGAGTGAGCCAACGCACGCGGCGGCGGCAGCGGTGGCAAACGACGACGACGCACGACAACCAACAGCAAACAACCACAACAAACGACAAACAACCACAGCAACAAACAACCACAGCAACAAACAACCACAGCAACAAACAACCACAGCAACACACAAATAACCACAGCAACACACAAATAACCACAGCAACAAACAACCACAGCAACAAACAACCACAGCAACACACAAACAACCACAGCAACAAACAACCACAACAACACACAAACAACCACAGCAACAAAAACAACAACAGTCCCAGACCTCACCACGGCAACACCCCACAGTAGACCCTCAGTAACATTGCACAGGACCAGTTTAAATATTCGCTACAGTTTATTGTCCATGAGTGGGAAATTTCACTTGGGGTCGGTGGGTTTGTAGGCCCGTGTGCTAACTACTGCGCCACCGCTCCCCCCCCCGAAGAAGAAGACAACAAAGACAAAGATTCCCCGTGTAACCTGCAGATATTGTTGGGGCAATTGCTGTTAGGGAGCAGCGCCTATGAAGGCCGGCACGGCACACGAGGGGGTGGGTGGCCAGCACCACGCCCGGCCGCCTTTGTCTCCCCCAGTGGCGATGTTTACACACCACACCAGGTACTCACAACAACAACCGCCATTCGCCACTAAGTGACGTCACCACGACGCTTGTGCCAGGCTATGTGCACCTTGAGGCCACGTGAAGTGTCGAACGCCCGCTGGCAGGAGGTCACGGGGCAGACCCAGGTGCCACGGGTCGACTGACTGAGACGAGTGGCTGATGCACCACCTGTGCCAACTTGCTGTGCTTTAGCCACCCGGCATTCCGCTCGTTGTTGTGAGCATCACTCCTCCGCCCTCTACAGTTACGCATACACACGCGCACGTGCATAGACAACAACATCCGCCGTTCGCCACTCGATAGCGATGACATCATCTCACAGCGCTTGTGCCAGGCTAGGTGCACTTTGAGGCCGTCGCGCGAAAGTGTGGAAGGCTCGCTGTTGGCAGGAGAAAGGTCACTAGATGGACCCAGGTGTACGGATTGACTGATATGCCAGGCTAGGCACAGGAGGTCACGTGACAGACCCTGGTGTTATGGATTGACTGATTGATATGCCAGGCCAGGTGCAGGAGGTCACGATTCGGGTGTTATGGATTGACTGATTGAGCTGATTTACCACCTGTGCCCTCCCCCTCTGTGGCAGCTTGCCGTGTTTTTAGCCAGGTGGCTAAGATGTCCTTCACGAGGCTCCCCCACGGCACGCAAATACAATCGCTCCTCTCGTATGGCCATTAACAGACTGTTGTGGCGAGCGCTGTTAGCAAGCACCTGTGAAGGCCGGCACGGCACACGAGGGGGTGGGTGGCCAACACCACGCCCGGCCGCCTTTGTCTCCCCTTAGTGGCGATGTTTGACACGTGTTTTACACATCGCACCAGGTACTCATTTGTGGCTGAGCCGACCTAGGGGAGGCCCAGGACCGGTTCAGATAATCGTCAAACATGCACACAAACACATACAGACGCACATACACATACACACGTTTTCGTTTTTGATCCTCACTCCTTGGATGTCCCCCAGATTCCACGGACACTTCATTTTTTTTGAAGTGACATCACAACCCCAGAGAATTGTCACATCTAACGAGATGTTTTATTTAATACATTTTTCACACACGCCCACACACGCGTGTGTGTGTGTGTACCGGGCGTGTAGCGGGGAGCGTGCAAATTGATTTTTGTCACTCCAGCGGCAGGGCACCTTAATTTATTTATTTATCCACCCTCTTCCCGCTCCTCCTGGCCGCCTCCCTCCTCCTTCTCCTGCTCCACGCGCCGCATGCGCTCGCGGATACAAAAAACACACACATGCGCACAACAACGTGAGAAACATCGAGCGCGCTCCGTGATATTGGGCGAGCGGAGGTGTCCCGTTTGCCCTACGTCTGCGACGCACGGTGCCAACCCCGCCGTCGACTAGGGGAGGTTCCTTCTTGTCGCAGCCGCTGCATTTGTGCAGGAGAACGCCTCCTCTTAGCGATGGTAAATCGGTGCCCCTATGCCCGGTCGTCGAGTTCATGAACGGACTTCGCCGATTGGCCAAGGCCCCGGTCAGAACGCTTTGGGACACGCCGATTGGTCGAAATTGTAGGTCGCGTACCCGTCATGAACAGGGGAACGGTCGTTAAGCGAACCGCATTGGGCTCTAAGGAGGCACTACTCTACTATAGACTAGACTACTATACACTACACTATACACTACTCTACTATACACTACACTATACACTACATACTGGGCTCTATGGAGGCCCGTAATTAATTGATTAGTCGGTAATAGGGGTGGTCGTTAAGAGGGGTTCTACTCTACGCTACCATACACTACACTAAACACTACTATACTATACACTACATACTGGCCTCTATGAAGGCCCATCGTTAAGCGATTAGTCGTTAGCAGGGATGCTCGTTAAGCGCGCTTAAACTGTACAGATGTCCAGTAGGGGCACAGGGGTCAGAAAGTTCAGAATCTGAATATTTATTTAGACTGCAGGAGGAATCCGACGAGCTATGAAGCTCTTCTCAACAAACGTCCAGTCGGGGCACGGAGTGAGAACGCTACATGAACAAACAGTTACAAAAACATGATAGGAGTGGAAAGTACAAAAAAGCTAAAACTAAACCATCCCCATCCTACCAGACAAAGCACACTGAGGTATTAACTTATTATTCTGAGTGACCTGGCCACGAATGACAGCTCAACAAAGTGGCCCATCATTTGGACATTTGTAGCAGCCAATATAATCAAAATAATATTCACGCATGTTTCTAACCGTGGAGGGATAAGCAATCCAAATCACACGATAGGAGTGCAAAGTATAGGAATGGTAAATTAAGCAAATTGCACCCCCCAAAAAAAACTATTTTATTTTACAAGGGGAAGCTCACCGAGGCGCATCAGCTTCTTTGTCAGAAGCAACCCGGTCATCACAAATGATATCCCAACGAAGTGGCGCATCATGCGGAAACTTATAGCGTCCAAATAAGCAAAGTAATCTAAACGCAAGTGTTAAGTTGCGTACGGGCAAGCACTCGTTTAAAGAGCCCGTCCCTGTCACGTGACGTATGCCACCCTCTTCCGGGTGGAGCGACAACACGAGCAAATTGTTCAGGTGGTGATTGATGCAAGCGCCGACTCCGGCATAAATGATCTCCTTGGGTCGCTTCTCGGGGAAGAGAACGAAACGAAACAAACCCGGTTAGTTGCCTACAAGTCCAAGATGGCCGCCTTTTTTTTGGTCACGAAATGTTCATTTCGTATACCTTTTGAGCAGAAACTTTTTAAGTTTCAGTGATCCCAGAGTCTATATGTATGCTTGTGATCCGTTTTTATAAATCAGCCTAAACAAAACCCATGCACATGATTCTTAAACAATAAACAAAATCCAAGATGGCCTCCATTTCATTCCAAGAATATTTTATTTTCCATTGCACGTCAAAAGAGTCATCCATGTCGCTGTGTTTACACCAGTACCTATGCACCAGGATCTATACACCAATAACTATACACCAGTATCTATACACCAATATCTATACACCAGTATCTATACACCAATATCTATACACCAATATCTATACACCAGTGTGGCTTATAAAACCAGGTTAACCACAACAAACTCAATTACCCACGAGCCCTCACTTTGTGTCTCTGCACCAGGAGAGCTGGGTGCAGCTTAGACCCAAGCTTAGGCCCAAAGTTTAACCGGTGCGGCAAAGGTTGTGCACAGCAAGCGGCTGCCATCTTCCCTGCATCTCTCTGTCAGTCTCGCGTCGCCGTGGAGACGTGGATGTGAGTGATCGCAATCGCAGCGCCTGGCAACTGCACCGCACGCAACTGCGGTTGCATTGCGAATGCCGTTGCGAGGCGCATTGCCCTATCACTCTCCCTATCTCGCATCGACATCTCTCCCGCTCTCTACATATTTACATATCCCTGGTCTCCAGCTCCCCCACTCTCTCTCCATCTCTCTCTCGCTCGATCTCTCCCCCTCTCTCTATTTGCACTCCTATCGTGTTCTTGTATTGTGTTTGTTCTTGTAACGTTCTGACCCCATGCCCCGACTGGGCATCTGTGGAAAACGAGCTTCACAGCTCGTCGGATTCCTCTTCTAGTATAAATAAACATTCTGAATCTGATTCTTTCTCTATTTTGTCTCTCTCCATCTCCCTTTCCCTCCCTCCCATCCCTCCCATCCCACCCTCCCACCTACCTCCTTCCCATCCCATTCATCCCTCCCAACCTCTATCTCCCAACCATCCCTCCCATCCCTCCCATGCCTCCCACCCTCCCTGCCTACCTCCATTCCGTCCCCTCCCATTCCTCCCCTGTGCTCCCAGGATGTTCAACATGACCTACGACCCGTACTTCATCCCGGACGATGGGGACGAGTCGCCCTTCCTCTGCTCCCTCAACTCCGACAACGGCATGCAGCGCTGCGCCGACATCGAGCCGAGCCTCTCCCCGGACGGCGCCGTCTGCTCGCTGCCGGCGCTCCTCTTCCTGCAGCAGCAGCAGCGCGACGGGGAAGCGGCTGGGGCAGTGGCCGCGATGGAGCAAGGCGGACAGCGGCATCACAACCACCACCACCACCACCCGCCGCACCACGGCCACTTCCACAACTACGACGGCGGAGGGGCGGACGGGATGCAGGAGGCGTTCCGGGACCTGCCGCGCAGCAACAGCTGCGTCAACTGGAACCAGTTCTATTCACGGTGCGGCCCCGCGCAGCGGAACCCCTTCCGCGGGGCCATCAACTTCGACAACATCGGATACGCCTGGATCGCCATCTTCCAGGTGTGACGAATGGCGGAGGCGGGGGTGAGGCAGAGAGCGCATCTCAGGGTCTTGAGACTCGGCTCCAGGAGACCGGGTCTCAGTGTCTTGAGACACGGCTCCAGGAGACCGGGTCTCAGTGTCTTGAGATACGGCTCCAGGAGACCGGGTCGACTGCCAGATGCACCAACTGCGCTCCCCCACTGTACCAACTTGCTGTTTAAGCCACCCAGTGCTTCGCTGGTTGTTGTGAGCGTCGCTCCTTTGTCCTCCATTGTTTTCGGAGGGTGACTGCCTTTAACTCAACCCAGCAGCGTCCTTCACGAGTCTCCTCCACAGATGCCAATCTTGACACCGCTGATTTCAGTCATCAGCCAGTTCAGCTCCACATCCTTCTGTACTGCATGGGCCCATCTCTATCCCCTACCATGCCCATGTAGTCCCCTCGATCCGGCCAAACAGAAGCTGCTTGGGCATGCAGTGGCCTGGTCTCATGCAGGGCTGCATGACCCAGCCGACGCAGTATCGCCTGCCAGAGGTGCTCATTGATGATTGGACTGTGTCCAGATTATGATCCTAAACTGTGTCCAGGATCATAATCCACATTCACGCATGCAAAAGACAAAGACACAGGGCATGCAGATACTCACGCATTCACACACCCCGCTGGTGCATTCCCAGGCTAAAGACACAAGCACGTGCGAGTGTGTGTGTACGTGTGTGCGTGTACGTATGTGTGCGTGCGTGAGCGACGGAGCAGTGATTAGTGCGCTGTGCTATTAATCCGGTGAACTGGGTAGGATTCCCGCCCACGGCCAACACCGGTGACGATTATCTGAACCGGTCCTGGGGCTCCCCTAGGTCGACTCAACCTCAAATGAGTAACTGGTGCGGTGTGTAGTAAACATTGACACTGGGGGAGACAAATGCGGTCGGACGTGGTGCTGCCCACCCACCCCCTCGTGTACCGTGCCGGCCTTCACAGGCGCTCGCCCCAACAGTCTGTTAAGGCCACACGTATGAATCTTAACAACAAATTTTGGCGGCGCCGGGGAGACAAAGGCGGCCGGGCGTGGGCCTTTGGCCACGCGTCGCGGCCTTTTTTCGGTCCGCCCACCCTCCTGGCGTCAGCGGCCATCGATCCTCGCCCCCGCCTTTAATTGTCCCGCGGGAATTCCTCCCATCGCCACCGTAGATCTGATCATCATAATCGTCGTCGTCGTCTCACCGCGTTAGTCCGTCTCGGTGGGCGCGGCAGCCCCGCGTAGCCTGCGGGGGGCATTTCTCTCTGCGAGCGCGGAAGGGTTTTGCTCTCGTACGCGGCGCATTGGGGGGCCCCGCGCTAATCTGCTTTGTTGAGCCGGGAGAGGGACGTGGCGGGGCGGGAGAGATACGGCGACGCATGTGAGCGTCACGACGCGCGCTGGGGGAGACAAAGGTGGCCGGGCGTGATTGCTGGCCACCCACCCGCTCGTGTGCCACAGTGCCCGGTAGCCTTCATAGGTGCTGCTACTCGCTAACAGCACTTGCCCCAGCGGTCTGTTAACGCTACGCGGGGGATCTTTGTCTCTGCGTGGTCACGCGCTTGGGTGAGTGAATGTGGTTGGGCGTGGTGCTGACCACCCCCCCCCCCCCCGTTCCTTGGGCGTCATCATGATCTTTATTTATCCCGGAGAAATCCGATGAGCCATGAAGCTCTTTTTCACCGATATCCAGCAGCAGATGGCATAGGCGCTGCTCCCCTAACAGCACTCGCTCCAACAGTCCGTTCAAGCCACGCCGGAGATCTCTGCCTCGTCTGTCTGTGCGGGGAGTGGTGGCGCAGCGGTTAGCACTCCAAAACCCGGCGAGCCCAGGCTCAGTTCCCGATCGCGGCGACCAACACTGGCCACGATGATCTGAACCGGTCCTGGGCCTCCCCTAGGTCGACTCAGCCTCGAATGAGTACCCGGTGCACCGTGGAATGAACATCGCCGCTAGGGAGACAAAGGTGGCCGGGCGTGGTGCTGGCCACCCACCTCCTCGTGCGCCGTGCCGGCCTTCATTAGGCGCTGCTGCTCCCTAACCGCACTTGCCCCTACAATGTTGTGAAGGCTGTGCAGGGGATCTTTGCCTTGTCTCTGTACATACACGATGAGATGGTGTTCAAGTTACATTTAAATCTGAAAATATAAAATAACATCTGACGCCACCGCAGGCTCCCTCCTCTGGAATGGTATTTGGCCTACTCTTCCACACCAGCCAGACATTTTGGAAGAAGAGGTGGGAGTACCCACACTTTACCCCACCGCGCGCTTGGTTTGTGTGTTACGTGGGGTGAGTGGGTGGGGTGGTGGGGTGGGTGAGTGCGGTGGGGTGACTGGTGGGGTGGGCTGGGTGAGTGGGCTGGGTGAGTGGGGTGGGTGGTGGGGTGGGTGAGTGCGGTGGGGTGACTGGTGGGGTGGGCTGGGTGAGTGGGTGGGCTGGGTGAGTGGGGTGGGGTGTGACTGGTGGGGTGGGCTGGGTGAGTGGGCTGGGTGAGTGGGTGGGGTGGTGGGGGTGGTGAGTGCGGTGGGGTGACTGGTGGGGTGGGCTGGGTGAGTGGGGTGGGCTGGGTGAGTGGGGTGGGGTGACTGGTGGGGTGGGCTGGGTGAGTGGGGTGGGTGAGTGGGGTGAGTGGTGGGTGGGGTGGGTGAGTGGGGGGGGTGGGTGAGTGGTGGGGTGGGTGGGTGGGGTGAGGTGGGATGGGTGAGTGGGGTGGGGTGTGTGGTGGGGTGGAGTGGGTGAGTGGGTGGGGTGGGGGGTGGGGTGAGTGGGTGTGGGTGAGTGGTGGGGGTGGTGGGGTGAGGTGGGATGGGTGAGTGGGGTGGGGTGTGTGGTGGGGTGGGTGAGTGAGTGGGGTGGGGTGGGTGGGTGAGTGGGGTGGGTGAGGTGGGGTGGGTGAGTGGGTGGGATGGGTGAGTGGTGGGTGGGTGGGGTGAGTGGATGGGTGAGTGGGGTGGGGTGTGTGGTGGGGTGGGTGGGTGAGTGAGTGGGGTGGATGAGTGGAGTGGGTGAGTGGGGTGAGTGGTGGGGTAGGGTGGGTGAGTGGGGTGGGGTGAGTGGTGGGGTGGGTGAGTGGGGTGGGGTGGTGGGGTGGGTGAGTGGGGTGGGTGAGTGGGGTTGGGTGAGCGGTGGTGTGGGGTGGGTGAGTAGGGTGGGGTGGGTGAGTGAGGTGGGTGAGTGGGGTGGGTGGGTGGGGTGGGTGAGTGAGTGGGTTGAGTGGGGTGGGTGAGTAAGTGGGATGATTGGGGTGGGGTGAGTGGTGGGTGGGGTGGGTGAGTGGGGTGGGTGAGTGGGGTGGGGTGGGATGGGTGAGTGGGGTGGGGTGTGTGGTGGGGTGGGGTGGGGTGGGTGAGTGGGGTGGGTGAGTGGAGTGGGTGAGTGGGGTGAGTGGTGGGGTGGGGTGGGTGAGTGGTGTGGGGTGAGTGGTGGGGTGGGTGAGTGGGGTGGGTGAGTGGGGTGGGGTGGTGGGGTGGGTGAGTGGGGTGGGTGAGTGGGGTTGGGTGAGCGGTGGTGTGGGGTGGGTGAGTAGGGTGGGGTGGGTGAGTGAGGTGGGTGAGTGGGGTGGGTGGGGTGGGTGAGTGAGTGGGGTGGGTGAGTGAGTGGGATGAGTGGGGTGGGTGAGTGAGTGGGGTGGGTGGGTGAGTGGGATAAGCGATGTAAGAAACCTGCTGCACCACCAGGAGACGGAATCGCACCGTTGACCTCTGGATCTCCAGTCCTGCTGACCGTTAACACTGCAGTGTCGACAGCGAGCGTGGAGAACACGAATACATAAATAAATCAGGGTCTGAGATTGCATTGAAAATAGCGACAGCTTTATCACTGAATAGATTATACGCGCGAGTGTGACTTAGCGTGCCACTCAAAATTCAAGTTGGTTATTTTCAAGGTCACGCAGCCTGCTTTTATTCGTGCGCCGTTCAACTCAGGCCACTGCGAGTTGAGAGGCGATGCCGCGTGATATTTATCGGCCTCTCAACGGAGTCTGACAACGGATCGCGGGCAAGGCATACAGAGTTGCAGAGTAGAGCGAGTGGATGAGTGGGTGGGTGAGTAGGTGAGTGGGTAGGTGAGTCATTGAGTGAGTGGGTAGGTGAGTAGTCGAGTACGGGGAGCGGCGGCGCAGCGGTTAGCGCACTGCGCTACAAACCCGGCGACCCGAGTTCGATTCCCACTCACGGCCAACACCCACTGATGATTATCTGAACCGGTCATGAACCTCCCATAGGTCAACACAGCCTCCTGTATAAACATCGCCACTGGGAAGACAAAGGCGGCCGGGCGTTGTGCTGGCCACAGTGCCGGGCTTCATAGGTGCTGTCTGATAACAGCACCTGCCCCAACAGTCTGGCAAGGCTTCACGGGGGATCTTTGTGTGTGTGTGTGCAGTTGCGATTTTGTGGCAGATATTATTTTAACCCTAATCAGCAATATTTCACTTAAAAAATGTAACATTTGTCCATTATGCATGAGTGTTCTCATGATTAAAACATATGGCTTTCAGATGTTATTTACACTTTCGTGCCATTAATATTTGAGCTGTACGGGTCTCCAGCCCGTGCAATATTGAATGGTGTCCTCTATTTATCCATGCCCATGTCTCTTTGCGCGCGCGTGTGTGTGGTTGTGTACGGTGGGGAGTGGTGGTGCAGCGGTCAGCGCTACGCTGCGGTACTAACCCGGCGACCCCGAGTTCGATTCCCCGCTTACGGCCACCAACGCCGGTGACGATTATCTGAACCGGTCCTGGGCCTCCCCTAGGTCGACTCGGCCTAAAATGAGCACCTGCTGCGGTGTGCGTAAATATTGCCACTGGGGGAGACAAAGGCGGCCTGGCGTGGTGCTGGCCACCCACCCCGCCTCGTGTGGCAGGGTGCCGGCCTTTGTAGGTGCTGCTGCTCGCTAACAGCACTTGCCCCAACAGTCTGTTACAGGCTACACGGGGGAACTTTGTCTTTGTGTGTCTCCCTGGCAGGTGATCACGCTGGAAGGCTGGGTGGACATCATGTACTACGTCATGGACGTTCACTCCTTCTACAACTTCATTTACTTCATTCTGCTCATCATCGTAAGTCGCACAGCGCACTTGCGCTCACTCACCACGTGCTTACGAAAACTATTTTTTATTTCACCAGGTGTAAGGCCCGTGTTGCGATCGAAACGTCGTGATATTTTTGTTCACTGTATTTATTTATATTATAATCATTTTTTTCTATCTATGTGACTTTACTGGAAGAACCTTAGAATATGAATTCCTGCAGTCCCGGAAGTTTTAAGTCAAAATGTAAATACATGATGTTGATTCTAAATATGGAGGGAAAAACCGGAGAACCCGGATAAAAATCGCGTGGAGAGAAAGACACGCAAACTCCAAATAGACAGCAGCAGGCGTCATGGTCGGGATCGAAACCACGACCTCCTGTGTACCAGGCGAGGTAGTTAATGTCTTCGGGCCACCGTGATGATCATTAGAGAGAGAGACACGCAAACTCCAAATATACAGCAGGCGTCAGGGTCGGGATCGAACCCACGACCTCCTGTACACCAGGTGAGGTAGTTAACATCTCCTAGCCACACACACACACCTACAGACACACAGACACACGCACAGACGCACACACGCACACACGCACAATCAACGCAGAGCACAACCGCGGCTCGGCCTCGCACCGCTCCGAGCTTCTCTCCTCCCGGCTGCGATTCTCTGCCTCCTCGCCGCGTTGCTGTCGACGCGTCTTGATTTAAAGGGGCGACCAAAAATATAAAAACCCGGCCTCCCCTCTTCGCCTGTCAGCCGCAATCAGCGGTGGGAGCCTCAAAGTGTTCCACCTGCGTCCCAGGGTGACCCGCCCACAACATGTGTGTGTCCATGTGTATGTTCGTGCGTATGGCCGTGTGGCCTTGCATGTGGCCGTGTGTGTCTACAGCTGTGTGTGTGCGGCCGTGTGGCCCTGCGGTGGTAGATGGCTGTGTAGCATCACGGCTCGTGGTGGTGCGGCTCCCAACGTTTTTGCTGGACGTGTTCCCACCGCACCGGACCAGACCCCACCACCAACACCACCACACCCAGCGTCGCTTTCGCCCTACGTGTTAAACCTCAGTTTAACACGTAGGCTTTCGCGACCAATATAATCCATAATAGAAGTTTTTGGGTTAGATCGCGTAAATATATAAATGTGTCGTTAAAACCCGCCACCACCCGACACAGCCAACTAGTAAGGGTTGTCACGTAAACAGAAGGTGCCAATTCATCACTAGTACAGCACTAGTGTGTAGTGTAATGTATAGTTGTGTAATGTATAGTGTAGTGTATAGTAGTGTAGTGTATAGTGTAGTGTATAATAGTGTATAGTGTAGTGTATAGTAGTGTAGTGTATAGTAGTGTATAGTGTAGTGTATAGTAGTGCAGTGTATAGTAGTGCAGTGTATAGTAGTGTAGTGTATGTAGTGTAGTGTATAGTGTAGTGTATGTAGTGTAGTGTATAGTGTAGTGTATAGTGTAGTGTATAGTAGTGTATAGTAGTGCAGTGTATAGTAGTGTAGTGTATAGTAGTGTAGTGTATAGTAGTGTAGTGTATAGTGTAGTGTAGTATACTAGTACAGCACACCAGTGTGTTGGAGAGCCAAGCCACAACATTTACAATCTGAGTACGACGTTTCGCCAGTGATTACAACTAGCTTCATCAGGCGACAGCCAGATTTGTGGAGAAGTCCACCTGTTTCGTTTCTTATATACAGTGAGGGAAAAATATATTTGATCCCCTGCTGATTTTGTACGTTTACCCACTGACAAAGAAATGATCAGTCTATAATTTTAATGGTAGATTTATTCGAACAATGAGAGACAGAATAACAAAAAAAAATCCAGAAAAACGCATGAAAAAATGTTATAAATTGATTCGAATTTTAATGAGGGAAATAAGTATTTGACCCCTCTGCAAAACATGACTTAGTACTTAGTGGCAAAACCCTTGTTGGCAATCACAGAGGTCAGACGTTTCTTGTAGTTGGCCACCAGGTTTGCACACATCTCAGGAGGGATTTTGTCCCACTCCTCTTGCAGATCTTCTCTAAGTCATTAAGGTTTCGAGGCTGACGTTTGGCAACTCGAACCTTCAGCTCCCTCCACAGATTTTCTATGGGATTAAGGTCTGGAGACTGGCTAGGCCACTCCAGGACCTTAATACGCTTCTTCTTGAGCCACTCCTTTGTTGCCTTGGCCGTGTGTTTTGGGTCATTGTCATGCTGGAATACCCATCCACGACCCATTTTCAATGCCCTGGCTGAGGGAAGAAGATTTGACGGTACATGGCCCCGTCCATCGTCCCTTTTATGCGGTGAAGTTGTCCTGTCCCCTTAGCAGAAAAACACCCCCAAATCATAATGTTTCCACCTCCATGTTTGACGGTGGGGATGGTGTTCTTGGGGTCATAGGCAGCATTCCTCCTCCTCCAAACACGGCGAGTTGAGTTGATGCCAAAGAGCTCCATTTTGGTGTCATCTGACCACAACACTTTCACCCAGTTGTCCTCTGAATCATTCAGATGTTCATTGGCAAACTTTAGACGGGCATGTATATGTGCTTTCTTGAGCAGGGGGGCCTTGTGGGCGCTGCAGGATTTCAGTCCTTCGTGGCGTAGTGTGTTACCAACTGTTTTCTTGGTGACTATGGTCCCAGCTGCCTTGAGATCATTGACAAGATCCTCCCGTGTAGTTCTGGGCTGATTCCTCACCGTTCTCATGATCATTGCAACTCCACGAGGTGATATCTTGCATGGAGCCCCAGGCCGAGGGAGATTGACAGTTTTTTTGTGTTTCTTCCATTTGCGAATAATCGCACCAACTGTTGTCACCTTCTCACCAAGCTGCTTGGCGATGGTCTTGTAGCCCATTCCAGCCTTGTGTCTTGGCCATGGTGGAGAGTTTGGAATCTGATTGATTGATTGATTTTGTGAACAGGTGACTTTTATACAGGTAACAAACTGAGATTAGGAGCACTCCCTTTAAGAGTGTGCTCCTAATCTCAGCTCGTTACCTGTATAAAAGACACCTGGGAGCCAGAAATATTTCTGATTGAGAGGGGGTCAAATACTTATTTCCCTCATTAAAATGCAAATCAATTTATAACATTTTTGACATGCGTTTTTTCTGGATTTTGTTGTTGTTATTCTGTCTCTCACTGTTCAAATAAACCTACCATTAAAATTATAGACTAATCATTTCTTTGTCAGTGGGCAAACGCACAAAATCAGCAGGGGATCAAATACTTTTTTCCCTCACTGTAGAGGCGTAGATGTGTTGACCACCCTTCTGCGCTCTTGCACAATGTAATCCCCCCCCATCCATTCCGCCGTGTGTGTGACCCCCCACAGGTCGGCTCCTTCTTCATGATCAACCTGTGCCTGGTGGTGATCGCCACGCAGTTCTCCGAGACCAAGCAACGCGAGTGCCAGCTGATGCGCGAGCAGCGCGCCCGCTTCCTTTCCAACGACAGCACCCTCGCCAGCTTCTCGGAGCCGGGCAGCTGCTACGAGGAGCTGCTCAAGTACGTGGGCCACGTGTACCGCAAGGCGGCTCGCCAGGTCCGCCGCGCCTACCGCGAGTGGCGCCGCCGCCGGAGACGCAGGAGGAGTTTCGGCGGCGGCGGCGTCGCGAACGCCGGGAGCGTCTGCGCCGGAGGGGAGTACGGCACCGGCGCGGAGTACGCCGGAGGGTTTTGCTCGGCGGCGTGGGACCGGCGGCGGGGGAGGGCCGACGGCGGCGGCGCGGCCGGGGCCACCGCCGTGGCGTTCGGCCGGAGGCGGCAGAGGCCGGCGAAGGAGTCGGCGGAGAGGAAGAGGAGGCGGCGGCGGAAGAGGATGCGCTCGATCCACCACCTGATCCATCACCACCACCACCATCACCACCACCACTACCACCTCGGCTCCGAGCAGCAGCGGCAGAAGACGGATAAGCTCGTCGTGTTTGACAGCGGCGTCGGCGGCGGCGGAAACGCCAACGGGAGTTCCCGGCTACTCGGGAGCGAGTTAGGAAATTTGCGCCAAGCGTGCGGCGAATGCGGCGGCTCCAGCGGCGGCGGCAGCAGCAGCGGCGGAAGCAACGACGGCGGTGGTAGCGGTGGTAGCGGTGGTGGCGGTGGCGGCGGCGGCGGTAGCGGGGGCGGTTCGGCGCGTCCCTCCAACAGCCTCATGCTGCCGGTAGGCCCGAGCCTGCAGCAGGCCTCGAGTTCGGAGTCAGTGCACAGCGTCTACCACGCGGACTGCCACCTCGACGCGCTGCCTCTCCGCCACTCGCCGGTGGCGGCCTCCCCACGCACCGAGTCGCTCCGCTCGGTGGCGCGGATGAGCGCCGCGGCCGCCGCCGCGGCCGCCGCGGCCGTGGCTCAGGTCCAGGGAGGAGGCCCCCCCGGCGGAGAGGCGCCGGCGGCGGCGGGGGGCGTCGGGGCGTGTCACGCGGTGGCGGCGGTGTCTGACGGAGGGAAGGAGAAGAGGGTTCAGTCGGCGCCGCCGCCGATGGATCCGTACACGAAGCTCCAGCACTTTGTGGGAGCTCGCAGTGAGTGCAGCCATTGGCTCGGTCTTCCTCTCTTGTGCATACGCGTGCGTGTGTGTGCGTGTGTGCCTGTGTGTGGGTAAATTGAGCTTCCTTTGCACCGTATGTAGCCAGCCGTGTATAATAGTGTAGAGTATAGTGTAGTGTATAGTAGTGTATAGTCTCGTGTATTGTGCAGTGTATAGTAGTGTAGTGTATTGTATAGTGTGGTGTAAAATCTAGTGAATTGTGTTGTATATATGTTGAACTTCTTTCGCACCGTGCGTAGCCAACCACGTTAATTGGAGGTCGTTGTGGTTGTTGTTGTCGTTGTTTACCGAGCCGCCGTATCCCACTGCTCGCTTGCGACGTGGTCGTCATGCGGTGTGCCGTAGCGCCGGCAACTGCAATGCGGTGCGATTGACGTTCAATCGCACCGTGTTTCAGTGGGGCCTGCGTTTGCAATTGCATTGCACTCTTTCAATACTGCATCGCGATTACAATGCCAAGTGCTGCGGTGCTGACTCCCACAATGCATTGCAATTAATTATAATGCATTGCAATGCGCCGTCTATTGGATTGGCATTGAAATGCACTACATTGAAGTCAAGTGCATTGCAATTACAGTACAATTAAATGTGCTGTAGTTTTGCTCCCACAATGCACAGCTGCACTCCTGACATTGACTTTATAATATATTTCTTACGCCATTGTTGTCCCGACTGATCGCGCCTGCAGCATCGTAGACCACTGCATTGTTAGAAAGCGACCCTCGGGAAACGTATATCACACAACTGCCTCCGACCGCGTTAGTAATTTTGCGTGACGTCGTGCGGTGACATCGTCGCGTGTTGACGACGTCACCGTCGCGTCATCGCACAGACGACGGGGGACGCAAGCGGCGTTGGCGAGCGCCCTGCAAGGGAGCGAGCGCCGTGCGAGCGATCGAGCATTTCGTACCGTGCGCTGTGGCTGTGCTTCTCCTCCCCTTCCCCAGGCTCGTGCTGCGGAGGGGGGGCGCCCCCCCTTTCGGTGTCGTTTTCCGCAGGGGCGGCGCGTGGCGACGTGCTGCCCTGCAAGCTGGAGAAGTGCTCGCTGTGCGCGGAGGCCGTGTCGGCCATGCGGCGGCACGCCCAGCGGGACTACGACGACGATGACGACGATGACGATGACGACGACGACGACGACGACGATGACGATGACGACGATGACGACGATGACTTGTGTTCCGATTCGGAAAACGACGAGAATGAGAATTGCGAAGGATATAATTCGGATGCGGATCGAGACCGGCAAGAAGAAGAGGAGGAGGAGGACGAGGTGAGGGCTTTGTGGATCCTGGCACGCTTTACTCGTTGATTGGTCGGTAGCACGTGTTAATATAGTGAGAGGACTGCAGACCTCGGGCCATTGCTTGTGGTAGCGGGGGGTCGCTCGTGCACCCACTTTGTTCAGGATTTCTCACACCTCCGAGTCGTTCTCTGTCGACGACGAGACACGGTGGCGGCGTAACCGTGAGTGTCACAAGTTGTTTTTGTTTGAAGGAAGGGCTAAATTAAAAAGTAAATGGTTTTATTTTTGTACCAGGTGTGAGGCCACCCATTGAGCTATTCTGTAACTCTTTTATCAGAAGCGACCATCATCATCACCATGTGGGAACTTGTTGCAACAGCCAAATGTGTGACGTTGATTCTAAATGTGGAGGAAAAAACCAGAGGACCCGGATAGAAATCCACGCAACCACGGGGAGACACGCGAACTCCACGTCGAGGTGATGTCAGGTTGAACCCACGAACGCCTGCATATGAGGCGAGGTCGTTAATCTCCTAGCCACCATGGCGAGATGTTAGCTCCACATATACAGCAGGTGTCAGGGTCGGGATCGAGCCCACAATCTCCTGCACACCAGGGGAGGGAGTAATCATCTCACCCAGCCACTGTGGCGCTTCTTAAAACTGACTGACCCAACCGATGATCACGACGGCGACGAGGATGTGAATTGGTGCAGTTCACATGGTGAGTAATTATCTCTGACCGTGCAAAACCCCCGATGAGCAAACCTAGCTGACGGCGTTCACCGTCGACGGACGAACGTCCGGGCTCGCCAGTCCCCGTCCTTGGGGCCAGAGCCTCCTCCACCACCCAACAACACCGTCCTGCCGGGGGGCCGCTGGCCGACTGAACGAACTCTCGCTGTCATCGCAGGCCCATGTCGCCGCACGCGGCGGCGCCGGCGTAGGCGCGGGCGAGTGCGTGTACGAGTTCACGCGCGACGTCGTGCACTCGCGCCCGCACCACGCCGGCTGGAGCTTGGGGCGCTGCGGCGATCGCTCGGCGTGGGACGCGGCGGCGGCCGCGGCGGCATCGGCGGCGGCGTCGGCCGCGGCGAGACGGCAGCGGGCGCAGCTGACGCAGCAGCAGCAGCAGCAGCAAAGGAGGAAGCGGAGGAGGAAGAGGAGGAGGCGAGGGAGAGGCGAGGAGGAGGATGAGGAGGAGGGCGAGGGCGGTGCCTGCCGGCGCTGCCTGCGTGCCCTCGCGCACTGCCTCCGCAAGATCGTCGACAGCAAGTACTTCAACCGGGGCATCATGGTGGCCATCCTCATCAACACGCTCAGCATGGGCATCGAGTACCACGAGCAGGTAACCGCCGTCACCACGTCGACCTGCCTAGCGCCACCCTCGTCCACACGGGCGTGACGCTATTGCTACTTGGATCGGCGTGCCGGCGATGCTTATCGCGTCGCGCCCAACAAGATGCCAGGCATTCCTCGGCCGCCACTCAATCACGAGCCGGCTCCCCAATCGTCCGCCCCAATCGTCCCCTCCGGTCCACGGGGCGCCCTGCTGCCAGCTGCCGCCGCTGCTGCCGCCCATCGCTCACCTTTCCCTTATCGGTCCGGGTGATGGCTGTGACCTGAGTGCGTTGGGCTGTTTAATGGTCTGAAGCGAGTTATTCGTTTTAATTGAATAAGTGGAGAGGTGCGTGCTTGCAGTTATTTATGTTTGCGTGCAACATTCCAGCGGGCACACCACTTAAAAGAAAAACACAAACCCCACTCCTTAAACGGCGCATTCCCTGGGGCAGCAGGTGACCCCACAGGCTCAGAGGTCAGAGGCGCTGAGTTCCCCGCTGGGTAGGGTCCTGGTGTCTAACCGTGGATTTTGATTGCCCGGCTGTGGTTTCAACAACTCTGAGACGCTCAGATCCCCGATGCTTAGTGTCCTGGTGTTCAACCGTGGATTTCGGTTGCCCCGGCCACAGCAATTCTACTTTGGTTCTGGAGTGCATGAGTCGATGCGTGCACACGTACAGTAGAGACTCGCAGACTCGCAAGAGAGACCCATAGACACACACAGAGACCCATAGACTCACATAGAGACCCGTAGACTCACATAGAGATCCCTAAATTCACATAAAGACCCATATAATAATATAAAGAGCCATAGACTCACATAGAGACCCAATCGACTCATATAGAGACCAATAGATTCACGTGGAACTAGTTGTCATGCTAAGTTCACGTTTTGCTACCTAACACGAGTACCACATTGTGTGTGCGTGCGTGTGGGGAAGTCGTCAACGGCTCGCGCCATTCCACGGTAGAGGAATGTGGAATTTCCACCAGCGGCTCGGCACCTTGCAGAGCAGCAGACGAGCGGTAGCGCCTCGGCGGGGAGGACATTCACCCTCTCCCTCTCTCCCCTTGGCTTGTTGCTTTTTTTAGACGGCGGCGAATCAGAAGAGATATCGGAGCCGTCGACAGCCGCGATGTCGGGGGGGGGGGGGGGGGGCGGTGACAGAAATTGATCGGGTGGACAACAGGACGTGAATCAATATTAATGGAGTCTCCTGGAGCCTACGTGGGCTCGGGCAAATAACTCTTTTTGTTCTGTTCTGCCACGCGCTCGTTAAACAGAGGTTGTGGGTTTAGCTGTTGTTGCTGATGTTGGGTGAGGTCGCGTGAATGTGTTGTTGGCAAGTGCCGCCCGCCACCACCCGACACGGCCAGTTAGTAAAGGCGTTGATGCGCGAGCAAAACTCATTGCTAGTTCAGCACTTACCGGTTGTGTTGGAGAGTAAACCCACTACAGCATTTACAATTATAGTGTAGTATATAGTGTAGTGTATAGTGTAGTGTATAGTAGTGTATAGTGTAGTATATAGTGTAGTGTATAGTAGTGTATAGTGTTGTGTATAGTGTAGTAGTATAGTAGTGTATAGTGTAGTGTATAGTATGGTGTATAGTGTAGTGTATAGTAGTGTAGTGTGTAGTGTAGTGTATAGTGTGGTATAGTGTAGTGTATAGTGTAGTCTATAGTAGTGTATAGTGTTGTGTATAGTGTAGTGTATAGTGTGGTGTATAGTGTATAGTGTAGTGTATAGTGTAGTGTATAGTGTAGTGTATAGTGTAGTGTATAGTGTAGTGTGTAGTGTAATGTATAGTGTAGTGTATAGTGTATAGTGTAGTGTATAGTGTAGTGTATAGTGTAGTGTATAGTGTAGTAGTGTAGTGTATAGTGTAGTGTATAGTGTAGTGTATAGTGTAGTGTATAGTGTAAGTAGTGTAGTGTGTAGTGTAGTGTATAGTGTGTATAGTGTAGTGTATAGTGTAGTGTAGTGTATAGTGTAGTGTATAGTGTAGTGTATAGTGTAGTGTATAGTGTAGTGTATAGTGTAGTGTATAGTGTAGTAAACCCACTACAACATTTACAATTCGATCACCGTGACGTTGTTCTGCCAGCATCGGTGGCGTATTTAACCGCACGGATGAACCGTCCCCACCACGGGAACGTGGAATGTCCAGCGCCGGCTCGCGTCAAACTCACGGGGGAGAGAGAGACACGCGAGAGACAGAGAGAGAGAGAGAGAGAGGCGACGGCATTCGTTTTGCCGGGATAAACCATTTTAAAGGGAATAAGACCCCGCGGCGCTTCTGGATTTCTGGACGTCACGGAGAGGATTTGGCGGTTCTGGCTTGCGAGCGACGTTCTCCGATTCGGCACAAAGCGGTGGTCGGACGGACGGGGTCGGGGAGCCTCCAACGATCCTCGCCCTCTGGCAGCAACGCCGTCAATGTTTGTGCTAACGAGGCCCTCCCCTCCCTCCCACTCCTCCTTACCTCCCCTACTTCCCTCTCCTGCCTTCCTCCCTCCCTTCCCCTCCTCCCCTCCCTTCCCCTCTATATATATATCTAAGTATCTCTAGGAGTTTTATGTATCTGTATGAGTCTCTATGTATCTCTGTGAGTCTCTATGTGTCTCTATGAGTCTCCGAGTCTCTTTGTATCGCTATGTATCTTGATGAGTCTCTATGTATCTCTATGAGTCTCTATGCATCTCTATGTATCTATATGAGTCTATGCATCTATATGTATCTGTATGAGTATCTATGTATCTCTATGAGTTTCTATGAGTCTCTATGTATCTCTATGAGTCTCTATGCATCTCTATGTATCTCTATGAGTATCTATGTATCTCCGCGAGTCTCTATGCATCTCTATGTATCTATATGAGTCTCTCTACAATCATGCTTTTGAGCGACTCTGAGCTTGGCTCCGCGCCTCTGAGTTGCGGCCACTACGTCTGCAAATTTGCGCGCGTTACAAATTGTACTATTATTATTATGCACCTCTATGTATCTATATGAGTATCTATGTATCTCTATGAGTTTCTATGAGTCTCTATGTATCTCTGAGTATCTATGCATCTCTATGTATCTATATGAGTATCTATGTATCTCTATGAGTTTCTATGAGTCTCTATGTATCTCTAGAAGTTTAATTTGTGGAAGGGGCCAGCCGAAGATAGAACACCGACGGCGCTGCCATGTGAGAGGTTCACATAGAGACCCGTAGACTCACATAGAGACCCGTAGACTCATATAGAGACCCGTAGACTCACATAGAGACCCGTAGACTCACATAGAGACCCATAGATTCACATAGAGACCCATAGACTCACATAGAGACCCGTAGACTCACATAGAGACCCGTAGACTCACATAGAGACCCATAGACTCACATAGAGACCCATAGACTCACATAGAGACCCATAGACTCACATAGAGACCCATAGACTCACATAGAGACCCGTAGACTCACATAGAGACCCATAGACTCACATAGAGACCCATAGACTCACGCAGAGACCCATAGACTCATATAGAGAGCAAAAAACTCACATAGAGACCCATAGACTCACAGAGATCCATAGACTCATGTAGAGACCCATAGACTCACATATAGACCCATAAACTCACGCAGAGACCCACAGACTCAAAAATAGACCCATAGACTCACATATAGACCCATAAACGCACGCAGAGACACATAAACACACGCAGAGACCTATAGACTCACATAGAGACCCATAGACTCACACAGAGACCCATAGACTCATACAGAGAACAGAGATGGTGCGTCACGTGAAAACTCCGTAAATCATTGGCGAGCCGCGCGGGAAATGGAACCAAATTAAAACCACCCGTTCTGGCAGACGAGCCTCGGCCCCACGCTTCCGAGTTCACAACCGACGGCCGCTGTCGGAGACACCGAGCCGACACGACCGCGTTGGGATACGATGAGGTCCGAGCCCCGGGGTCTGGGTGTCGCGTGCTCTCGCGCACGCGGTCGCCCTCGTCGGCGGGCACGGAGTGCGAGCGTCGCTGACAGCCTGGGTCTCTGTCCTTCACATCTGGCGCAATGCCCAATTCTGGCCTCCACATTTGGAGCTCCCCTGAGCGCCCTCCCCCAGGAGGCTCCTGACGCTCCACCTCAGGCCCCTCGCCCTCGAAAGGGGTCTCCGTGTCGGCGGCGATCGTGACGGCCCCCGCACACCAGAGCCACGGAGCCAAAGGGGGGCTCCGTGGCGGGTCACGATTAGAATGTCGCAGCCCTCCCCCGGCCATCGACCGACGGACAAAACAAGCTAACTCGCTCGCTCGCTCTGCGAGTGCGACGTAGTCGCTATATTGATGCGGGCGCGTATTCGCGAGCGATTGAACGGGGACCACCGGCTAAAGGCTCTCAGGTGGTGGCGTCAGGCAGTGTGTGTGGCACGTGCGTGCGCGTGTCCGTCCGTGGATTAATCGACTTAGGCGCCCGGATGAACACCGATGTGTGTACGTGATCCTGCGAAGCGGGCTGGTGTTTGGATTAAGCGAGGCCCTCCATTGCAAACAACACGTGCCGGCAAAGTGCATTTGGAAAAGGTTTTCTTTGTGCTGCGTGGGCGTGCGGGCGGGAGCGGGCGGGAGCGCGCGCGCGTGTTCCCGCGTGTGTGTGTGTGCGTGCGCGTCTGCGTGCGTGTGCACCGGGGAGCGGTGGTGGCGCAGTTGGCGCTCTGCGCTACGAACCCGGCGACCCGACTTCGATTCCCGCTCATGGCCAACACCGGTGACGATTATTTGAACCGGTCATGGGCCTCCCCTGGGTCGACTCAGCCTCAAATGAGTACTTGGTGCGGTGTGTAGTAAACATCGCCACTGGGGAGACAAAGGCGGCCGAGCGTGGAGTTGGCCACCCACCCCTGGTCTCTGGAGCTCTCACCTGGACAATCTCGATCAACGGGAACACTCTGCAGTGCAGGGGGAGGACGCGACAAACTCAGCACACAGAAGACAAAGATCCCCCGTATAGCCTGATCGGACTGTTGGGGCAAGTGCCATTAGCCGGGCGTGGTGGTGGCCAGCACCACGCCCGACCGCCTTTGTCTTTCCCAGGAGCAATATTCACACACCGCACGAGGAACTCGTTTGAGTCTGGACCGGTTTCAGATAATCGCCACCGGTGTTTGGCGGCCGTGAGCGGAGAATAGAACTCGGGTCACCGGGTTCATAGCGCAGCGTAGCGCTGACCGCTGCGCTCCCCACACACCACGCGCACGTCGCATTTCTAGAATGGTGGACAGTTTGCCGCGGTGAGATGTGATCGCCGCTGGAAATTAATCATAAATGCCCGACTCTTTTAAAGGGTCGTTACGGGGGGAGGTCGTGCTGACAGTTACCATTAACTACCTCGCCTGGTATGAAGGAGGTCGTGGGTTCGATCCCGTATATTCAGAGTTTTGCGTGTCCCTCGCTCTCTCTCTCTCTCCCCGTGGCCGCGTGGATTTTTATCTGGGTTCTCTGGTTTTCCTCCTCCACATTTAGAATCAACATCAAGCTGCTGCTATAGATTTCCACGCGATGATGACGTTAGGTGGACGATAAGCCAGCTTTGTCGCTGCTATTATTATTGCTGCTAATACTACTGCTGATGCTGTTATTACTTATGATAATACTGCTGCTGATGCTGTTATTATTTCTTGTGATAATACTGCTGCTGCTATTATTATTGCTGCTATTACTACTGCTGATGCTGCTATTATTACTTATGATAATACTGCTGCTGCTATTATTATTGCTGCTAATACTGCTGCTGCTATTATTATTGCTGATAATACTGCTGTTATTATTACTGATTATACCGCTTCTATTCTTATTATTTCTACTAATACTACTGCTGCTGCTGCTACTCTTATTGCTGCTAATACTGCTGCTGCTACTATTACTGCTGCTAATTCTACTGCTGCTGTTACTATTATTGCTGCTAGTACTGCTGCTGCTACTATTATTGCCACCATCACTACTGCTGCTGCTGTTATTTCCGCTACTACTGCTGCTGCTGCTGATGTCTGTACGTTGAACTTCCTTCGCACTCGCGCACCGTACGTAGCCAAATGTGCCAATCGGAGGGGCGGGAAATGTCCAGGTGTTCAGTCGGGGTACGACGTGGGGTCGAGAGGTTACTGACGGTAGACACCCCCCTCCCCCCGCTACGATCGCAGCCAGACGAGCTGACGAGCGCACTGGAGATCAGCAACATCGTCTTCACGAGCCTCTTCGCACTGGAGATGGTCCTCAAGCTCCTGGCGTTCGGTCCACTGGGGTACATCAAGAACCCCTACAACATATTCGACGGCGTCATTGTCATCATCAGGTCAGGCATGGCGAGATTCAGGATGGATAAATATCTCTATTGCGGTATCGGTAACGATCAAAATGAAGGAACCAGCTCGTTTTTGTTTTAACGCCGAATGTATCGCTGCCGAAACGGTAAAAAAGGGTCCATTCTTTATGGCAAGAAAGGTCCCATGATGTAGCTGCTCACCCCGAGCTAAAAATGCCCTGAGAGTGGCATTGTTCTTGTGCTGTTCGCCTTTTGGCGTCTTCTGGTCTAACACCGTGTGAGACGAGGATCTAGAGAAAGCTGTCTCTGGTGTGGACCAATCCGTTTCAAAGACAACGCCAAATACTACCAGAGCATGTTTTTGTTTGCATGTTCACCACACATGATTCCTCGATCATAACGCAACTGTTTAAATGCCAGGAGGGTAAAAGAAATTGTTATGAAGCCGATTCTGTTGAAGTTTCTGTCCCAATCGTTACGATTCCGGCAGCAACAACAGTTATAAAAATGGTCCCCAGGGATATTACAACTGCTCAACCCGAGTTGTTCATAATAACTCACATTTATTCACAAGGCGCCTTCTACCAATGTCTCAAGGTGCCTTGTAAGAACAAGGATGAGGAAAGGGCCAAAGAGAGACAGAGAAGCTAAATGGAATAAACCGACTTGAGAAGATGCGGTTTTAAAGACGACACTTTAAAGTATCAACATTGTCGGATAAACCAATTCCCAGCGGTCGGGGTGGTGGCGGATTCTGCAACTGTGGTGCAGATGCAGCAAGGTGCCCGTATTGAAACGGCTGTACGCCGCATGGACCTGAACACTCAATTTCCCCTGTACGAGAATGCGGGGTAAACCGTAGGGGTTGACACGCTGTGATGCACGCGGGCAGACAATGACATCACCCGCCGTTCGCTGCTAAAGTTGCGGTGAAGTCACCGCATCGCCCGTGCCAGGCCCAACAAGGTCTGAATTGGTCTGTAATAAGGTAGGGGCACTGATAAGCGCTCAGCAGCTACGGTGTGTCTGAGCGCGTCTCTCTCTCTCCATGCGTTACGTACGTCGCATCCGCCCGCTCGCTCAATCGCCCGCCCGCTCGCTCGCTCGCTCTCTCCAGCGTGTGGGAGATCGTGGGCCAGTCAGACGGGGGGCTGTCGGTGCTGCGTACGTTCCGCTTGCTGCGGGTGCTCAAGCTGGTGCGCTTCATGCCCGCGCTCCGGCGCCAGCTCGTGGTGCTCATCAAGACGATGGACAACGTCGCCACCTTCTGCATGCTGCTCATGCTGTTCATCTTCATCTTCAGGTGAGTGCGCCCGCAACACCGCCGACCCCACCCACCTGCCCACCCGCTCGCCCGCCCGCCCGCCCACCAACCCCCCGGCCATAGGAACATGGAATCGTCACCGCTTGGCTCCAGCGCACGGCTGTCAATGCTTCGTTGTCAATGCGGGCGGCGGAGAGGAGGGAAATCTCGTTCCAGCTCTTTGGCGCGAGCTCGTGAGCAAGAGGCTCGCTCAGTGGAGCGGTCACCGCAGCTTGTAAATTGCGATTGACAATCGATTTTTGTTTGTTCCGGGTGAAAATGCCGACGCTGTGTCGTGCAGCCCTCCCTCCGCCCGACGCAGTCAAATGAAACCCTGTGTGAACACAAAACATAACACTGGCCGTAACACAAATCGTAACACAAACCGTAACACAAACCGTAACACAGGCCGTAGCACAGGCCACACGACAACCCGGTTCTCCTCACACGAACGCTTGTTTTTCCTGCTCCCCCGTCTGCCCCCCCCCCCATCTGCACCCCCCCCCCCGTTGCCTTGTTCCGCTGGGCCCAAAGCATCCTGGGCATGCACCTGTTTGGGTGCAAGTTCAGCCGCCACCTCGACAACGGAGACACCGTCCCAGACCGCAAGAACTTTGACTCCCTCCTGTGGGCCATCGTCACCGTCTTCCAGGCGAGGCCTCACCTGCCTCTGTCTGTCTCCCTGTCTGTGTGTCTGTCTGTACGGCAGTCCTCGCTTAACACGCAGCGGTGTTCACGCGACAATGCCGTTCTTCCACGAGGGAACGCTTTTTGCACAACACGGAATGTGCCCCCGTTATAACATGGAAATGTGCTCTCGTTAAAACGTGCAATGCGCGCACCGCTCTAACACGTGACATGAGCATTCTAACGCGGTTTCTGAGCGGTCAACGACGAACTACTTTCTTGAGCTGCGCGGTCGAACGCTACACAGTTGTCTGTCCTGCCACCTCACTGCATAGTAATCGTCGTGGTAGTCGTGGTAGTGGTGGTAGTGGTGGTAGTGGTGGTAGTGGTGGTAGTCGCAGTCCCCCGTATCTCGCCAAACGTTATCTTCAGGACCGCGTCTGCCCCTCCCAGGGCGCTCAACGGGAACTCGGCGTGCGTCGTCTCGGGTGAGCTCGCGACGGCCGTGTCCGAGACACTGAGCCGGGGACACTGACAAGGAGGGTTCGAAGGCCCGGCTCCGCTCGTCTCTCTCCCTCAAGAAACCTGGGTTCGGAATCCAGGTCTCTCGGCGTGTCGGTCATTCAACCCGAGGCCCGCAGGCACGGCGAGCCGGCAGCCTAGGCCCCAAATGGGCTGGCAAGCGAGCCGAGTTCTAAAACGCGATGTCGTCATCGTCACCATCGTCGCAGATCCTCACGCAGGAAGACTGGAACGTGGTGCTCTACAACGGCATGGCCTCCACGTCGCCCTGGGCCGCGCTCTACTTCATCGCCCTCATGACCTTCGGGAACTACGTCCTCTTCAACCTCCTCGTCGCCATCCTCGTGGAGGGCTTCCAGGCTGAGGTGAGCACCGTCCGTGTGTGCGTGCGTCTGTCAGTGTGTCCGTCCGTCCGTCAGTCTGTCTGTCCGTCTGTCTGTCAATGTGTCTGTCTGTCAATGTGTCTGTCTGTCAATGTGTCCGTCTGTCTGTCAATGTGTCTGTCTGTCAATGTGTCCGTCTGTCTGTCAATGTGTCTGTCTGTCAATGTGTCCGGCTGTCTGTCAATGTGTCTGCCTGTCCGTCTGTCCATGCATCCGTTCGTCTGTCCATGTGTGCTGCACATGTGTACGTATGTATGTACGAGTACCCGGTGTGAGTGAGAGTACCCGGTGAGTGTGGGAGTATCTGGTGCGGTGATGGCTGTGGTGTTGGTGGTGGTGCTGGCCACCCCATCCCCTCCTGTGCCATGCCCGGCCTTCGCAGCCGCTGCTGCTCACTAACAGCACTTGCCATAAAAGTTTGTTGAGGCTACACGTGAGGGGGGGGGGATCTTTGTCTTTGTGCGGGGGGGAGCAGCGGTAGTGTAGCAGGTAGCGCGCTGCGATACGACCCCGGCGACCCGACTTCGATTCCCGCTCGCGGCCAACACCGGCGACGATGATCTCAACCGGTCCTGAGCCTCCCCTATGTCGACTCAGCTTCAAAAGAGTGCCCGGTGCGGTGCGTAGTAAACATCGCCACCGGGGAGACAAAGGCGGCCTGGGGTGGTGCTGGCCACCCAACCCCCTCGTGCGCCCCTCGCGAACAGCACTTGCCCCAACAACCTGCGGAAGGCTACACGGGGGAGCTTTGCCTTCGATTTTTACTTGGTGGCGGGCACCGGCGAGCTTCCTGACCCGCGCTCACGGCCACAGACACCGGCGACGGTCATCCATCCGGACCGGCTCCGGGGCCTCGCCGCCAAGGTTACACTCGGGCCCCCCCCCCCCCCCAAGTGATCGCCTGCCGTGGCGCGGAGTCAACGCGGAGTTCCGTGCGTCGGCGTGATCGAAATAGACCCGCCGTCGTTTGGCTGAGATGGAAAACACAACAAAAAAAGGCCCCACCCAACCTCCCCCCCCCAAAGAAAAAGCCGTCCTTTAAAAATAAACGAATATCGTTAATTATAATTAGGATAATTGTACACGGGGTGTGGGGGCCGCGCGCTCATCAACAGAGGAACATTCCGCGCCGGGGGAGGAAGCGAGCGTGTTGATAGCGGACACGGAGGTCACGCGCGGCGGGCGGGCGGGGAGATACAAAGGCGGGTGAGTGAGTCATCTGCGCCCCAACGGAGCACTCGTGCTGGGTGGCCCCCCGGGGATTTCGCAAGCGGAAGCCGTGGGAGCGTTATCTTGTAGTTGTAGATTTTCATATTGTATTTTACCCAGGCGCGAGTGTAACCATGAAACACGTGGTCACGTTCATTCTAAACGTGACCACGGGGAAAGAGAGAGAGGGGGAGAGAGACGCAGCTCAAAATATACAGTACTTCCAATTTATCAAATGTGGAATTCTAAACTCAACTACCAAATCATTGTTTTATTCACCAGGTGAGGCCCCACTGAGCTGCTAGTTTTCCCAGAAGCGACCTGGCTTCTTACAAATGACAGCTCAACAAAGTGGCTTATCGCCATGTGGAAATTGTTCATAGCAGCAGTCGAATACTCGAGTGACGTCGATTCATAATGTGGAGGGAACAACCGGAGGACCCGGAGAAAGCTCCACGGAGAGAGAGAGACACGCAAACTCCAAATATACAGCAGCAGCAGGCATCGTCAGGGTCGGGATCGAACCCACGACCTGCTGTAGACCAGGCGAGGTAGTCAACATCTCCTGGCCACCGTGATGATGATGATGAGAGAGACACGCAATCTCCAAATATACAGCAGCAGCAAGGCGTCAGGGTTGGGACTGAACCCACGACCTCCTGTGTACCAGACGAGGTAGTTAACATCTCCTGGCCACCGTGATGATGATGATGATGAGAGAGACACGCAAACTCCAAATATACAGCAGCAGCAGGCGTCAGGGTCGGGACCGAACCCACGACCTCCTGTATACCAGGCGAGGTAGTTAACATCTCCTGGCCACCGTGGCGCCCTCCTTGCTCGGCCGTGACCAGTCGTCGGTCACCGTCCCTTCTGCCGCTGCCCAAAGCGTCACCCCCACACCGCTCCTCGAGAAACGGCCTCGGTTGGTGCGGCGAGCCGGCCGGCCTGCACGTGCCGCCCTCCACTCCGCCTCAGACGCCATCTGCTGTCCGCGTGGCAGTCAAACCCTCGGAGGAGCCCTTCGCTTCTTGAGGCGGGGACACCGGAGCCCGACGAAGGCGCCAACTCGAATTTGACTCCGGAAGAGAGAGACGTAGAGAAAAGATTAAAACCAAACCCTGAGCGAGCATTCAATGGGGCTCGACGCTCAACCTCCAACTTGCGTCAGATTTTAAGGCGATTGGCTATTTCGTGCAGTCGATGGCTACCGGAGCTCTGAGTCCATCGACTCGCTACACTTGAGAACACCGTTTAGTTACAAGCCAGTTTGTGCGAGTCTACGGGTCTCTGTGTGAGTCTGCAGGTCTCTCTATGAATCTGTGGGTCTCTGTGTGGGGCTACGGGTCTCTGTGTGAGTCTATGGTTCTCTGTGTGAGTCTGTGGGTCTCTGTGTGAGTCTGTGGGTCTCTGTGTGAGTCTGTGTGGCTCTGTGTGAGTCTGTGGGTCTCTGTGTGAGTCTGTGGGTCTCTGTGTGAGTCTGTGGGTCTCTGTGGGTGTCTGTGGATCTCTGTGTGAGGCTGTGGGTCTCTGTGTGAGTCTGTGTCTATGTGTGAGTCTCTGGGTCTTTGTGTGAGTCTATGGGTCTCTGTGTGAGTCTGTGTGAGTCTATGGGTCTCTGTGTGAGTCTGTGTCTATGTGTGAGTCTCTGGGTCTCTGTGGGAGTTTGTGGGTCTCTGTGTGAGTCTATGGGTCTCTGTGTGAGTCTTTGTGGCTCTGTGTGAGTCTGTGTCTATGTGTGAGTCTCTGGGTCTCTGTGGGAGTCTGTGAGTCTCTGTGTGAGTCTGTGGGTCTCTGTGGGAGTCTGTGGGTCTTTGTGTGAGTCTATGGGTCTCTGTGTGAGTCTGTGTCTCTGTGTGAGTCTGTGTGGCTCTGTGTGAGTCTATGTGGCTCTGTGTGAGTCTATGTGTCTATGTGTGAGTCTGTGGGTCTCTGTGGGAGTCTGTGTGTCTCTGTGTGAGTCTGTGTGGCTCTGTGTGAGTCTATGTGTCTATGTGTGAGTTTGTGGGTCTCTGTGTGAGTCTATGTGTCTGTGTGTGAGTCTGTGGGTCTCTGTGTGAGTCTGTGGGTCTCTGTGTGAGTCTGCGGGTCTCTGTGTGAGTCTGTGTGTCTCTGTGTGAGTCTGTGTGGCTCTGTGTGAGTCTATGTGTCTATGTGTGAGTTTGTGGGTCTCTGTGTGAGTCTATGTGTCTGTGTGTGAGTCTGTGGGTCTCTGTGTGAGTCTGTGGGTCTCTGTGTGAGTCTGTGGGTCTCTGTGTGAGTCTGTGGGTCTCTGTGTGAGTCTGCGGGTCTCTGTGTGAGTCTGTGTGTCTCTGTGTGAGTATGTGTGGCTCTGTGTGAGTCTATGTGTCTATGTGTGAGTTTGTGGGTCTCTGTGTGAGTCTATGTGTCTGTGTGTGAGTCTGTGGGTCTCCGTGTGAGTCTGTGGGTCTCTGTGGGAGTCATTAGTGACCGGGGTGAGACCATCAACTCGCTCCACTTGGCATCCCGGTCTAACCCCAGGCAACAGCTGAACCCCGGCGTGTAACCCAGGGACCTCATCCGTGCACCACCCTCTAACACGAACTCGACCGAACAAAGGCGCAGCCCTGCAAGTGCTTGCTCCGGCCACTGTTAACAGAAGGTGGCTCACTCGAGGCAGCGCTCGAGAGGGTCCCTTCTGGGGGGAATTTGGCCTACTCTTCCGCACTGGCCAGACGTCTCAGAAGAAGCGGTGCGAGTTCCCACGCGCTCACCACCGCCACGCTCACCACCGCCACGCTCACCACCGCCACGCTCGCCACGCTCGCCATCGCCACGCTCGCCACGCTCACCACCGCCCCGCTCACTACCTCCATGCTCACCACCGCCCCGCTCACATCTCCACGCTCACCACCGCCCCACTCACCACCGCCACGCTCACCACCGCCACGCTCACCACCGCCCCGCTCACCACCTCCACGCTCACCACCGCCACGCTCACCACCGCCACGCTCGCCATCGCCCCACTCACCACCGCCATGCTCACCAACGCCACGCTCACCACCGCCCCGCTCGCCACCGCCACGCTCGCCATCGCCACGCTCGCCATCGCCCCACTCACCACCGCCACGCTCACCACCGCCACGCTCACCAACGCCATGCTCACCACCGCCCCGCTCACCACCGCCACGCTCACCACCGCCACGCTCACCACCGCCACGCTCACCACCGCCACGCTCACCACCGCCACGCTCACCACCGCCACGCTCACCACCGCCACGCTCACCACCGCCACACTCACCACCGCCACGCTCACCACCGCCACGCTCACCACCGCCACGCTCACCACCGCCACACTCACCACCGCCACGCTCACCACCGCCACCCTCACCACCGCCACGCTCACCAACGCCACGCTCACCACCGCCACGCTCACCACCGCCACGCTCACCACCGCCGTATCCAACCGAGCGAGCGACCGACCCGGTCGGTTGCATACAGGTCACGTGAGCAGGTCAGGTGAGCAGGTCACGTGAGCAGGTCAGGTGATCAGGTCAGGTGATCAGGTCAGGTGAGCAGGTCAGGTGAGCAGGTCACGTGAGCAGGTCAGGTGAGCAGGTCAGGTGAGCAGGTCACGTGAGCAGGTCAGGTGAGCAGGTCACGTGAGCAGGTCAGGTGAGCGCTGCTCACCGTGACACCGCCACTGTGACGGTAGCAGACCAGACGTGCTGTATGTGCGTGGTGTGTGTGCTGTGTTTGTGTGCTGTGTTTGTGTGTATGTGTGTGTGTGCTGTGTGTGTGCGTGGTGTGTGTGTGCTGTCTGTATGTGTGCGCTGTGTGTGTGCATGGTGTGTGTGCGCTGTGTGTGTGTGCGCGCTGTGCATGTGCTGTGTGTGTGCGCGCTGTGTGTGTGCTGTGTTTGTGTGGTGTGTGGTGTGTGTGTGCTGTGTTTGTGTGCGCTGTCTGTGTGTGTGCGCGCTGTGCGTGTGCTGTGTTTGTGTGCGCTGTTTGTGTTTGTACTGTGTGTGTGTGCGCGCTATGTGTGTGTGCGCGCTATGTGTGTGTGTGCGCGTTATGTGTGTGTGTGCGCGCTATGTGTGTGTGTGTGCGCGCTATGTGTATGTGCGCGCTATGTGTGTGTGTGCGCGCGCTATGTATGTATGTGCGCGCTATGTGTGTGTGTGCGCGCTATGTGTGCGCGCGCTATGTGTGTCGTTCGCCGCCTCTCGTCGGCGAACGGCGGCCGTCATCGCCGCAGACTTAGCGACGCCTGGGTTCAATGCCAGGACGCTGCCTTGCGGTGGTGCTCAATCTGCTTCCTCCACTCAGGCAGCTGCCCAGACGCTGGGCCGCCTCGACTGGCACGTGGAGTCTCAGAGTCCCCGGTGCCGCTGGGGGGGGGGGGGGGGGGGGGTCACAGTGGCCGTGTCACCACCACCACCAGCCCAGCCTGCGCCCAGTGCCGGATGAAGCTAGTGCGGGGCCTGTAGCACGTATTGTTACAAAGGGGCCCTAAATGAAAACAAAAAAACACGAATTCTTTACTTGCACAGTAAAGTAATTGTATTTTTTCATTTGCTATACAGCCAGATAATACGACAAGTCGCTAAGCTTAAACACCCGGTCGTTCGTAAAAGTTGAAGGTGGTATAGTACTATAGTAATAGAGCAAGTGCAGAATCACTGAACCGGAATTGATAGCTTGAAAGCGTTTAGCGCGGGGCCCTTGAAGGTGCGGGGCCCGTAGCTACATATCTACATATGTAGATACTAGATACAACACATGTCGCTACTACATAGCGACAAATGTTGTATGTTGTAGCTACTTGTGTACTCGAGTGGCAATCTGCATCTCCAGTGGGTGGAGCTACACAAATAGTGGGCGTGGCTACCTGGCCAGTGGGTGGAGCTACACAAATAGTGGGCGTGGCTACCTGGCCAGTGGGTGGAGCTACACAAATAGTGGGCGTGGCTACCTGGCTAGTGGGTGGAGCTACACAAATAGTGGGCGTGGCTACCTGGCTAGTGGGTGGAGCTACACATTTGGTGGGCGTGGCTACCTGGCTAGTGGGCGGAGCTACACATCTGGTGGGCGTGGCTACCTGGCCAGTGGGCGGCGCTATACAGAAGTGGGCGGGGGGCTGAGGGAAGGAGGGAGGGGCTCCCAGGTCACCGCCACGGGTCACCGTTGACCCTCTATGGGGCGTGTGGCTGCGGTGGCTTTTAACTTTTAAGCGCCGTGGTTCATTTGTAGAGGTGAGGAAAAAAAGAGAAGAGAACGCGGCATTAACGAGATTGTCGTTTCCCTGGGACTCTTCTGTTTGTGTCGTTCAGAAACACAAATCACGGACCTGTGCGGAGGTACTGTATATGCCTGGCGAACTTCTTGAGTCAAACTTGCCTGGACTGATTTGACTTTCTCCTTTCAAACCCCCTTGTTTTTGTTTCCTCTCATCATTTTTTGAATTGTTTGTGTTTTTGTGTTGAAATTAGCACGTGGGAATGAACGATCGCCGCGGTTACTTTCAATTTCGTTTGTTTTTTTCGCTTGCATGTGCCGCGTGCCCGCGCGCTCGCCGCCTCCATTGGAGCCCGCTCCGCTGCCGAGCGATCGATCGACCTGCGACCGCTTTGTCCGCACCGTGGGCTAGCAGTTGCGCACGGGAGGAGGGGGGGGGGGTGTGACTGTGACGGCCGATCGTAGCCGGCGCGTCGACGCTGCGGGCAACCGTTTGCGCGGAGACGTCCGCAATGTGTAAGGAGAATCGGTCGCACGCAACCTATTTCCAGTTGATTGCAACCTCGAGAAACTGTTTGCAGACGCACTGTCCACGTATAAGCGATGCAGTTGCGTGCAACCAAATTGCGCAACTCACTGCAACCCGCTCGCTGCTTCTTGTTGCGAAGGTGTCGAGATCAAGAGATTGAGTTTGCGCGCAACTAAGTTGCGCAACCGATCTCGCGGCCGACAGCAGCAACCCGGTTGCGGAGAGGCGTCCAAATGTCGGCGATCCGGTTGCAAGCAATCTCGTTGGCTCCACCGATGGCTCGGGTGCAGACGCGGCTCCAGGGATTGCGGCGACGCGCCGGGAGCATCCTGCGTGGAATGATGATGATTGCCACGATCGTAGCATTGTCCTTGAGCAATGGTGGTGGTGATGACGGTGGTGGTGGTGGTGGTGATTTTCCCCGTCTCGATTCCGTTGGCTGAGATCTTTGGTGTGCTGCTGCTGTCGCCGCTGCATCGTCATCAGCCCCTCCCCTCTCAGCCCCCCCCTCCCAGCCCCCCCTCCCAGCCCCCCCCTCCCAGCCCCCCCTCCCAGCCCCCCTCCCAGCCCCCCCTCCCAGCCCCCCCCTCCCAGCCCCCCCTCCCAGCCCCCCCTCCCAGGCCCCCCCCTTCCAGCCCCCCCTCCCAGCCCCCCTCCCAGGCCCCCCCCCCCTTCCAGCCCCCCTCCCAGCCCCCCTCCCAGCCCCCCCTCCCAACCCCCCCTCCCAGCCCCCCCCAGCATGTTGTTTCTGCCGTGACTGCCCCTCTCCCTTCTCTCCCCCACTTTGCCGCGTGCCGTTTTGTCTTCCCCCCCCCCCCCGCGTCGGCAACTCTCGCTGGTTCGTTCGTTCGCTCGGCTCGCTCGTGACCATCGCTGCCACGGTCCGGCGAGCCAGCGAAGCCTCCCCCAACCTCGTGGCGACCCTCGCCAGGAGGGCTACGCGCCGGTATTTCCGCGGCGGCGGGCGGCGTTGCTGCGTCCGCTCGCGATTCCTCTCCCCCCCCCCAAAAAAACAACCCAATTGAGATGATGAGGTGAGATGATGTACGGCGCTCCCAAGACGTCGCAGCATTACCTGGGGTAGCGCCAATGGAAACTATTGTGTTCCCATCATCATGACCATCATCACCACCATCATCACCATCATTATGACCATCATCATCACCACCATGAGCATCATCAGCATGACCATCACAAGCATCGTCGTGATCATCAGCATCATCACTATCATCACAGCCATCATCATCATCACAACACCACCATCATCATCACCACCGTGTGTGTTTGCCACAGCCGAAATTTCTGTGAAAGGCGTTCCAGGCACGGCACCCCCTTCCACCGCTATCACGGGAGAGCCACGGTGACGGTAATCGAGCGGTTAGCGCGCTGACCTCCGAACCCCTCCTCCGGGTGAGCCGAGTCGGTCGCTTACGCCGGGAGGCGACTGGGCGGTCGGACACCGGCCGCGGGCCCCCTCCCTCCGGGGTCGACTCAGCCTCAAATGAGCACCCGTGGTGTGTGCGGTGTGTGCGGTGTGTGTGCGGTGTGTGCGGTGTGTGCGGTGTGTGTGCGGTGTGTGCGGTGTGTGTGCGGTGTGTGCGGTGTGTGTGTGCGGTGTGTGCGGTGTGTGCGGTGTGTGTGTGCGGTATGTGCGGTGTGTGCGGTGTGTGTGGTGTGTGCGGTGTGTGCGGTGTGTGCGGTGTGTGTGTGGTGTGTGCGGTGTGTGCGGTGTGTGCGGTGTGTGTGGTGTGTGTGGTGTGTGCGGTGCGTGCGGTGTGTGCGGTGCGGTGTGTGCGGTGTGTGCGGTGTGTGCGGTGTGTGTGTGTGCGGTGTGTGCGGTGTGTGTGCGGTGTGTGTGTGGGTGTGTGCGGTGTGTGCGGTGTGTGCGGTGTGTGTGCGGTGTGTGCGGTGTGTGTGCGGTGTGTGCGGTGTGTGTGTGGTGTGTGCGGTGTGTGTGTGGTGTGTGTGGTGTGTGTGTGGTGTGTGTGCGGTGTGTGCGGTGTGTGTGTGGTGTGTGTGTGGTGTGTGTGTGTGGTGTGTGTGTGGTGTGTGTGTGGTGTGTGTGGTGTGTGCGTGGTGTGTGTGTGGTGTGTGTGCGGTGTGTGTGTGGTGTGTGTGTGGTGTGTGTGTGGTGTGTGCGGTGTGTGCGGTGTGTGTGCGGTGTGTGTGTGGTGTGTGTGTGGTGTGTGTGCGGTGTGTGTGTGGTGTGTGCGGTGTGTGTGCGGTGTGTGTGGTGTGTGCGGTGTGTGTGTGGTGTGTGTGCGGTGTGTGCGGTGTCTAAACTTCGCTGCTCGGGGGGGGGGGGGGGGGGGTAGAGAAAGGCGGCCGTGCGGGCGTGGTGCCGTGGCCCAGCCGGGCCCCCTTAGTGCGCCACCGCTCCGGCCTCCGTAGGTGCTGCTGCTGCTCGCTAACAGCACTTGACCCACATCTGTTGCAAGCTACACGGGGAGGGGAGGGGTCTTTACCTTTGTCTTTGTGTGTGCGCGTTAGTCATCGAAAGTTCAGCTTCGCAGCACTTGAAATGATAATGAATGATACCGCGTGATAAACTAAGAATAGGTTTTACCCCTTTCTGGCAGTAAAACACCAAGTAAGAAACCTTTCGCAAGGAATCAAGTTAACGCATTAGCCACACCCGGTACTTGTGAGACAAAGTTTCACAAGTATGAGGCTTTCGCGATCAATATCATCCATAACATAGGGGGGGGCGGGTTAGATCGCGTAAATATAAATGTTGTCATTAAACCTGCCATGCGGTGGGAGCGTTGGGAGGTGGTTTTATAATCTGGGGAACTCATCGTGCCCCGTCTGTACGAGCGTTGAACTTATTTCGTGCCATTCGTGGCCAACCGTGGCTAATCGGAAATGCGGGGGGAAGGCCAACAAACTAAACACAGCAACAACAACAACAAACAGTTGGAAAGAAATTACTTCTCAATGTTGTAGAGTGTGTAGTGTATAGCAGTGTATTGTATAGTGGTGTAATATATGGCGGTGTAGTGTATAGTTATGTAGTGTATAGTGTAGTATATAGTAGTGTAGTGTATAGGGTAATGCATATCAGTGTAGTATATAGTAGTGTAGTGTACAGTGTAGTATGTGTGCATGTTAAACTTCTTTCGCACTGTACGTAGCCAACCGCGCTAATCGTCGGTGCGGGTGAAGGACAACAAACTGAACACAGCAACAGCAACAACAACAGGAAGTAGTTCTGACGAAGCGGGCCCTCAATCCAGACCCATCGTCCCCCGGGAGAGGCGTCTCGATCCGGCCGTCTGGATTCACCCGGCGGGGGGCGGCGTCATCCGTTTCGGAATCCTCTCTCGCGGAATCAGAATCGGCATCTTTGATTTCGTCTGCAGGGGGAAGCTCTTGTTCGGCGGAAAGGCCATTCGGGGGGCACGTGGGTCAGAACGTTACAAACGACGAACACGACGAAAAAATAAACCGCTCGGATTGCAAAGTATAGGAACGGTAAACAAATCACTAAAACAAATGTCCAAATAAAGCTAAACTGTATTTATTTTCATCTTAGCAGGTAAGGCCTGCTGAGCCGCCAGCTTGTCTTTCAGCAGCAACCTGGCCACGAATGACAGCTCAATGAGTGGCCTATTACCATCACGTGGGAATTCAAGGCAACAGCCAAATCATTTAAATGCACGATGTTGATTCTAAATGTGTTAACTACCTCGCCCGTGATACAGGAGGTCGTGGGTTCGATCCCAACCCTTGCGTGTCTCTGTCCCCGTGGTAGTGTGGATTTTTCTTTGATTCCTCCGGTCTTTCCCTCCACATTTAGGATGAACGTCATGGGTTTAGAGTGTTTGGCTGCTATAAATGATTTCCAGACGATGAGCCCACTTTGTTGAGCTATCATTTGAGATGGCCAGATCGCTTCTGAAAAAAGGGCTCTTTTCAGCTCCGTGGGGGCCTTACCTGGTGTGTAAAAATAAGTTTAGTCGCTTAGTTTAGAATCCAACATTGGGTCATTTGGCGGTATTTAATTATTTTTTGATTGGCAAACTCGGAGCTTGATGGTGGCATTCAACAGGCCTCCTCTTGCGAATGCCGCAAGAGGAGGCCCGTAGCGTCCACCGAGAAGCAGCCAGCACGTTGGAGTACATTTTTTATGGTCAAAATACACACACACCACCCCCTCACCCCCCACTCTGTATTTACCGGGGAGGTCGTCGGGATAGAACCAGGTCAGCCGTGGAAATAGAACCAGGGAGGTCATGGGGATAGAACCAGGGCGGCCGTGGGGATAGAACCAGGGCGGTCGTGGGGATAGAACCAGGGCGGTCGTGGGGATAGAACCAGGGCGGTCGTGGGGATAGAACCAGGGCGGCCGTGAGGATAGAACCAGGGCGGTCGTGGGGATAGAACCAGGGAGGTCGTGGGGATAGAACCAGGGAGGTCATGGGGATAGAACCAGGGCGGTCGTGGGGATAGAACCAGGGAGGTCATGGGGATAGAACCAGGGCGGCCGTGAGGATAGAACCAGGGCGGTCGTGGGGATAGAACCAGGTCAGCCGTGGAAATAGAACCAGGGAGGTCATGGGGATAGAACCAGGGCGGCCGTGAGGATAGAACCAGGGCGGTCGTGGGGATAGAACCAGGGCGGTCGTGGGGATAGAACCAGGGCGGTCGTGGGGATAGAACCAGGGCGGCCGTGAGGATAGAACCAGGGCGGTCGTGGGGATAGAACCAGGGAGGTCGTGGGGATAGAACCAGGGAGGTCATGGGGATAGAACCAGGGCGGTCGTGGGGATAGAACCAGGGAGGTCATGGGGATAGAACCAGGGCGGCCGTGAGGATAGAACCAGGGCGGTCGTGGGGATAGAACCAGGGCGGCCGTGGGGATAGAACCAGGGCGGCCGTGGGGATAGAACCAGGGCGGTCGTGGGGATAGAACCAGGGCGGCCGTGAGGATAGAACCAGGGCGGTCGTGGAAATAGAACCAGGGAGGTCATGGGGATAGAACCAGGGCGGCCGTGGGGATAGAACCAGGGCGGCCGTGGGGATAGAACCAGGGCGGTCGTGGGGATAGACCCAGGGAGGTCGTGGGGATAGAACCAGGGCGGCTGTGGGGATAGAACCAGGGAGGTCGTGGGGATAGAACCAGGGAGGTCGTGGGGATAGAACCAGGGCGGCCGTGGGGATAGACCCAGGGAGGTCGTGGGGATAGAACCAGGGAGGCCGTGGGGATAGAACCAGGGCGGCCGTGGGGATAGAACCAGGGAGGTCGTGGGGATAGACCCAGGGAGGTCGTGGGGATAGAACCAGGGAGGCCGTGGGGATAGAACCAGGGCGGCCGTGGGGATAGACCCAGGGAGGTCGTGGGGATAGACCCAGGGAGGTCGTGGGGATAGACCCAGGGAGGTCGTGGGGATAGACCCAGGGCGGCCGTGGGGATAGAACCAGGGAGGTCGTGGGGATAGAACCAGGGCGGCCGTGGGGATAGAACCAGGGAGGTCGTGGGGATAGAACCAGGGCGGCCATGGGGATAGAACCAGGGAGGTCGTGGGGATAGACCCAGGGAGGTCGTGGGGATAGAACCAGGGCGGCTGTGGGGATAGAACCAGGGAGGTCGTGGGGATAGAACCAGGGCGGCCGTGGGGATAGAACCAGGGAGGTCGTGGGGATAGAACCAGGGCGGCCGTGGGGATAGAACCAGGGAGGTCGTGGGGATAGACCCAGGGAGGTCGTGGGGATAGAACCAGGGCGGCTGTGGGGATAGAACCAGGGAGGTCGTGGGGATAGAACCAGGGCGGTCGTGGGGATAGAACCAGGGCGGCTGTGGGGATAGAACCAGGGAGGTCGTGGGGATAGAACCAGGGCGGCCGTGGGGATAGAACCAGGGAGGTCGTGGGGATAGAACCAGGGCGGCCGTGGGGATAGAACCAGGGAGGTCGTGGGGATAGACCCAGGGAGGTCGTGGGGATAGAACCAGGGCGGCCGTGGGGATAGAACCAGGGCGGCCGTGGGGATAGAACCAGGGAGGTCGTGGGGATATAACCAGGGCGGCCGTGGGGATAGAACCAGGGCGGACGTGAGGATAGAACCAGGGAGGTCGTGGGGATAGAACCAGGGCGGCCGTGGGGATAGAACCAGGGTGGTCGTGGGGATAGAACCAGGGTGGTCGTGGGGATAGAACCAGGGCGGCCGTGGGGATAGAACCAGGGCGGCCGTGGGGATAGAACCAGGGAGGTCGTGGGGATAGAACCAGGGCGGCCGTGGGGATAGAACTAGGGAGGTCGTGGGGATAGAACCAGGGAGGTCGTAGGGGATAGAACCAGGGAGGCCGTGGGGATAGAACCAGGGAGGTCGTGGGGATAGAACCAGGGCGGCCGTGGGGATAGAACCAGGGCGGCTGTGGGGATAGAACCAGGGAGGTCGTGGGGATAGAACCAGGGCGGCCGTGGGGATAGAACCAGGGAGGTCGTGGGGATAGAACCAGGGCGGTCGTGGGGATAGAACCAGGGCGGCTGTGGGGATAGAACCAGGGCGGTCGTGGGGATAGAACCAGGGCGGTCGTGGGGATAGAACCAGGGAGGTCGTGGGGATAGAACCAGGGCGGTCGTGGGGATAGAACCAGGGCGGTCGTCGGGATAGAACCAAGGCGGTCGTGGGGATAGAACCAGGGCGGACATGAGGATAGAATCAGGGCGGACGTGAGGATAGAACCAGGGCGGCTGTGGGGATAGAACCAGGGCGGTCGTCGGGATAGAACCAAGGCGGTCGTGGGGATAGAACCAGAGTGACCATGGGGATAGAACCAGGGCGGTCGTGGGGATAGAACCAGGGCGGTCGTGGGGATAGAACCAGGGTGACCGTGGGGATAGAACCAGGGCGGTCGTGGGGATAGAACCAGGGCGGCCGTGGGGATAGAACCAGGGCGGTCGTGGGGATAGAACCAGGGCGGTCGTGGGGATAGAACCAGGGAGGTCGTGGGGATAGAACCAGGGCGGCCGTGGGGATAGAACCAGGGCGGTCGTGGGGATAGAACCAGGGCGGTCGTGGGGATAGAACCAGGGTGACCGTGGGGATAGAACCAGGGCGGTCGTGGGGATAGAACCAGGGCGGCCGTGGGGATAGAACCAGGGTGACCGTGGGGATAGAACCAGAGTGACCATGAGGATAGAACCAGGGCGGTCGTGGGGATAGAACCAGGGCGGCCATGGGGATAGAACCAGGGCGGCCGTGGGGATAGAACCAGGGTGGTCGTAGGGGATAGAACCAGGGCGGCCGTGGGGATAGAACCAGGGCGGTCGTAGGGAATAGATCCAGGGTGGTCGTGGGGATAGAACCAGGGCGGCTGTGGGGATAGAACCAGGGCGGCCGTGGGGATAGAACCAGGGCGGCCGTGGGGATAGAACCAGGGCGGCTGTGGGGATAGAACCAGGGCGGCCGTGAGGATAGAACCAGGGCGGCCGTGAGGATAGAACCAGGGCGGCCGTGAGGATAGAACCAGGGCGGCTGTGGGGATAGAACCAGGGCGGTCGTGGGGATAGAACCAGGGCGGCCGTGAGGATAGAACCAGGGCGGCCGTGAGGATAGAACCAGGGCGGCCGTGGGGATAGGACTAGAGCGGCCGTGACTGGGGGTTCCGCTGGGCCACATTATCGTAGCTCCGTCAGTTTCCGCCGCAATAAAAAAAGAAATCCCGCGATGTGACCTGATTTGAGCCAAATCAGAGACGCGGCAGGACGGATTCTTCGAACTTTCACGATGCTCCCTCTCTGCGAACGCGAGTGAACATGAGCACCGCTTCTGCCCCTTTCTTGCAGTTGCTGGTGCGTGAGCGAGTGAGCGAGTGATTCTCGCGTGTACAGGACGCGCCCACACACGCGTGCACGTGTGTGTGTCTGTACACGTGTGTCCGTGTGTGCGTGCATGAGCGCGTTCGACGTTGCCGCTGCTTGTGGCGGTGCCGACGGAGCTGAGCGGGTGGCTGGCGGGGGATGACGTTTAGCCTTGCCCCCCCCCCCCCCCGTGTGCGCCACAGGGCGACACGAACCGCTCCGAGTCAAGCTTCGGGAAGGGCTCCGTGAGCTTCGACGACGACCTGGGGAAGAAGTCGGAGTTCCCCATGATGACAAGTGAGTGACTCCATCGCCACCACCTCCGTCCCCCCCACCCCCCGAAGTTAAAATACAGGGGGAGGGGATAAAAAGGTGAGACTGATATCGTCGGGAGAATACCGTATTAGTATTATTGTTTAGTGACTGTTCCATCTTGCAGAGTCAAACGTGCGATGGCTAACGTGCACGCTATAATCACCGCACACAAAAAGGCAAAGATAAAGGCCCCCCCCCACACCCGTGTAGCCTGTAACAAAATGTTGTGGCAAGTGCTGTTAGGGAGTAGCAGCATCTATGAAGGCCGCCAATGGCACACGAGGGGGTGGGTGGCCAGCACCACGCCCTGCCGCCTTTGTCTCCCCAGTTTACACACCACAGCAGGTACTCATTTGACCTTGGGGAGACCCAGAACCGGTTCAGATATTTCTTCTTCTTAAAAAGCTCAGTTCTTTTCAACGATGTTTCATTTTATTTTAACGAGGTAAGTAAGGAAGGCACACTGAAAGTGTACAGCTCTTTAGAATTAGAATATTTAGACTGCAGGAGGGGTAAACATATCACTTTAAAAAAAATACAAATACCACTAAACTATTTTAGTAAAGCCCCACTGAGCGATGTAGCTTCTTTTTCAGAAGCGGTGGAGGGAAAAACCGGAGGACCCGGAGAAAAATTCACGCGGCCACGAAGAGAGAGACACGCAAACATCTCCTAGCCACCATGATGATGATGAGAGAGAGGGAGACACACAAACTCCAAATGTACAGCAGCAGGCGTCAGGGTCAGGATCGAACCCACGACTTCCTGCATACCAGGCGAGGTAGTTAACATCTGTGACGAGTACCTGCTGTTTCAACACCAGCAGCAGGGGAGCCGGTCAAGCCGCCTCTCGTAGGTGCCGGCCTTAATAGGCGCTCGCTAACGGCACTTGCCCCAAGGGTCTGTTGAGGCTACACGGGGGATCTTTTTCTGCTCTTTGTTTTTGTTGCAGGGAGCGGTGGCGTGGCAGTTAGCGCACCGCGCCACGAACCCCGGCTGACCCGAGTTCGACCCGCTCTCGCGGCCATCGTTGGTTAGGAAAATCTGAACCGGTCCTCGGTCTCCCCTAGGTCGACTCGGCCTCAAACGAGTACCTGGTGCCGTGTGTAAAACATCGGCGCGCAGGGAGACAGGTGGCCGTGCCGGCCTTAATAGGCGCTCGCTAACAGCATTTGCCCCAACAGTCTGTTGAGACTTACACGGTGGTGGGGATCTTTGTCTTTGGCAGTCGTGACGCCCAACGGGCACGTGGATTCCAAGTGCAGCCTGGGCCCGCCGATAATCACCCACACGGCCGCCACCCCGATGCCGACGCCCAAGGGCTCGCCGCATGCCGACGGCCCCGTGTCGCGGCACGGCAGCGCGGCCTCCATCGGGCCGCCCGTCCACAGCGCCAACCCCGACCAGAAGTCTCTGGTAAGGCCGCGTGACCACCCTCCGCCCCCCCCCCACCACCACGCCACCACCACCAGGTGTTGTTCCCCCTGGTCGCATGGCTCCACCTGGTCGCGTGGCTCCACCTGGTCGCGTGGCGAGACGTGAGATCCTACCCCCGCCCACTCCCCTCCTCTGGCAGTAGCCACACCCACTCAACTGATAGATCCCCACGCTACTCAGGTAGCTCTGCTCACTACTCAGGCAGCTCCACCCACTGCCCAGGTAGCTCCGCCCACTGCCCAGGTAGCTCCGCCCTCTGCCCAGGCAGCTCCGTCCACCGCCCAGGTAGCTCCACCTACGCAAACATTTTAAACCAGGGACTAAATCCAGATTTTTGTGAAACTTCATGCCACTGGAACAGACTTGTCCTGCCCGTGTCTCACTCCCTCGTCTCCCCCCCCACCGTCTCCCCCCGGCAGGTCAGTAGCTTTAGCGCCGGCAGCTGGAGCAGCCGCCGCTCGAGCTGGAACAGCCTGGGCCGCGCATCGAGCCTCATCCGGCGCGGTGGCGGCAACGACGCCAACGGCGGCGAGCGCGAGTCTCTGCTCTCCTCGTCGCGCTGCGGAGCGGGGGGAGGTGGGGGAGGGGGGGCAGCGGCGGCCGCCGTCACCGGACACAACTCGGCCGCCGGTAGCGGTTGGGGTTCAGGCTCCGACGACGACGGCGGCGACGACGGCGGCGGGGAAGAGAGGGGGGGCGGTGGCGGCTCGACGACGATGATGGTGGGGGATGTAGAGAAGCAGCAGAATCATCGCCACCACCACCACCACGGTCATCAGCGCCACCACCACCAGCAGCAGCAGCAGCTTCACCACCAGCAGCGGAGCGCAAGCGTCTGCAAGGAAGCGCCGCGCAGCCGTCGCAGTGCGTCGCTCTGCACGTCGCCCGACACGCCCTTTGACCCCGAGCCCATGGTGCTGGTGGTGCCCTCGCTTAGCCTGCCGGCGGGGGATGGACCGGCGGGGGCGGCGGTGGGGCGCCACGCTCGCAGGGACAGCGCCTGCAACGGGAGGGCGGCGAGGGGTGCGGACGGGAAAAGGGCCGAAGAGGAGGAAGAGGAAGATGAAGAGGAGTACTCGGATGAAGTAAGATGCGGCTGTGCGCGCACGCGGCCGTGATGGGGATTGCGATGATGAGGGCAAAGATGACGGTGATGATAACGATGATGACGGTGCTGGTGGTGGTGGTGGCGACGATGACGATGGTGGTGATGACGATTATGTTTGCGGTGATGTTGATGATGATGATGGCAATGATGATGATAGTGATGGTGATGGTCGCAATGGTGATAATGACGGTGGTGATGATGATGACGGTGATGATGATGACAATGGTGGTGATGACGATAATGTTTGTGGTGATGTTGATGATGACGGCGATGATGATGAGGACAGTGATGGTGGCAATGATGATAATAACAGTGGTGATGATGATAATGACGGGGGTGATGAAAACGATGGTGATGATGATGGCGATGACGACGGTGGTGATGTTGATGATGGAGGTGGTGATGATGGAGGTGGTGATGATGGCGTTGGCGGCAGGAATGATGGCATTGGCACCGAGCGCCCGAACACGTCACCATCATGCACGCGTACAATAAAAAATAATAATGACTAATAATCAATATTTACGAGGAGTAACGATTGTTGCTGTGATTGTGGCTTGGCAGAGCTGTCTGAGTCGGATGAGGAAACGCCTGCAGCCTCTGAAGCCGAGGTTCTGTGCGGAGCGCGAGGACTGGTCGCTCTACCTGTTCGCTCCACGCAACAGGTAGAGGGCGCTTTGACGACGACCACTTCAAACGAGCACGACGACAAAGGCAGCAAAAACACGATGACACACTGCAAAAAACGATGATAACAAATAACAAACACGACAAACAACAAAACACAACGACAAACAACAACAAGACACAACAACAAATACTACAAATACAACAACAAAAAGACAACGACAAACAATAAAACACCACAATAAACACGACAAACAACAACAAAAACACAACAATAAACAAACAACAACACGCGACAAAACAACAAATTAACGGCAAACGACGAAGCGCTGCAACGAAAACGGACCGAGCACCTCACCAGAGGAGGCTGACGTGGCGGCGGTGTCATCGGCATCCTCGCCGTCGTCGTCATTGTCCGTCGTCATTGTCGTGTGACCTCTCGCGTCCATCCGCAGGTTTCGAATGCTCTGCCAGAAGATCATCTCCCACAAGCTGTTCGACCACAGCATCCTCGCCATCATCTTCCTCAACTGCATCACCATCGCGCTGGAGAGGCCAGACATCCAGGATCGAAGCATGGTAATGGCGCGCCCCCGCCATGCACGACGGCACCTGCAGATCGGGTCTCAGGGTCTTGAGACTCGGCTCCAGGAGATCGGGTCTCAGGGTCTTGAGACTCGGCTCCAGGAGATCGGGTCTCAACGTCTTGAGACTCGGCTCCAGGAGACCGGGTCCTGGGGTTCTGAACGTTCCCGCTCTCACTCTCTCCGTGTGTTTGCAGGAGAGGCTACTGCTCTCCATCTCCAACAACGTCTTCACCGTCATCTTCACGCTGGAGATGACCGTCAAGGTTCGCAGGCCGCACATCTCACGGCATCGCCAAGCCAACACACAGCCAACAGGCTTCACCATGGCCTGGTCAGAGGCACCTGAGCTGACACAGCCAGCAGGCTTCACCATGGCCTGGTCAGAGTCACCTGAGCTGATACAGCCAGCAGGCTTCACCATGGCCTGGTGAGAGTCACCTGCGCTGACACAGCCAGCAGGCTTCACCATGGCCTGGTCAGAGGCATCTGAGCTGACACAGCCAGCAGGCTTCACCATGGCCTGGTCAGAGTCACCTGCGCTGACACAGCCAGCAGGCTTCACCATGGCCTGGTTAGAGTCACCTGCGCTGACACAGCCAGCAGGCTTCATCATGGCCTGGTCAGAGGCACCTGAGCTGACACAGCCAGCAGGCTTCACCATGGCCTGGTTAGAGTCACCTGCGCTGACACAGCCAGCAGGCTTCACCATGGCCTGGTCAGAGTCACCTGAGCTGACACAGCCAGCAGGCTTCACCATGGCCTGGTCAGAGTCACCTGAGCTGACACAGCCAGCAGGCTTCATCATGGCCTGGTCAGAGTCACCTGAGCTGACACAGCCAGCAGACTTCACCATGGCCTGGTCAGAGTCATCTGAGCTGACACAGCCAGCAGGCTTCACCATGGCCTGGTCAGAGTCACCTGAGCTGACACAGCCAGCAGACTTCACCATGGCCTGGTCAGAGTCATCTGAGCTGACACAACCAGCAGGCTTCACCATGGCCTGGTCAGAGTCACCTGAGCTGACACAGCCAGCAGGCGTCACCATGGCCTGGTCAGAGTCACCTGCGCTGACACAGCCAGCAGGCTTCATCATGGCCTGGTCAGAGTCACCTGAGCTGACACAGCCAGCAGACTTCACCATGGCCTGGTCAGAGGCACCTGAGTTGACACAGCCAGCAGGCTTCATCATGGCCTGGTCAGAGGCACCTGAGCTGACACAGCCAGCAGGCTTCATCATGGCCTGGTCAGAGTCACTTGCGCTGACACAGCCAGCAGGCTTCATCATGGCCTGGTCAGAGTCACCTGCGCTGACACAGCCAGCAGGCTTCATCATGGCCTGGTCAGAGGCACCTGAGCTGACACAGCCAGCAGGCTTCATCATGGCCTGGTCAGAGTCACCTGTGCTGACACAGCCAGCAGGCTTCACCATGGCCTGGTCAGAGCCACCTGGGCCGACACAGCCAAGGCCTCCTATGTTCAACAGGTCCATAATGGCCATTTGAGACAAACCTAGCCCGCACCATTGGAATGATAGGTTCATGCCCTGGTCTTGGTATCTCTCTCTCCCTCTCAGGAGAGTCATAATGGCCATGCTGCTGCTGTCGCTGCTGCTGCTGGTGACGATGATGGTGTTCGTGTTCACATTTGGCCACAGGTGGTGGCCCTGGGCCTGTTCCAGGGTGAGAGAGCCTACCTGCAGACCAGCTGGAACATCCTGGACGGCGTGCTGGTCCTAGTCTCCATCGTGGACCTCCTGGTGGCCCATGTGGGAGGCCCCAAGATCCTGGGCATCCTCCGGGTCCTCCGCCTCCTCCGGACGCTCCGCCCGCTCAGGTGGGCGGAGCGTTTCATGCCGAACGGACCTAGTGGTGGGACGGTCCTATTGCCAACAACGGTGGTGGTGGTAGTGGTGATGATAATGATTAGAATAACAATTGGATACATTGGGTAAAGGTGCCTATTGGGAATCAGGATGTTTATTTATCACTGGAGGAGGAATCTGATGAGCTATGAAGCTCTTTCCTCGCAGATGTTGAGTCGGTTCTGACAGTATCAGCCCACCTACCCATAGCTTGCACAGAGATGCAGTGCGGTGAGAGGGTGAGTGAGCGGGTGAGTGAACGGGTGAATGAGTGAGTGGGTGAGTGAGTTGTGACCTGCAGTGTGGTGAGCGGGTGAATGGACAGGCGAGCGAGCGTGCAGGTGAGGGAGTGGGTGAGTGCACGGGTGATTGAGTGAGTTGTGAGCTGTGGTGTGGTGAGTGAGTGGGTGAGTGAACAGGTTAGTGGGTGAATGGGTGAGTGAGTGAGTTAGTTGAGTTGAGACCTGCAGTGTGGTGAGTGAGTGGGTGCATGCATGAATGGGTAGTGAGTGGGTGGGTGAGTGAGTGAATGAGTTGAGACCTGCGGTGTGGTGAGTGAGTGAATGAATGGGTGAGTGGGTGAGTGCGTAAGTGGGTGAGTGAGTGAGTGGGTGTGAGTGGGTGAGTGAGAGGGTGAGTAAACGGGTGAGTGAGTGGGTAGTGAGTGAATAGGTGAGTGAGTTCTAGATTTGAAGCCTTCGTGACTGCAAGGATTCATACTCTTAGGTTTTTTCGGATTTATAATTTTTATTTCTATTATTATTTCTATTTCTGTTATTTTTATTTTTATTATTTATTTTTTACCTACGTGACTTTACCGAAAAAACCTAAGAGTAGGTGAGTGAGTGAGTGGGTGAATGGGTGAGTGGGTGACTGAATGGGTGAGTGGGCGAGTGAACGGGCGAGCGAGTAAGTTGTGACTTGTGGTGTTACGTGGTGGTGGTGGTGGTGGTGGAGGGGTATACAACAAGTCCATGTCAGCCGCAGACTTACTCCTCAACACATGGGCCGGAGCAATCAATGGGGGGGGGAGGGGGGGCGGGGGGAGACGTTCAGGGCAGGAGCGGCAACATCCACATCGACCCGCAGTCGATGCACGGGTAGAGTCAGTCGGAGGACACCACGTTCCCACTTTGCCGCATTCAATAAATCGTCGTTTGAATCCACGCGGAGAGAAACGTTGGCCTCATTTCCGGGATCTCTCGGGCCTCGTTAAACAAACGGGTTCATGAAGCAAACTCTCTCTCTCTCCGTCGTCTTCTCTCCCTATTGTGTTCAAAGCGCCGTCTCTCTCTCTCGTGTCCTGAAAAAATAAAGTGATTTGATGAGACGCAGAATATTTATCCATACTGGAGGAATCCGATGAGCTGCAAAGCTCTTTTGTCACAGATGTGGCACAGGTGTGTCACAGGTGTGAACAGGTGTGGCATAGGTGTGGCATAGGTGTGGCATAGATGTGCCAGGCCGGGTGCACTCCACACCTATGATTTGGTGCGGCTGGCCCCGTGCTGCGCAAAAGAAGTTCGGCGCAGGTACGGACGGGCGGACGTGAAGCGTCGAAGGCTCTCTGCTCACCTGAGGGGGGGGGTGGCCTCGGAAGACAGGCAGATCCACTGCGGCCACCTTGAAACCCACGCTGGAACTTCCGCAAGGTGCGGCGAACGGACTGCCGCTGCTCCTGCCACTGCGGGGCGAGCGACGGGAGTGCCGCCTGCAGCCTGAGCAGGGCCCCCTACTGGCAGACGAAACCCCCACCCTCTACCGTGCCACCCAGAGCCTTCCTTGTTCATAGCCTCTGAGCTATAATGGTGTAGTGAAGACACAGTGTGCGAAAACACTGTTCGCTCTCTGTCTCTCCCTCTGTGTCTCTCTGTCTCACTCTCTGTCTCTCTCTGTCCTACTCTCTATCTCTGTCTTTCTGTCTCTATCTCTGTCTTACTCTCTATCTCACTCTCTGTCTCTCTCTGTGTCACTCTCTCTTAGTCTGTCTATCTCTGTATCTCACTCCCTGTCTCTGTCTCTTTCAGGGTAATTAGCCGAGCCCCGGGTCTCAAGCTCGTCGTGGAGACGCTCATCTCATCGCTCAAGCCCATCGGCAACATCGTCCTCATCTGCTGCGCCTTCTTCATCATCTTCGGCATCCTCGGCGTCCAGGTGACGGTCGGCGGCGGTGGCGGCGGTGGTGGCGGCAACAGAGAAGGAGGCCCGGGTTCAACTCCCTGCCTGGGTTCAAGTCCTGGCCTGAGTGCCTTGCTGTGTTGTGGAGTTTGTGTGTTCTACCCTCCCCCCACCTCTTCTGCAGAGTGTGAGAGTGTGTGTGAGAGTGTGTGTGAGTGTGCGTGTCAGAGTGCGTGTGTGCACTGTGTGCACTGTGTGCGATGTGTGTGGTGTGTGGGGAGAGGCAGTGTAGCGCGCTGCGCTACGAACCTGACCACCCGGGTTCAATTCCCGCTCACGGCCAACACCGGTGACGATTATCTGAACCGGTCCTGGGCCTCCCCTAGGTCGACTCAGTCTCTAATTAGTAGCTGGTGCGGTGTCTAAACATCGTCATTAGGGCGACAAAGGCGGTCTGGCGTGGTGCTGGCCACCCACTCCCTCGTGTGCCGTGCCGGCCTTCATCGGTGCTACTCGCTAACATCACTTTTGTATTTGTGTAGAACTTCTTTCGCACCGTATATATCCAACCGCGCTAATTGGATGTGCAGGGGGCAGGAAAACAAACGAAACACAAAAAGCAGTTCTAAAGAAATGAGTTAATCAATCGAGACGATGACGATTATTTAAAAGTGCACAGCTCCAGTGGCTTCCTAATATTGGAAGGGAAGAGCGTTCCAGACGGCCGCAGAAGCGCACCTGCGAGGGTGACCGGAGCTCGCGTGATGATGGTTTATGCTCCTTGACGAGATCAGCGATGCATCACGGTGGCTATGAGATGTTAACTCCCTCGCCTGGTATACAGGAGGTCGTGGGTTCGATCTCTCTCTCATCATCATCACTGTGGCTAGGATGATGTTAACTACCTCGCCTGGTCTACAGGAGGTCGTGGGTTCCATCCCGACCCTGACGATGCCTGCTGCTGCTGTATATTTGGAGTTTACCGTGTCTCTCTCTCGTTCATCATCATCATGGTGGCTAGGAGATGTTAACTACCTCGCCTGGTCTACAGGAGGTCGTGGGTTCCATCCCGACCCTGACGATGCCTGCTGCTGTAGATTTGGAGTTTACCGTGTCTCTCTCTCGTTCATCATCATCATGGTGGCTAGGAGATGTTAACTACCTCGCCTGGTCTACAGGAGGTCGTGGGTTCCATCCCGACCCTGACGATGCCTGCTGCTGCTGTATATTTGGAGTTTACCGTGTCTCTCTCTCGTTCATCATCATCATGGTGGCTAGGAGATGTTAACTACCTCGCCTGGTCTACAGGAGGTCGTGGGTTCCATCCCGACCCTGACGATGCCTGCTGCTGTAGATTTGGAGTTTACCGTGTCTCTCTCTCGTTCATCATCATCACAGTGGCTAGGAGATGTTAACTACCTCGCCTGATCCATAGAGGTGGTGGGTTCCATCCCGACCTTGGCACCTGCTGTATATTTGCAGCATCTCCCTCTCTCTCTCTCCCCGTGGATTTTTCTCCAGGGCCTCTGGGTTTTCTCTCCACATTTAGAATCAGCGTCACGCATTCAGATCATTTGGCTGCTGCTATAAATCGCACACGGTGATGATGATGATAATAATCCCACTTCTTTGGGCTATCATTTGTGATAGGCAGGTGGTCGCTTCTGAAAAAGTGCTACGTAGCTCAGTGGGCCATACACCTGGGCAAATAGAAAAACATATTTTAGTTTTTTTATATTTATTTTAAGTGATTTGTTTACCTTCCTCTACTTTGCACTTTAAATTTTGTCGTAACTTCCTGGCCCACCCAGCTACTACTGGACGTCTGTCAAAAAGAGCTTCGCTGCTCATCGGATTTCCTCCAGGATAAACATTCTGATTGTGGGTTCAACATTGAGAATGTGCTCAGAGTGGTTTTTGGGCTGCCGCTACACAGCCATAGCAGTCAATCAGTGCCCTACCTTATTACAGACCCCAATTCAGACCGTATTAGTCACCCCGTGCCCTTATGAATCTCAACGTCCATCTGATACACTACACTGTACACTAAACTATACAATACACTATACACTCCACTACTATACACTACACTACCATACACTACACTACTATACACTACACTATACACCACACTACTATACACTCCACTACACTATACACTAAACTATATACTCCACTATACAATACACTACTATACACTCCACTACACTATACACTACACTATACACTAAACTATACACTCCACTACACTATACACCACACTATACACTAAACTATATACTCCACTATACAATACACTACACTACTATACACTACACTACTATACACTCCACTACACTATACACTACACTATACACTACACTATACACTACACTATACACTACACTATACACTACATTATACACTACACTTTACACTACACACTACACTATACACTACACTATACACTACACTATGCACTACACTATACACTACACTACACACTACTATACACTACACTATACACTACACACTACACTCTGCACTACACTATACACTACACTATACACTACTATACACTACACTACTATACACTACACTATACACTACACTATACACTACACTGTACACTACACTATACACTACACTACACTATACACTACTATACACGACTGTACACTACACTAGACACTATATTATACACTACACTAGACACTACATTATACACTACTATACACTACACTACATTATACACGTCTATACACTACACTATACACTACTATACACTACACTATACACTACATTATACACTACACTATACACTACACTACACACTACACTATACACGACTATACACTATACTATACACTACACTATACACTACACTATACACTACTATACACTACACTATACACTACACTATACACTACACTACACTATACACTACATTATACACTACACTATACACTACACTATACACTACGATACATTACACTATACACTACATTATACACTACACTATACACTACTATACACTACACTATACACTACGATACATTACACTATATACTACATTATACACTACACTATACACTACACTACACACTACACTATACACTACACTATACACTACACTATACACTATACTATACCTTACTATACACTACACTATACACTACACTATACACTACACTATACACTACTATACACTACCCTATACACTACACTATACACTACTATACACTACACTATACACTACACTATACACTACACTATACACTACATTATTCACTATACACTACACTATACACTACACTTTACACTACACTATACATTACTACACACTACACTATACACTACACACTACACTATACACTACTATACACTACACTATACACTACACTATACACTACTATACACTACACTATACACTACACTATACACTACACTATACACTACACTATACACTACTATACACTACACTATACACTACACTATACACTACATTATACACGACTATACACTACACTATACACTCCACTATACACTACACTATACATTACTACACACTATACTATACACTACACTATACACTACTATACACTACACTATACACTACACTATACACTACACTCTACACTACTATACACTACACTATACACTACATTATACACTACACTATACACAGACTTTAGCCCTTCCTGGGGACTTCCCAGGCGTTCCCAGGCCAGCCGAGTGACATCGTCCCCCCGTCAACAGCAGCCTTCGCCTCACCTGGTGTAACAAAACAAAAGTGCATCACAAAAAACATGATCATCTGCTCGCTTTTCTTTTTAAGTATCCGTGGCCGTTTCTTTTTCTGCGTCCGTCCTCAGCTCTTCAAGGGGAAGTTCTACTACTGCGAGGCGCCCGAGGCCCTGCGGGTGGCGAACCGCTCCGACTGCGAGGCGCACCAGCTCAAGTGGATGCGATACAAATACAACTTCGACAACCTGGGCCAGGTGAGGGCAGCGTGCGGCCGTGGTGGCGGCGGCGGTGGCGGCGGCGGCGGTGACGGCAGCGTGCCAAGCGTTGATGGGGGGGAGGGGAGGCCCCTCCGATCCCCACCGTGAGTCTCTTTTGCAAAGCAGTGAGTGATCTGGCTCACGCAAAATGGCAAAAGCAGCAGAGGTAGAAGCAAAAGTGCAGCACTGAAGCGAATAGAGGTCATAGACATCCAGACAGAGATCAGAGACAGAGACAGCCAGATAGAGATCAGAGACAGCCAGATATAGATCATAGACAGCCAGACAGAGATCAGAGACAGAGACAGCCAGATAGAGATCATAGACAGTCAGATAGAGATCAGAGACAGCCAGGAAGAGATCCACAACAGAGTTTTTTTGGGTTAGATCGCGTAAATGTCATTAAAACCCGCCACCACCCGACACAGCCAACTAGTAAGGGTTGTCACATAAACAGAACGTTGCCAATTCGTCACTAGTACAGCATTAGTGTGTAGTGCATAGTGTAGTGTATAGTGTAGTGTATAGTGGACTATACTAGTACAGCACACCGGTGGTGTTGGAGAGCCAAGCCACAACATTTACAATCTGAGTACGACGTTTCGCCAGTAATTACAACTAGCTTAATCAGGGACACAGCCAGATTTGTGGAGAAGTCTACCTGTTTCGTTCCTTATATAGAGGCGTAGATGTGGTGACCACACTTCTGCGCTCTTGCGCAAAGTTGGGGGGGGATTACTGAGTCAACGTACATTATGCATGCACATTATGCGAGCCCTTTGATCTTGTCCTTCCTGTCTATTATGTGTATTAAAATAGCCGTACGGATGATATCGGTCGCAAAAGCCTACGTGTTAAACTCGGCAGAGATCAGTGCAAGAGCAACCGCATTACAAATGAAAAAAAAGGTGCCCAGCAACAGAGAGTGGCTCGAACAAGTAGCTCGGACAAGTAAGCCCCGTTTTCAGAGGGGCGTCGAGTGGATGACGCTGCGTGTGCGTGCCCCCTCGCCGCTGTGGCGTGCAGGCGCTCATGTCGCTGTTCGTGATGGCGTCGCGCGACGGCTGGGTGGACATCATGTACAACGGCCTCGACTCCGTGGGGGTCAACCAGCAGGTGAAGGTTGCTCATGGACAGCAGCAGCAGCAGCACCACCGGCGTCACGATCGCGTTGTCGTCACGATCATCAGTGTCAGTGTCGCTGTCATCGTCATCACTGGCATCATCATCAGCAGTGTTGCTGTCATCGTCATCACGGCCATCATCATCATCAGCAGCATCAGTGTTGCTGTCGTCGTTACTTGCATCACGGCCATCATCATCATCAGCAGCATCAGTGTTGCTGTCATCGTTACTGGCATCACGGCCATCATCATCAACAGCATCAGTGTCGCTGTCATCGTCATCACGGCCATCATCATCATCAGCAGTGTCAGTGTCGCTGTTGTCGTTACTGGCATCACGGCAATCATCATCAACAGCGTCAGTGTCGCTGTCATCGTCGGTGACGTCAGTGTCGAAATCATCACTATCATCGCCGCCATTTTAACTATTAACATCACCACCACCACCACCACCAGTGGCTATAAAGCTCTCTCTCTCTCTCGCTACACATATTCCTCACTCCTCTCCCTTCTCCTACTCCTCACTCCTCCCTCATGCCCCCCTCTCTCTCCTGACTCCTCCTCACTTCTCATTCATCTTCCTCCAATCTGCTCCCCCCCCCCCTTCTCCATCTCTCCTCCCTCCTTCTCACTCCTCCATCACCTCCTGCCATCACTCCCTCCCTCCCATCCCCCATCATCTCTCCGCCTCTTCCTCCTCCACCACCATCATCATCCCCTCCTCCACCACCATCATCATCTCCTCCTCCACCACCACCACCATCATCTCCTCCTCCCTCCTATCTTGTCCCCCCCTCCTCCTCCCTCCCTCCTTCTCCTCCACGACCATCACCATCTCCCCCCCCCCCTCCTCCTCTCTCTCCTCCCCCACCTTCTCCACCACCACCACCACCATATCCCCCCCCCTCCTCCTCTCTCTCCTCCCCCACCCTCTCCACCATCACCATCATCTCCCCCCCTCCTCTCTCTCCTCCCCCACTTTCTACACCACCATCACCGTCTCCTCCTCCCTCCTATCTCCTCCTCCTCCCCCCCCCTTCCTCCCGGACCTCAGCCCAGGCAGAACCACAACCCCTGGATGCTCCTCTACTTCATCTCGTTCCTGCTCATCGTCGGCTTCTTCGTGCTCAACATGTTCGTCGGCGTGGTGGTGGAGAACTTCCACAAGTGCCGGCAGCAGCAGGAGGAAGAGGAGACCAAGCGGAGGGAGGACAGGCGGCAGCAGCGGCTCGAGAAGAAAAGGCGCAGTAAGGAAACCTGGCGCAATGGTCGGTACACCCCGTCACGCGAGACCTTCCTGAGTCCGTCCGATCGCCAATCAGTAGTAGGCCTCCAACTCTCCCTTCCTCTACTCCCTTCCTCTCTCTCTGCCATCCCACCGGTGGACCGGCCGATGGCCGATCTCCTTCCACCACCCGATCCTCTGCCACAGCCGTCGTTACGGTCGAGGGGAAATCTGCAGCAGTTCTTAAGTTGTTTGTTAAATCCCGTTACACAGATGCGTAAGTCACAGGAGTAATTGGTGACGGACGATGCCGGAGAGGTTGTTGACGACGACTGTACGTGGTTGTTGTTGTTGACGACGTTGTTCTTAGCGATAGTTGTTCCAAAAAGGGGGGGGCTTGTTATTTCAGCAAGCGCTCGGGATGTGATGGTCGGCACATTGCCAACGCGCACCCAGAGGTCTCCCGTTGGAGTCCATCTCCCGGACGCGGCGGCTATGAACAACCACCCTCCCCCACCAACAACAACAACGACGACAGCTGCCATTCAGCCACTAAGCGGCCGTGACGTCACCACCAGGCCATGTGCCAGGCCATGTGCACTTGAAGGCCACGTGAAGTGTCGAACGCCCGCTAGCAGGAGGCCACAGACAGACCATGGGTTGACTGACTGAGATGACTGGCCGATGCACCACCACCACCACCGCCACCACCAACGCCACCACCACCAACGCCACCACCACCACCAATGCCACCACCAACGCCACCACCGACAACAACAACAACCGCCATTCGCCATTAAGTGGCGGTGACGTCACCACTGACTCTTATGCCAGGCTATGTGCACCTTGAGGCCACGTGAAGTGTCGCTACCTACACTACCACCGCCACTACCACCGCCACCATCAGAGAGTACAAGTGGGAGTGACAGTGCAAGAGAGACACTGACAGTACACACGAGACATAGACATCAACCAATGCAGTAGAGACAATTGAGAAATCATAAACGGGATGACGATGACGACTACGAGCAGGAGCCCCATCCAGGAGCTGAACCGGGTCTTCTGTGACCCCGCGGGTACACCGGGGACAACTTAACAACTTCTCGCAGATTTCTATTGGCGCTGGCAAACGACGATGGTGGCGATGGCGACGGTTTCGCGGAGTTAACGAGGTGAGGCAAACGCAAAGCTTTGTTTTTGGCCCGAAACGCCGCGGCCTCGACAACGACGTCGATGCGACGTCAGTTTTTTCCAGGGATCCCCGGTGGTAAGAAGAAAACCTTACCGACGGTGATCTCACGGCCTGCCACACCCCGTCTCAAACATTTTGCGCGACTTTTCATCTGCCTGTAGCTCGCCGGCCGTAGAACTAACGCATGCACGCACACACATGCACTGTAGCGTAGCGTGCACACACGTAGCGTAGTGTGCACACACGTAGCGTAGCGTGCACACACGTAGCGTAGCGTGCACACACGTAGCGTAGCGTGCACACACGTAGCGTGCACACACGTAGCGTAGCGTGCACACACGTAGCGTAGCGTGCACACACGTAGCGAGAGAGTCGCCGACACTCGGTGCTGCGCCGCGGGTTACGTCCGTAACATCGCCGTGCGTGTGCGCGTGGCCTTTGAAGACAGATGGGGGAGCGCGGTAGTGCAGCGCAGACAGACAGCTGCCATTGGCGATGGGGGTGGGTGGGGGGGGAGGGTTTCCTTGGCATAAACTGCATCGGGGGCGTTGGATCGGTTGACGTGAGGTTCGTCGGAGGCACGGCCGTCCAGAGGGTGGCGTGCCGGGCCGGGCCAAACCAACCCCGTGGCCTTCAAACTAAAGCGGGAGCATTACCATTGACAACCCCCCAAAGCGCGGGGCCCAGGGCAGTCGCCCCGGCTTGCCGTCTGCCCTAGAGACGGCTCTGCGTGTACGGCACTGAGTTGGTTTTTACACGCCGAGTTCTTGTAGCTGTTGTTCAGGCGCGGGACCTCGCGAGGGAAGAGGTCGGTGTGGGGAGCAGGCAATGCTAAAGACACAGCCCTGCATTAGGTCGCTCTCTCGTGCCACTGCTGACGGAAGCGACTTCAACAGAGCGGGCTCTAGGTCGATTTCCTCGGACCCTGTTCCATGTTGGAACAAAAAAGAAAAGAACCATCCACAATATAGGACTATAGAGCTTGGGCGATTGCTGGCGGCACCCGTATCAGGGCTGCCCCCTTGCCCCTTCGCCTGTGGCCTTCTATGCCTCTCCACTCGCGGAAGCCGCTGCGCGGCGTTGCAACTTGGAGCGGCGTTCTTTTTTTCTTCCGATCGGCGATCAGTCTCGAACTGGTGACGGCCGTGCGGTAACGACAGAGAGAGAAAACACCATGTGGCCATAATTGTCATCTTCTTTTGCTGAAATTTCTGTTGTCTCCTTCCCCCCCCACCTCCCACCACCACCCCAGTGTCGCTGTTTGCAGCCGAACAAAGCCAGATGCTTGTGAGAATTATGGCAAATAAGTATCTGAGCAAAGGTATAGAACGTTCCCTTTCTTCCGTTCATTTTGTGTTCCACAAACGTGGTTTAACTTTGTGTTTGGCTACTAAAATGCTAACACAGCTCTAACGAACTGAACGATAACACAACTTTAACACGTGGGCTTTCGCCACCAATGTTAACCAACATAATTTATCCCCCTTCTATTCAAGACCGAATCAGGAGGAGGATTTCTCCACAACTCTCTTTCTATTCGTCTGACGATGCTGCTGGTTGGTGTTGTTGCTGTAATTACCAGCGAGACGTCACGGTACTCGAATTGTAAATGTTGTACTGGGTTTACTTTCTAACACACAACCAGTTAGTGCTGAACTAGTATACTACACTATACACTACACTATACACTACACTATACACTACACTATAATTGTAAATATTGTAGTGGGTTTACTCTCCTACACACAACCAGTTAGTGCTGAACTAGTATACTACACTATACACTACACTATACACTACACTATACACTACATTATACACTACACTATAATTGTAAATGTTGTAGTAGGTTTACTCTCCTACACACAACCAGTTAGTGCTGAACTAGTATACTACACTATACACTACACTATACACTACACTATAATTGCAAATGTTGTAGTGGGTTTACTTTCTAACACACAACCAGTTAGTGCTGAACTAGTATACTACACTATACACTACACTATACACTACACTATAATTGTAAATGTTGTAGTGGGTTTACTTTCTAACACACAACCAGTTAGTGCTGAACTAGTAAACTACACTATACACTACACTATACACTACACTATAATTGTAAATGTTGTAGTGGGTTTACTTTTTAACACACAACCAGTTAGTGCTGAACGAGTATACTACACTATACACTACACTATACACTACACTATAATTGTAAATGTTGTAGTGGGTTTACTTTCTAACACACAACCAGTTAGTGCTGAACGAGTATACTACACTATACACTACACTATACACTACACTATAATTGTAAATATTGTAGTGGGTTTACTTTCTAACACACAACCAGTTAGTGCTGAACTAGTATACTACACTATACACTACACTATACACTACACTATAATTGTAAATGTTGTAGTAGGTTTACTTTCTAACACACAACCAGTTAGTGCTGAACTAGTATACTACACTATACACTACACTATACACTACACTATAATTGTAAATGTTGTAGTGGGTTTACTCTCCTACACACAACCAGTTAGTGCTGAACTAGTGCACTACACTATACACTACACTATAATTTTAAATGTTGTAGTGGGTAGAACGTCAACATTATCAAAATCTCCAGTACAAAACCGCTGTGTGCTGAACTAATAACAAATGGGCCACGTGTAGTTTAAGTGACAAACCCCTTTACTGATTGGCTGTGCGGTCGGGTGGTGGTGGCTTTAATGACACAACATTTATATTCACGCGATCTGACCCCAAAACACCTCTATCATGGATAACACAACTCTAACCGCGGTGAACAGCGTTTGCGTCCATCACACAGACCAACCACAGACATCCACGAGAGGTCTAGGGATTTTTTCACAGCTTCAAAAATGGGGTCTAGTGATGCCTTCAAACTTGCCACATACATAATATCACCTGGATTTAGCAGTTTTCACTGCACTGCTGAGAGTTTCTATTCATCGGTGTTTTTGGCTACATTCTGACAAATTCTGGGTGATGTGAATCTGCGGCAGCAGATACTCAGCCGATGGTGTTAAATGAAGACCCATAGACTTACTCAGAGAACCATAGACCTACAAAGAGACGTTTAAAATCATATAGAAACCAGTATATTTAAATAGAGACCCATGGGCGCAAGTATAAACCCTCAGATCTACATATAAAACTTTCATCTAATTTTCGACCCATAGATCTCATCCAAAAGCCTCCATACCTATATAGAGACCTGCAGACTCACCTCTAAACCCATAGACTCGCATAGAAACCCATAGACGTAGAGATGCAGACACGCATTGTCTCATAAATACACCCATAGACTTACATTTCCTTTCTTCTACCAGGGCCCAGGCCAACCACTCTTTGCCACCTCTAAACTCCAAAAGAACCGGGACATATGTACATACTGTACTGTATAGGGTGCCACGGTGGCTAAGAGATGTTAACTATCTCGCCTGTTATACAGGAGTTTGCGGGTTCGATCTTAATCCTGACGCCTGCTGTATAATTGGAGTTTATACAGCAGGTGGCGTGGATTTTCTCCAGGTCCTCCTTCCGGGTTTTCCCCTCCACATTTAGAAACATCCGTTTAGAGTATTGGGCTGCTTCACATTTCCACGTGATGATAAGCCACTTCGTCGAGCTATCGTTTGTGGCCATGTCACTTCTGAAAAAGAGCTACATGGCTCAGTGGGCCTTACTTGGTAAAATAATAAAAAAACGTTATATTTTTTCTCTATTATGTTGAACTTCTTTTGCACCGTACGTAGCCAACTGTCGCAAATCGGTGGTGTGGGGCTGAAGAAGATATCTCAATAGTGGGAAAAAAACTCAAAACGGTATTTGTCAATCACGCAGTGACCATTAGAACTAAACGAATATAGAGTGGGAAAATATCGAGTGGGCAAAGATTTAGGCAATGGCACCTTCCTCTGAGCACACGAACCCAACCGCGTGATGACTCGACTTGTTGCCGTGATGGAGGGGAAAAAATATGAAAACCGTGATGCGTGGGCGCAGGAGAGGCCTCACGTGATCCTTAAAGGGACCCGCGTGATCTTTAGAGGGTCCCACCGTGATCCTTAAAGGGACCCGCGTGATCTTTAGGAGGCCACGCCTGATCCTTACGGCGCGAAAGAAGTTCAACACACGCACATGCGTAGAGCACAACGCATACCCCATGTGTGAGCATTGAAGAGTGTGCAGTGTTTATCAAAACGAGCACAACTTTTATGCCGACGGGCACACCACCGGGGAAGGGGAGTAGAGCCGAGCACACAGCGATGAATGGGAAAAGAGGAACGGGAGAGGTAAGAGAGAAGAGAGGGGATGAGAGTTAAAGGTTGGAATGGGAGAGAGAAGAGAGGAGAGGGGAATGCGAGTTAAAGGTTGGGAGGCAGAACGGAGAAACGGGAGCAAAGAATCAGGAGAGGTGAGGATGGGGAGGTTAGAGGCTGTATCGGGGCCTCTGCTCCTGCTGCTGCACAGAGCCGAGTCTGTCTTCACAGTGGGAGGCGACGGAGAGGGGGAGAGGGGGGGGATTCAGAGTGGGGGGTGGCCAACACTGAAGCCGCGTGGCTTACGGGGAGGAGGCTTTGAGCTGATTTATTAGCTCGCTCGTGACGTCGACTTTACCGCGTGAAAAAGACGTAGGTTGCGCTCGGCATTGCGCCAAAATCGGAAGGGAAAATAAATCACCTGAACACGACACAAAAGCCCCCCCCCCCCGATCCGCATCGCCGGTTCCCCCGTGCGGTCTCGCGAACGGACGCTGACGTTGTGAGGGTCTCTCAGCAGGGACCGAGTGACTCGCGTGACTCGCAGTGTGCTTGCTATGAGGGACCAAGTCACTCTGTTTCTCATAGCCAGCGCACCGAGCCACTTGGCCCCTCATAGCAAGCGCACCGCAAGTCACTCTGTTTCTCATAGCCAGGGCACCCAGTCACTCGGTCCCGAATAGCCAACACACCATGCCACTCGGTCCCTCATAGTGTGTGCCCATTCATTTTCTTGGCAGTCATTTAAAACTAATAACGTAGAGGTTGTTGTTGTCGTTGCCCCTCCTTAATCTTTCCTGTTTCATTTCCTTTCCATGTAACCAAATCCCCCATTCCCGGAGAACACTAACGGACTCAGAAAGATCCGCGCGCTCTTTCTTTTCTTTCCCCCGTTATGCTTCTGCGGCGCGGTTTTTCGCCGAGCTCTGTCGCTTGCTTTCTTGCGGCCGCGTTGCGTGGAGGCCATTTTGAGATTTTGCCTTGAGGCCTAAAGTCCTTGAGCAAAGCCTGCAGCGGTTGCTGCTGGGTTACACATAACAAAATAATCCATTTGGCAGGCTTTTAAAGTTTGCTTTGTTGACTAAATCGAGAATTCTGCTCTCGAAGCACCCGCATTTAATGGTAAACTTTGGAGAGAGTTCCTGTTATCAGTAATAAGATAACTTGCCTGATCTAAGAAGGCCATTGAGAGTGTCACGGGATCCTCCCCCTGGTGCTTTCCCAGTAAAAGTGCAACGTTGAGCCAATATTTGGATAACGTTCGAACGTTGGCCCAATGTTTGCATGCTTACTGGTTTGTGGTCTAAGAAAGTGGTTGAATTCAAAGCTTTTCAATGCACCTCCTTCTTCATGACAAAACTCACATGGCCGCCGGCACCCGACGCGATTTGCCTGGTGTCCGATTTTTGCTCAAACTCTGGGTCATCTTGTGGTCCATACGGGCCAGGCCGTAACAACTTCCCTATCAAACAGCCAGGGTGACTGTCTCTGAGATTCAAAAAACCAGGGACGACGTATCGTGGAGAGAGGAGGAAAAAAACTCCCACTAGCAAGAAGAGGGAAGCCCCCCTTTGCACGTCGACGCATTGTTTTGAGTGATGCAAGATTCCAAGTTTTAAGATAAAATTATTTGTTTTAGGCGAACTTGAGAGACCTGCCGGTAAACATTGGATGTTGGGCGAACGTTGGGCCCACAATTCCAACCACGTGCCAACGTTGGCCCAATGTTGTGTGTTTACTGGACTGGGCCAGAGGATGTACACACGTTGATCTTCTTTCGTACCATTCCTCGCCGACCGTGCTAAACCGTGCAATTCGGATCGTCGTTCTTTTTTGCGAGCCTTGTCGCGTCTTTTTGTCGACTTGTTACCGTTATTGTAGCCGCCAGAGAGGCTCTTTAACGAGACGGACGGATCTCACCCAGGATAGTCTGCTGCCTCAACAACAACAACAAGAGGAATGATCCTGGACAATAACTAAATTGAGACGGGTGGCGGCAACATCTAAGCCCCCTAAAGAGTTTTCACGTCAACAGCAATTCCCCCTCCCCCGCCTCTGCTGTTTGAAACTCGATGAGCCGGCTGTCATTGAGCGAGGTGACCCCCCCCCCCCCAAAAGTTGCATGGCAAAAAATCGGATGCTCGTGCATTTCGCATGTAGTTGTAGCGATTACGGACGCATGTGTATTGCTGTTGCAGCAGTTGTGTGTGCGCGTGGTGTGTGGTTTGTGTTGTATGTACATACGTACACACCCGGATGCTGTTTGAACGGTTAACTCTCAATTATCCGGCGGGGAGGTAAGCCAAGCTGGGCTACTAACAACAAAGATGCGGACACATGCAAGATGTTCGTAAATTGGGGCACAAAACGCATTTGTTTTGCTTAGCTTCGATAGAACGGGGGCAGAGAAGGGGGTGGTGATAACGACGCGTAAGCGTGTCCGTTGCTTCTTGGAGTTGGTTGGATCACTCGCCCCCCAACAACGACGTCAGACCACGTGATCACGGCCTGACCCAAACGTGCGTCATCGTTGAGAAGCATCCACCACCCGACAAGAGTGAAATTAGTTAAATCATCACGTTTTGTCACGAGCGTTTAAACGACGCACCAACGACGACGATTATTATAATAATTTAAAGTAATAAAGGGGATTTCTTTTTGGGTTAGACCGCGTAAATATAGATGTGTTGTTAAACCCGCCCACCACCCAACACAGCCAATTAGTAAAGGGTTTGTCACGTAAACAAAACACCTGGCAATTCGTTACTAATTCAGCACACACCGGTGTGTTGAAGAGTAAGCCCACGACATTTGTATTCACGCGATCCAACCCGGGTGGTAAACTGAATATTCCGACTTCCGGGACTCTGCCCTGCAGATGCACAATGCAGCATCAAGCGAAACGCCGCACGTGCATGCGTGTTACTGCCGCCACATTCGGCCACGCGAATTGTCTCCTTCTTCAACGACGGACACACATTTGGCCCGGTCGCAATGACGCACGCGGTGGCCCGAGCCCAAGAATGTAAACTGCGACTCAATTGGCGCCCTGGAATTATAACTCCCACCCAACGCGGATAATCGAGTGTTAGACCGTGAAACTCTCCTCTCTGCAGCGTATCGGAACGTCACGATATGTAGACTGCTCTCGTGTTAACCGGACGGTGGTGGCGGCGGCGGCTCCGCACGGCCTCCCCAGTCCAGCGTGGCGGAGGTGGCGAGGGTTTGTGGATCACGAGCCGATGTCGGGAAAGTTCCCCTTCCCCGTGTTGGGCCTCGAGGGAGGAGGCAGTCGAGCAACGTGTGGACCAATCTCCATCTGTTCCTTCTGTGCGGGTATAGAGCGTTGCCCCCCTCCTCCCTCGCCTCTCACGCAAGGCGTGGGGCTTTCTCCGGGTGCTCCGCTTCCCTGCCGCGTGAATGATAAATATAAACGCAGCTCATCATAGACTTGTCGAAAAAAACATCGTGAAAATCTAGACCCAATGTAGCAGGACCCTCTCAAAAAGGAGTCCTTGGGCTGATTGTGGCCTTTCCTTGATATACAATTAATCATTGTCATATTAAATTGACCTCGCAGCACAGTCCGTCATTTCAGCATGAAGTAACGTTGCTTCTCTGCCACCAATTCCTATCGGCAGCCCGCCACCACCCCCCTTCACCCCCGACGGCCAAGAGTGTCGATTCCACGTTAGCGTGCCAGGTGCCAGCACAGTCCACGAAACAAGCGCGAGTGTTTGGCCAGCGCGCCAAAGTGGCCGTCGTTTTGGCTGACCGCCGACGCCGGAGACGGTGGGCCAGTTGAGAGGAATTCGACTCAAGTTTCCCCAATTTGGAAGCGTCCCCGATGCACTTCGTGGTGTAACTGGAGGCACGAAAGCAGGCCGCAATATCGTCGGCGTTTAGCTACGCCGGAATGTTTCACGTAGTCGCGCGTGAAGGAATGAATAGGACCGGGTGCTCAATGTATTGCTGCATTTATTTATTGTACCAATGCGACTTGTCGCACTTAATCGGTTAAGATCCGTCAAGTGTTTTTATCGTTGTGTAAACTATGGCGTGTCCCATAAGTCTGCAGTCAGAGGAAAAAACAGCTATCTGTCATTGGCTCATGGTCTGGATGCAGTCTGTTAAATTCAACAGCGACGTCCCTCTGACTCCGATTTTCTACGAGTAGAATTATCTGGACTCGTTCTTCCTTACTTGGAGACATCTTGGACCTGCAGAAACAAAAACGTATGAATGCGTTATTTTCCCCTATGATTCCAGACTTATGGGCCACCCTGTATAACCACTTGCAGAGCTCTTGATCAATCCACTGCTGGATGGAGGCCTTCCCGAGGCGCGGCCGTCGTGGTGGAGGTCGTTTGACCGTACTTCACCACGCTGGTCAGTGCGGGCTGCGTGAAGGGGTGGGGTTCGACCACGCTCATCGGCACCACGGGAGACAGCCTCCTCCATCCAGCAGTGGATAGATTGCGGCTCGCGGCGACGCGACGATTGAAAGTTCCTGTGAACGTTGTTGCGACGTCGCACGCCGTCGCTTAGTTAACTCATCCGAGCCAAACGCTCCGTGACGTGCGACGTGGCACCTCTCCTGACTTGATCCCCCCACCTCCCCCCCTCCCTCCCTCACCTCCCCCACCACCTCCCCCCCACCTCCCCGCAGAGGCCCAGCGCCAGCCGTACTGGGCCAGCTACTCACGCCCGCGTCTGCTCATCCACAAGATGTGCACCGCCCACTACCTGGACCTCTTCATCTCCATCATCATCGGCCTCAACGTCGTCACCATGTCCATCGAGCACTACGCACAGCCCAAGGTGGGGGAGGGGGGGGCGGTGGGGTTAAGCGGGGGGTTGGGCCTGTTCCCTTGTTGATCTTGTGGCGGAGATGTTAACGACTTCACCTGGTATGCAGGAGGTCGTGGCTTCGTTCCCCATCCTGACGCCTGTTTTATATTTGGAGTTTGCGTGTCTCTCTCCCCTTGGCTGCGTGGATTTTTCTCTGGGTCCTCTGCCTTCTCCCTCCACGTTTAAAATCACTGTGATAAGCCACTTCGTTGAGCTATCATTTGTGGCCAGGTTGCTTCTGATAAAGAACTACATAGCTCGGTGGGGCCTCACCTGGCAAAATAAAAAAAATCTTTTCAGTTAATCGTATCTGCCTGCGATGCACCGCTACTGTGGAGGCAACAGCGAGGGTTGGTGTAATCATCGCCATGCCCATGTCTTTTCACGTGTGTGTGTGGTTGTGTCGACTCAGCCTCAAATGAGCACCTGGTGCGGTGTGTAAACATCGCCAGTGGGAAGACAAAGGCGGTCGGGCGTGGTGCTGGCCACCCACCCCCTCGTGTGCCGTTCCGGCCTTCATAGGTGCTCGCCAACAGCACTTGCCCCTGCAGTCTGCTAAGGCAACACGGGGGATCTTTGTGCGCGTTACTGGAGTTAGGAGCGGCGGTGCAGCGGTGAGCGCGCTATGCTACGAACCCAGCTACGACCCGAGTTCGATTCCCGCTCACGGCCACCTGCACCGGTGACGATGATCAGAACCGGGTCATGAGCCTCCCCTTGGTCGACTCAGCCTCAAACGAGTACCCGGTGTAGCGGTGCGAAGTCAAATCGCCACGGGGGGGTGGGGATGGGGAGACAAAGGCGGCCGGCCTTCGTAGGTGCGACGACTCGCTGGCAGCGCGTGGCCCCAACAAACTCTGACAGGCGACACGGTGGGTGGGTGTCGGGGGTCAAAAATGTCTTCGTCCCCTTGTGGGGTCCCCGCAGGCTCTGGACCGGGCCCTCAAGTACTGCAACTACGTCTTCACCGTCGTCTTCGTGCTCGAGGCCGTGCTCAAGCTCATCGCCCTCGGCTTTCGGCGGTTTTTCAAGGAGAGGTACGGAGTGTCCGTCGACGCGACCAGTAGTGCGTCTGCGCGTGTGCGTGCGCGCGTGCGTGTTGGTGCTTGTGTGCATGCGGGTGTGTGCACGTGTGGGTGTGTGCGTGTTGGTGTGAGTGCGTGTGTTGGTACGTGTGTGCGTGTGAGAGTGTGCATGTGTGTGCGTGTGAGAGTGTGCATGCGTGTGCATGCGTATGCATGCGCGTGTGTGCGTGTGCATTTGTGTGCGCGTGTGGGTGTGTATGCGTGTTGGTGCGTGCGTGTGAGAGTGTGTGTGTGTGCGTGTGCACGCGCATTCCACAGCCGGTTATAATCGTTGCACTCGCACTGCCCGAGCATTTGTGCGGCACACTAGCGGCCGGGGTGGAGGGTCGGTTTTGGTGGGTGGCGACGCACGACCCGGGCTAGAGGATGCGGGTGATGTGTCTTGCGCGGATGTGCGGTGAGATGACATGCCAGCCAGCCAGCAAAACTTTTATCACATATATATCAACTGTGATGAAAACTAAGAACATGTTTTACCCTTTCTGGCAATAAAACGGGACTTGTGTTAAGATGTTCAAACACCAACTAGATGATGATACCTGCTGCAAGACGTCAAGTTACTGCATTAACCGCACACACTACTTGTGCCGAAACATGCAAACAACACGTGGCTCTGATAATTCACTACGTAACACGATTTTTGTTCCTGGGTAGTTTTATTTTCCAATTGCTTTTGCCTCAAAAGTATATAAAATGGCTATTATTCCCCACAAACGTTGCTCTTGTGACGAGGACTTTGTGTGAAGGAATGACACAATTGCACACGTTTTCTCATTGAAAATAGGTACCTTTCAACATATCACTGTCCTGGTCACAAAAGCAAAGTTTGTGGGGAATAATAGCCACTTTCTGTACTGTTTGAGGCATAAGCAATTAGGAAATAACACGTAATATCCAGGAACAATAAATAAATTTGTTACACAGTGATAATCTATGATGCACCAGAGACAGCGGCCTTCTGTATGGCCTCGTCTCACCACCAGACCAGCGAACAACGCAAACATGTGAACAGTACAAAAACAACGCAATTATCAGAACACTTTTAGCTGGGGTCGAGCAGCGACATCTATGGGATACCTTGTTGACTTGATGCCATGCAAAATGTATCATCTATTTGGTGTTTGAACATCTTAACACAACTTCCGTTTCATTGCCAGAAAGGGGTAGAACCCATCCTGAGTTTCATCATTTTGGATACTGCCAAAAAGGTCCCCCATAGACCGATAGAGTCGGATCATCATTTGTGACAAACACAGTCTTTCCCTGCTCCCACCCCTTCTACCCTCCCACTCCCCCTCTTCTGCCCCCCCCCACTCCCCCGACGCGCCCTGCGGTGCCTGCCAGGTGGAACCAGCTGGACGTGGCCATCGTCCTTCTGTCCATCATGGGCATCACGCTGGAGGAGATTGAGATCAACGCCTCGCTGCCCATCAACCCGACCATCATCCGCATCATGAGGGTGCTGCGCATCGCCCGGGGTAATCGCGCCCGCCCGGTCTCCCGCCCCTCCGGCCTCCCGCCCCTCCGGCCCCTCGGCCCGATCCCGATTGTGTCGATCCCGTGGAGGATGGAAGCCGAGCAATGTGGCGGCGTTGGGACTCGCTGCCCCGGCGTTCGTCTGGTCACCGCGTGTAGATTGCGCTCCGCGCCTTCGCCGGTGTTGTTTGTTTGTTGTCCGCTTTCCGTTGTTCTTGTTTGAGTCCCCCCTCCCTTCTCTGTCTCCCCCTCTCTGCGGCGCCAGTGCTCAAGCTGCTGAAGATGGCGACGGGAATGCGAGCGCTGCTCGACACCGTCATGCAAGCCCTGCCGCAGGTGAGGTGCGACGTCCGTCGTCCGACTCGTCTTCTTGTCTAACTCCGACCAGTCTAGGTGCAAGTAACAGGCGTAATCGTCACTTTTCGTAATATAAACTATAAACAACTATAAACTGTATTCTATGGTTCTTTCGGTAAAGTCACGTAGATAGAAAAATAATAACAATAAAATAATACAAATGAAAATTAAAATAAAGTGAATAAAAAATAATAATAAAAACATAATGTTTCGATCGCAACACAAGCTTTCGTCAACAGGAACAGGGAGGTTAGCCTCTGAGGGCAAGCTGTTCGTAAAGGTTTAGAGATGGGTGTGGCAGCTAATATTAACATGCCAATCCGTGACTAGTTCAGCGCACCGGTGCGCTGGAGAGTAAACTCGACACATATTTATATTCACGTGATCTAACCCAAAAATACTGGTCATGAAAACTCTACTGCTTCGTGTTCAGCAGCCCCGCCGTGACCAGAATGTCAGCGTGAGCCGCGTGCACGGTAAAGTCCTTGCTCTACGCCGGTTCGGTTAGCCGTGCGATTTTGGCCGGCTGAGCCTGCGTGCGCGGCCTCACCGAAATCTACCCAAAAGTCGCTACACCACGGGTTTCAATACACTCGGGTGCGGCTGTGTGGCCGGACGTAGGACAATGCTGTGCATGTGTGTGTGCATGTGAGTGTATGTGTGTGTGCGTGTGCGTGCATGTGCGGGCATGTGTGTGTGCGTGTGTCCGGAAAAAATAAACCCATAACTCCTCGTGGTGCCGGACGGCAACGCTGTGGTGGGTAGTGCCGTGGGGGGAGGGCCAATTTAAATTGGCCTTTACCCTCATGACGTTTGTAACCACCACAGCGGCCAAATGGGGGCTCTGGACGGGTGAGAGGGGCTGGTAACCCCTCCACCCTCAATTAATAACCAACAAACCACGACTGAAAAGTGTAAGTATTACGCTTGTGCTGGAGGCCCCGGGAGGACAGGCGTCTATGACGTCTCCTGGCCAAACCCCTTTTGGCGGAGCAAGAAGACTGAACCCTTAGCCCCGGGGCTCCTCCAGAAACAACAAAAACGCTCACTGCGGAGGAGAGGCTGCCACTCCTCTGTCGGGAGCTGGACAGGTACCGCCTGCATCTCTGTGGCATTCAGAAGGTCCGGTGGACCGGCTCTGGCTCCTGCCACCATGAGGGGTGGAAAGTCCTCTACTCGGGGCAGGAGACTACCAAACAACAGGGAGCGGCTCTTCTTCTGAACAAAATAATTAAGGGGGTGTGGGAGCGTGGCGGTGAGGTGTGGGAAGCTGTAAGCTCCAGGCTACTTTGGGCTCGTCTTCCCATCAACCGGAGGTCAGGAGTGGTGGTCGTGGTTACTTATGCCCCCACCGAAGACGAACATCTGTGGAGGGATGCAGGCAAGGCCGATGAGTCAGATGCCTTTTATGACCTCCTGTCACAGGTGCTAGCTCAAGTGGCCCCTCGGGATAGTCATCTTGTTGGGTGACTTCAATGCCCGAGTTGGTCATGATGCTGGCACCTGGTCTGGAGTTATTTGAAGGCATGGGCCAGATCAGCTCCATAACAATGGTAGGAGGCGGTTAGATTTTTGTGCAGCCCATGGGCTTGTAATTACCAACACGCTAGTTCCGGCATCGGCACATCCACACAACATCATGGATGCATGCCGGGTCCAAGCAAGAACATCTGCTGGACTACATAGTGATGGAACAGCGGATGCGGGCCCATGTCCTTCACACCAGGACCTACCGTGGAGCTGATGTGCCCTCTGACAATCGACTTGCCATCTGTAAGATGCGCCTGCCATTCTTCCAATCTGGTGGTGGATGTACACCCAGGACCCCATTCCAACCTAAGGTGGCCTGGACTCAGGTAGCTTATGAAAGTTGTAAGCGAGAATTTAATCATCGCTTGTGGCTGGGGTTGACATCGTCTCCCACTCCTCCAGATGTCGAGAGTAAATGGGCGGGGTTTAGGACTGTGACTCAAGCAGCTGCAATGGCTGCTTTGGGTATGCGGTCCAGACCTCCCCAGAGACCCTGGCTGACAGAGGAGGTGTTCAGGATAGTTGAGAAAAAGCAACAGGCCCACTCTCATCGGCTACAGCATCCCACGTCAGAGAATGAGGAGGCCTTTGCTCGGAGGTTCGGAGAGCCACTATGGGAACCTCATTTGCCAGTAAAAATATGATAATTGGTTCTTTACCCTTCTATCTGACAACAAAACTGACAAAAAAGGTGTCAGTTTTGTTGCCAGATAGAAGGGTAAAGAACCAATTATCGTTCGGAGAGCCGTGAGGCGCTGCAAGGATGGGTGGTGGTCGCGGTTTGCTGAGGAGATGGAGTCTGCCTCAATGGCCCACGATCACAAATCCCTATTTAACTCCATCAAAAAAGTAACCTGCAGCACCACACCTATTACCATCATTAGGGGAAAAAACGGTGATCCAATCTCCGACCCCCAGGAACAGGTTTGCAGATTTGCTGAGCATTTCTATGAAGTCCTGGGGGAGGGGAAATCCCTCTACATGGAAAACATCGTGGGACAAAGTGGGGATAACCCTGCTGAGGCTGCGGTGCCTCAAATATCGGAGGAGGAAGTCACCCCCTGTGAATGGCTGGTTGAAGTGCTATCTGTTGAGGAAGTACTAACGGCGATCCAGAATTTGAGACCAGGAAAGGAACTGGGCAGAGATGATCTCCCAAGTGAAATGCTGAGGGAGGGTGGCGTTTGTGCACAGACTGCCCTACATGACTTCATAACAACAGTCTGGACCACTGGACGGGTTCCACAGGATTGAAAGGATGCCCTTGTGGTCCCCCTCTTTAAGAAGAGGGACCGCACAGACTGTAACAACTACAGTGGCATCTCACTCCTCAGTGTGCCGGGAAAGGTCGTGGCAAGGGTTATTCAACATCGCCTTGCCAGGCACGCTGAGGAGAGGCTTGCGGAGCCTCTATGTGGTTTCAGGAAAGGGCGGTCCTGCACAGATGCCATATTTTCTGTCCTTTTGCTACAGCAGAGGTGTAGGGAATTCCAACAAGACCAACATATCTGCTTTATTTACCTGGTCAAGGCCTATGATACCATCAGTAGGCCTGGGCTCTAGGTTGTTCATTGTGCTTTCAGAGTCCCTGACCTTCTGCTCACGATCATGAAGGACCTTCATGATGGTGAGCAGGCCCGGGTAAAACTACGTGGCCGGGAGTCGGAGTCATTCCCTGTTCACCTTGGGGTGCGACAGGGATGTCCTCTGGCTCCAACATTATTTAACATATTCTTCGACCACGTAGTCAGTGAAACCATTGATGGCTGTACCAGAGGAATTTCCATCTGGTACATTTACAATGGGAGGCTGATCGATGCCCGGGTGCGGTCAAGGGATGGCTCCCTATTGGTCAACCATGTTATGTATGCCGATGATCTGGTAATTGCCGCTCACTCAGAGGAGGAGTTGGAGGCACTGATGCTGAACCTGGAGCGTGCCACAAAGAGGTGGGGACTTACCATCAGCCCACCAAGACGAAGCAACCCACCCACACAACTCCCAATCCGTGATGGGGCAGTCGTGGAGAGAGTGGAGAGTTTCCCATACCTTGCCAGTGTGCTCATGACCTGCTCCGGTTTAACAGCAGAGGTCTCACTCCGAATCAGACGAGCGGCATTATCTTTTCATCGGCTGCGTAATGCTGTGTGGAAGCTACCTGGTCTGTCACTCTGCACGAGGCTTCAAGTCTTCTCGGCCACGATCATTCCATCCCTTCTCTACGCTTGCGAAACGTGGACCCCCCTAATGGAGCATCTTCGCAGATTGGAAACATTTAGGCTGGCCTGCCTACAATCCATCCTGGGTTTAACCAGGCTGGATTGTGTGAGGAGCTCACAAATCCTAGAAAGGTCTGGGCAAAGTCCAATCGGTGAGCTCCTCCGGCAGGCAAGGCTGCGTTGGCTGGGTCATGTCGCCAGCATGCCCAGGCACCACATGCCTAAACAGCTTTTGTTCGGCCGGATCAAGGGGGCTATGCAGGTGCGGCACGGGCTAGAGAAGAGATGGAGTGACGTGGTACAGGAGGATTTGGAGCTGAGTGGACTTGCCGATAACTGGTACCAGCGGTGTCAAGTTCGGCCTCTGTGGAGGAGCCTCGTGAAGGACGCTGCTGGGCAGTTGGAGGCAGTCGCCCTCTAACAACAACGGAGGGCGGAGGAGCGACGCTCACAACAACGAGCGGAGCGCCGGGTGGATAAAGCACAGCAAGTTGGCACAGTAGGGAGCACAGGTGGTGCATCAGCTAGTCATCTCAGTCATCTCAGTCAGTCGACCCGTGGCACCTGGGTCTGCCCCATGACCTCCTGCCAGCGGGCGTTCGACACTTCACGTGGCCTCAAGGTGCACATAGCCTGGCACAAGCGTCGTGGTGACGTCACAGCCACTTAGTGGCGAATGACGGTTGTTGTTGTGGGGGACAGTAGAGTAGCGATTAGCGTGCTGCGCTACGAACCTAGCGACCCAGGTTCGATTCCTACTCCCGGCCAACACCAGTGACGATTATCTGAACCGGTCCTGGGCCTCCCCTAGGTCGACTCATTTGAAGCTGAGTACCTAGTGCGATGTGTGAGCATCGCCAATCGGGAGACAAAAGCGGCCGGGCGTGGTGCTGGCCACCCACCCCCTAGTGTGCAGTGCCGGCCTTCATAGGTGCTCGCTAACAGCACTTGCCCCAACAGTCTGTTAAGGCCATACATGGGATCTTTGTCTGTGTGTGCGTGCTCGGCAGCTGTTTCACTCACAGAGATACACACACAGAGATACACACGGAGATACACACGGAGATACACACACAGAGATACACACGGAGATACACACGGAGATACACACGGAGATACACACAGAGATACAGCAGCAGTCGCCATTCGCCACAAAGTGTTTAACTGTTTTAAGGTCGTTAGCTGTTAATGTGTGTGAACATCTCAGACGCGCGGTTACTCCACAGATCGGATTAACCGCACGCGCATAGTCGCGAGGCTCCTGTAGAAGAAGATTGCCCCGCCGTAGCCGAGCCGAGCCTCACCCCCCAGGGACCTTGGGGGTGTGGAGGCCTTCATCCAGCAGTGGAGTAACCATGGCTGACTAAGACGAAGATGACGATGAGCTGTGTTCCCGCAGGTGGGGAACCTGGGCCTGCTCTTCATGCTGCTCTTCTTCATCTACGCGGCGCTGGGAGTGGAGCTCTTCGGGAGCCTGGGTGAGTGGTGGGGCCTGGGTGAGTGGTGGGTGAGTGGCGGGTGAGTGGCGGGTGAGTGGTGGGTGAGTGGCGGGTGAGTGGCAGGTGAGTGGTGGGTGAGTGGCAGGTGAGTGGCAAGGCCCGGGTGAGTGGTGGGTGAGTGGTGGGTGAGTGGTGGGTGAGTGGCGGGGCCTGGTGAGTGGTGGGTGAGTGGCGGGGCCTGGGTGAGTGGTGGGTGAGTGGCGGGTGAGTGGCGGGTGAGTGGCGGGTGAGTGGCGGGGCCTGGGTGAGTGGCGGGTGAGTGGCGGGGCCTGGGTGAGTGGTGGGTGAGTGGCGGGTGAGTGGCGGGTGAGTGGCGGGTGAGTGGTGGGCCTGGGTGAGTGGCGGCGCTTGTGGACAGGGAGGAGGGGGATGGAAGTTGCGCTCTGTCCGCTCGCTCTGTAACATCCGACAACATTTGCCGTCTTTACAACGGCGACAGTCGTCGTCGTCGTGGTTGTTGTTGTTGTGCTTGTTGTTGTTGTTGTGCTTGTTGTTGTTGTGCGTGCTGCTGCATTGACACGATGGTGCACAAAGCGGAGTCAGTGGAGAGAAGAAAACTCCCCCCCCTCCTCTTCCTCCTTCCCTCCCTCCCCTCACCTCCCCTCACCTCCCTCTCCTCCCCTCCCTCTCCCCCAGTGTCACAGAGTGCATCAAGCACGCGTGCGAGGGCCTGGGGAGGCACGCGACCTTCAAGAACTTTGGGATGGCCTTCCTGACGCTCTTCCGTGTCTCCACGGGCGACAACTGGAATGGGATCATGAAGGTGAGCCGCGGGGTTTTCCTCAACGCGCCCCTCACGCCACGCCAGCCGGTCATTGAAACAAAAATAAAACAATTGGCCATTAAAACTGTTACAAATAATTACTTTTGAACATTTCTTTAGCGGGTCAGGCCCCACTGAGCTGTGTTGCTCTTTCATTTTAAGAAGTGACCCCGGCCACCGCTCACCCAAAAGTGGCTGATCGCGTCGATTCGAAAACGTGGAGGGTAAAACTGGAGGACCCCGTATAAAAATCCACGCGACGCCCACGGAACGAGAGACACCACAAACTCCAAATATACAGCAGCAGGCGTCAGGGTTGGGATCGAATCCACGACCTCCTGTAGACCAGGTGAGGTAGTTAACCTACCGGCGAGCTTTCGACACTTCACGTGGCCTCGGAGTGCACCGAGCCTGGCACAAACGCCGTGCTGACGTCGCCGCCACTTAGTTTAGAATCATGTGGCTGCTATAAATGTTCACGTGATTCGCCGCCACTTCCGTTAGACCATCATTAGTGATAGCCAGAGCTGCTACATAGGCCCAGTGGGTCTCGCCTGGTGAAACAAAAGAACGAGCTGTACTAGTTCTAGTTTGGCCAGGTCGACGATGGCGTGTGCAGTTGTAAAGGAGACTCATTCCTGATGATCTCTACTCAGTCACTCCGTCCAGCCGACTGAAGCAGCGAGCTTGCCCTGCTGCCGTGCTACTGCACCCCCCCCCCACCACCTCTCTACTCCCCTAGCCCAGCATCATCACCATCACTACCCCTATCACTACCCCTATCACTACCCCTATCACTATCACTATCCCAACCCCTACCACTACCCCAACCCTTATTACCACCCCGAACACGAACCCTATCACTACCTCTATCACTACTTCAACCCCTACCACTACCCCAACCCCTATTACCACCCCGAACACTACCTTGTATCATTACCCCAACCCCTATTACCACCCCTGTCACTACCCCTATCACTCCCCCTATCACCACCTCGACCACTACCCCAACCCCTATCACTATCCCAACCCCTATCACTACCCCAACCCCTATCATTACCCCAACCCCGATCACTACCCTATTCCCTATCACCACCCCTGTCTCTACTCCAACCCCTCCTTAACAACTTCCCACCTGTCCCCGTCACCGTATCTCGACCGGCGCGCACAGTCGTACGGTCGCAAGGTCGTAGGGTCGCACGGTCATACGGTCGCACGGTCGTACGGTCGTACGGCGCGTACGGTCGTACGCGCCGATCGTGCGATTGGACGATTGCCGTAAAAAGCGCCCCGGCAGTTCGCCGCCGGCCGGTGTAAAGCCTTAGACGGGACGATGGCGCGGACACACAGAGAGTCGCCCAACTCCCCGCCGCAGGACACGCTGCGGGAGTGCGCGCCGGAGGAGGACGGCGGTCAGGAGGGCGGCGGCGGCGGCGAGAGCTGCTGCTGCCACAACACGCTCGTGTCGCCGCTCTACTTCGTCACGTTCGTGCTCGCCGCCCAGTTCGTGCTCGTCAACGTCGTGGTGGCCGTCCTCATGAAGCACCTGGAGGAGAGCAACAAGGAGGCGCGCGAGGACGCCGAGCTCGACGCGCAGGTGCGGGCGCCGTGGCGACGACGACGATCGTGTGATGATGACGACGATGATGATGACGACGATGATGATGATGATGATGGGTCGACGGTCGTGTTGGAGTGACGGTGGTGGCTCGATGGCAGGTCCATGGTGGTAATTTTTCTCGGCAGGAGTTGCCACCCAAATGCGCCATAGTGGCGAGATGTTAACTTCCTCGCCTGGTCTACAGGAGGTCATGGGTTCGACCCCGACCCTGACGCCTGCTGCTGTATATTTGGAGTTTGCGGTGTCTCTCTCTCTCCCCGTGGTGGTCGCGTGGATTTTCCTCTGGGGTCCTCCATTTTATTCCCTCCACATTTAGAATCTACGTGGAGTTATTTGGCTGCTACAAATGTCCACACGACGACGTCGACGATGACTACGACGACAAGCCCCACTCCGTTGAGCAATCTTTCGTGATGGCCAAGTCGTCGCTTCAGAAAAAAAGCCACCGCACACCCCGGTGGGGGGGGGGGGGGGGGGGGCGGGCCCAGGCCCTCCTCACGCCTGCTAACAAGAAACAATCGTCGGTTACCTTTGCGCCCTCCACAGGTGGAGATGGAGATGGAATGGGCGCGCTACGGCGGAGACGGAGCCGAGTCCGGCGGCATCGGTCGCGATTCCGAGAGCGGGCGCTCGTTCGAGAGGTGCAGCCTGCGCCAGGACTCCCCGCTGCAGCGCCACCACACGCTGGTAGGACGCCGCCGCCGCCGACACCGTTGGCACCACCATCACGGCTGGGCTTCCGCGTTGAAGAGCTTCTTGGCTCGTCGGATTTTTCCGGGGGCGGGGTACAGATTCTGGCAGATATTCCTCCCCCCCCCACCCGCCTCAGTATAGCCTTAACAGACTGTTGGGGCAACTGCTGTTAACGAGTAGCAGCGGTGAAGGCCGGGACGACACACGAGGGGGTGGGTGGGTGGGTGGCCAGCGCCACGCCTGGTCGCCCTCATCTCCCCCCCACTTTAGCAATGTTTAGACACCGCACCAGGATTCGATTTAAAGCTTTCGTGACTGCAGGGATTCATCTTCTTGGTTCTTTCGGTAAAGTCACGTAGAAGGGAAATAATAAAATAATAAAAATAAAACATTAAAATACATTTCTCACGACGTTTTGGCCACAACGCAAGCAGCCATCATCAGGTGAAGAACAGGGCTGTCGGTACTCATTTGAGGCCGAGTCAACCTAGGTGAGGCCTAAAACTAGTTCAAATATACGCAAGTGTAAATGGTCATGAGCAGGAATCAAACTCGGGTGGCCAGATTTGTAGCGTTGTGCACTTACTACTGTGCCACCGCTCCCCACACACACTCAGTGTCTTGAGACTCGGCTCCAGGAGACCGGGTCTCAGGGTCTTGAGACTCGGCTTCAGGAGACCGGGTCTTAGAGTGTCGAGACTCGGCTCCAGGAGACCGGGTCTCAGCGTCTTGAGACTCGGCTCCAGGAGACCGGGTCTCAGTGTCTTGAGACTCGGCTCCAGGAGACCGGCTCCAGGAGACCGGGTCTCAGTGTCTTGAGACTCGGCTCCAGGAGACTGGGTCTCAGGGTCTTGAGACTCGGCTCCAGGAGACTGGGTCTCAGGGTCTTGAGACTCGGCTCCAGGAGACCGGGTCTCAGCGTCTTGAGACTCGGCTCCAGGAAACCGGGTCTCAGCGTCTTGAGACTCGGCTCCAGGAGACCGGGTCTCAGCGTCTTGAGACTCGGCTCCAGGAGACCGGGTCTCAGGGTCTTGAGATTCGGCGCCAGGAGACCGGGTCTCAGGGTCTTGAGACTCGGCTCCAGGAGACCGGGTCTCAGGGTCTTGAGACTTGGCGCCAGGAGACCGGGTCTCATTGTCTTGAGACTCGGCTCCAGGAGACCGGGTCTCAGGGTCTTGAGACTCAGCTCCAGGAGATCGGGTCTCAGTGTCTTGAGACTCGGCTCCAGGAGACCGGGTCTCAGGGTCTTGAGACTTGGCTCCAGGACACCGGGTCTCAGGGTCTTGAGACTTGGCTCCAGGAGACCGGGTCTAAGGGTCTTGAGACTCGGCTCCAGGAGACCGGGTCTCAGGTTCTTGAGACTTGGCTCCAGGAGACCGGGTCTCAGGGTCTTGAGACTCGGCTCCAGGACACCGGGTCTCAGGGTCTTGAGACTTGGCTCCAGGACACCGGGTCTCAGGGTCTTGAGACTCGGCTCCAGGACACCGGGTCTCAGGGTCTTGAGACTCGGCTCCAGGACACCGGGTCTCAGGGTCTTGAGACTTGGCTCCAGGACACCGGGTCTCAGTGTCTTGAGACTCGGCTCCAGGAGACCGGGTCTCAGGGTCTTGAGACTCGGCTCCAGGAGATCGGGTCTCAGTGTCTTGAGACTCGGCTCCAGGAGACCGGGTCTCAGGGTCTTGAGACTTGGCTCCAGGACACCGGGTCTCAGGGTCTTGAGACTTGGCTCCTTGAGACCGGGTCTAAGGGTCTTGAGACTCGGCTCCAGGAGACCGGGTCTCAGGTTCTTGAGACTTGGCTCCAGGAGACCGGGTCTCAGGGTCTTGAGACTCGGCTCCAGGACACCGGGTCTCAGGGTCTTAAGACTTGGCTCCAGGAGACCGGGTCTCAGGGTCTTGAGACTCGGCTCCAGGACACCGGGTCTCAGGGTCTTGAGACTTGGCTCCAGGACACCGGGTCTCAGGGTCTTGAGACTCGGCTCCAGGACACCGGGTCTCAGGGTCTTGAGACTTGGCTCCAGGAGACCGGGTCTCAGGGTCTTGAGAATCGGCTCCAGGACACCGGGTCTCAGTGTCTTGAGACTCGGCTCCAGGAGACCGGCTCCAGGAGACCGGGTCTCAGTGTCTTGAGACTCGGCTCCAGGAGACTGGGTCTCAGGGTCTTGAGACTCGGCTCCAGGAGACTGGGTCTCAGGGTCTTGAGACTCGGCTCCAGGAGACCGGGTCTCAGCGTCTTGAGACTCGGCTCCAGGAAACCGGGTCTCAGCGTCTTGAGACTCGGCTCCAGGAGACCGGGTCTCAGCGTCTTGAGACTCGGCTCCAGGAGACCGGGTCTCAGGGTCTTGAGATTCGGCGCCAGGAGACCGGGTCTCAGGGCTTGAGACTCGGCTCCAGGAGACCGGGTCTCAGGGTCTTGAGACTTGGCGCCAGGAGACCGGGTCTCATTGTCTTGAGACTCGGCTCCAGGAGACCGGGTCTCAGGGTCTTGAGACTCAGCTCCAGGAGATCGGGTCTCAGTGTCTTGAGACTCGGCTCCAGGAGACCGGGTCTCAGGGTCTTGAGACTTGGCTCCAGGACACCGGGTCTCAGGGTCTTGAGACTTGGCTCCAGGAGACCGGGTCTAAGGGTCTTGAGACTCGGCTCCAGGAGACCGGGTCTCAGGTTCTTGAGACTTGGCTCCAGGAGACCGGGTCTCAGGGTCTTGAGACTCGGCTCCAGGACACCGGGTCTCAGGGTCTTGAGACTTGGCTCCAGGACACCGGGTCTCAGGGTCTTGAGACTCGGCTCCAGGACACCGGGTCTCAGGGTCTTGAGACTCGGCTCCAGGACACCGGGTCTCAGGGTCTTGAGACTTGGCTCCAGGACACCGGGTCTCAGTGTCTTGAGACTCGGCTCCAGGAGACCGGGTCTCAGGGTCTTGAGACTCGGCTCCAGGAGATCGGGTCTCAGTGTCTTGAGACTCGGCTCCAGGAGACCGGGTCTCAGGGTCTTGAGACTTGGCTCCAGGACACCGGGTCTCAGGGTCTTGAGACTTGGCTCCAGGAGACCGGGTCTAAGGGTCTTGAGACTCGGCTCCAGGAGACCGGGTCTCAGGTTCTTGAGACTTGGCTCCAGGAGACCGGGTCTCAGGGTCTTGAGACTCGGCTCCAGGACACCGGGTCTCAGGGTCTTAAGACTTGGCTCCAGGAGACCGGGTCTCAGGGTCTTGAGACTCGGCTCCAGGACACCGGGTCTCAGGGTCTTGAGACTTGGCTCCAGGACACCGGGTCTCAGGGTCTTGAGACTCGGCTCCAGGACACCGGGTCTCAGGGTCTTGAGACTTGGCTCCAGGAGACCGGGTCTCAGGGTCTTGAGAATCGGCTCCAGGACACCGGGTCTCAGGGTCTTGAGACTTGGCTCCAGGACACCGGGTCTCAGTGTCTTGAGACTCGGCTCCAGGAGATCGGGTCTCAGTGTCTTGAGACTCGGCTCCAGGAGACCGGGTCTCAGGGTCTTGAGACTCGGCTCCAGGACACCGGGTCTCAGTGTCTTGAGACTCGGCTCCAGGACACCGGGTCTCAGGGTCTTGAGACTCGGCTCCAGGAGACCGGGTCTCAGGGTCTTGAGACTCGGCTCCAGGACACCGGGTCTCAGGGTCTTGAGACTTGGCTCCAGGACACCGGGTCTCAGTGTCTTGAGACTCGGCTCCAGGAGATCGGGTCTCAGTGTCTTGAGACTCCGCTCCAGGAGACCAGGTCTCAGGGTCTTGAGACTCGGCTCCAGGACACCGGGTCTCAGTGTCTTGAGACTCGGCTCCAGGACACCGGGTCTCAGTGTCTTGAGACTCGGCTCCAGGAGACCAGGTCTCAGTGTCTTGAGACTTGGCTCCAGGACACCGGGTCTCAGTGTTTTGAGACTCGGCTCCAGGACACCGGGTCTCAGGGTCTTGAGACTCGGCTCCAGGAGACCGGGTCTCAGGGTCTTGAGACTCGGCTCCAGGAGACCGGGTCTCAGGGTCTTGAGACTCGGCTCCAGGAGACCGGGTCTCAGGGTCTTGAGACTCGGCTCCAGGAGACCGGATCTCAGGGTCTTGAGACTCGGCTCCAGGAGACCGGGTCTCCCCCGACACCAACGGTCGCCCGGCAAGAGGCCGGGGCAGCCAAGCAGCGGCCAGCCTCCCTCCGGCATCACCAATTCCCATTACCTGAGCTCACCTTGGTGTCTCTCCTTCTCTCTCTTTCCGCGTGTTTGTCTGTCTGTTTGTCTCTCTCCAACTCTGTGTGTCTGTGTCTATCCCTGTCTGTCTCTCGTCTCTCCACCTCATTCTCTCCAAGCGTACATCTGTCTGTCTCTCCGTGTCCCTCTCTCCCCTTGCGTCTCTCTCTCTCTCTTGCCCGTGAGTCTTCCTCTCCCCACGTGTCTCCACCCCCCCCCCTACCCCCCCCCCCCCCCCCCGCCGCCCATCTTCTCCTCTCGCTCGCTCTGTATAAGGAGAAAATGGGCTTCGACAATGTCTCGCTCATCGTCCAGGACTCGATGGAGGCGGAGCTGCTGATGATGGACAACATCTCGGGCTCCGTGTTCCACCACTACGCGACTCCGGTGCCCGAGAAGCGCGCCAACCACAAGCACGAGGTGACGCGTCGCCACCGCCGCCAGCGTGGCCATCACATCAGCATCCGCATCGTCATTGGTTGTCACCGGCATCATAGTCGCGGTGACCACCGTCGTGGTGACCACCGTCGTCGTGGTGACCACCGTCGCGGTGGTCATCACCATCGTCACGGTTGTTGGTACCAGTGGCGGCAGCGTCATCATCTTCAGCAACATCGCCATTGCCGTCATTACGAGCATTGCCCTCACCACCACCATCACCACCACCATCACCGTCACCACCACCATTGTCACCACCACCACCACTGTCACCGTCATCACCGCACCACCACCACTGTCACCACCCCCAAGCGTGACCGAGCGTGGGTGCCGTCTGCGTGGCTCAGATCCCCTTTGCGGAGATGGAGGCCATGTCTGTGACGTCGGATAAACTCTCCGAGAAGTCCTGGTCGCTCCCGCTCACTGACGACTCCTACCCAGACGTGGGGGGCACACGCACACCCCAGCCCGAGGTGCTCGCTGCTCACTCGCTCGCTCACCACTCACTCGCTCGCTCACCACTCACTCACTCGCTCACCAATCACACTCACTCACCACTCACTCTCACCCACTACTCACTCACAAATCACTCTCATCCATTACTCACTCACCAATCACTCACCCATTACTCACTCACCACTCACTCTCACCCACCACTCACCAATCACTGTCACTCACCACTCACCAATCACTCTCACCCACTACTCACCCACCACTCACTCACCAATCACTCTCACCCACCACTCACTCACCAATCATTGTCACTCACCACTCACCAATCACTCTCACCCACTACTCACCCACCACTCACTCACCAATCACTCTCACCCATTACTCACCCACCACTCTCACCTGCCACTCACTCATCCACCCACCCACCCCTCACCCACCCACTCACTCTCCAATCACCCTCACCCACCCATGCACCCACTCACACACCCCACACTCACCCACAACTCACTCACCAATCACTCTCACCCACCACCCACTCATCCTCCCACCCCTCACCCACTCACTCACCCACCGACTCACCCATCCACTCACTCACCAACTCACCCACCCACCCGCTCGCCCATTCACACGCTCATCGTTCACTCACACGCTTACCACGCATTCGCCAACACATCACATACTCAAGCCGTGCACGCGCGCTGTGTGTGTGTGTGAGCGCGTCAGTGTGTGGGCGAGTGATTGGGTGGTTAAGGGAGCAAGTGATAAGTTTCAGTCGGTGATTTTGTGAGCGAGCAAATTCATCGAGCATTCGGCGAGCTGGTGCACGACTTCACGGATGAGCCACGGCACTCGCTCGATCCAACGACTACACGAGTGACGCCGGCGATCCCAGTGCGGCTCCCGCTCAATGGCCAACATCTGAACTCGTCCTGGGCCTCCCCTAGATCGACTCGGCCTCAGATGAGCACCCGTTGCGGTGTTTAAACATCGCCAACGGGGGGGAGAGAAAAACGCGGCCGGGCCTCCCCCGTGCGCCGTGCCGGCCTTCGTAGGTTGCAGCTCGCCGTGACAGCGCTTGCCCATAACATGTCCGCTAAGAAGCCCACACGGGGGGGGGGGATCTTTGCCTTTTGCAGGGCTGCTGCGCGGAGGACGCCTCCTCCCCCTGCCCGGAAGCGGGCGACGCCGAAGGCGGCGGCCACCTGCTCTCCGTGCGGAAAGTGAGCATCGGGCGCACCCACTCGCTCCCCAACGACAGCTACATGTTCCGACCCGTCGACTCCGTCGCCGGCCCGCCACTGCCGCCCGATGCAGGGGGGGCGGCGGTCTTCGAGCCGACGACACCAGCAGCAGCAGCAGGTAACAAATACCCCCCCCCCCCACCACCATTCCGCATTCCGTTGGCAAGCAGCAAGGATGTCCGTGAGAGGTTAACTTATCGTTTTCACCAGTTTCTCCTAGTTTCAATCAGTTTGTACCAGTTTGTACTAGTTTCAACCAGTTTCAACTAGTTTCAACTAGTTTCAACCAGTTTCAACCAGTTTCTACCAGTTTCTACCAGTTTCAACCAGTTTCAACCAGTTTCAACCAGTTTCTACCAATTCCAACTAGTTTCAACCAGTTTCAACCAGTTTCAACCAGTTTCTACCAGTTTCAACCAGTTTCAACCAGTTTCTCTCCATGCGTCACGAGGGTTTACGTTCCGCAGAGATGCTCGTGAATAGGATATTTAGCGGGTCGTGATATTGGCCTACGAATGTCGTATAGCGCAACGTCTGCAGACGCTTCTAAAGCTTCGATACGTTCTCTTTCTCTATCATATCACTTTATCTCTCATCACTTTATCTATCATCGCTGATATCTCTCGTCACTTTATCTCTCATCACTTTCTCTCTTGTAACTTTATCTCTCATCGCTTTATCTCTCATTGCTGATATCTCTCGTCACTTTATCTCTCTTCACTTTATCTCTCATCGCTTTATCTCTCATCACTTTCTCTCTCGATGCAGCAGTCGTGTAGAGTTCCAAATGTGATTCGCGGGTTGCCAAAAATCGCAGCTAGCACGTTCATGCACAACGAGGGAACACCATAGTATTCACAATAATCACATGTACTTGTGACGCACATCCACCACCACCACTGCCGCACGGCGTTCACTCGTTGTTGTAGAGGCCCGAGGAACCACAAGCGAGAGGTGAGCTCCCGCCAAATCCCTCCCCGTCCAAGTTCTGCAGTCCCCTATCTATACGAAAGTGTTATAAACCAATGAATGAGTGTTTATGCCGTTGTGTCGCTACTACCGTGTGGGTGGTCACCGTTCCTAGTGAACTTCATTCAGCGATTCGCTCACGGGCGGGGCAGTTGTCATCTCCTTGTCACTCTTGTATCGCGTCGCGGTGGCTAGGAGATGTTACTCCCTCGCCTGGTGTACAGAAGGTCGTGGGTTCGATCCCGACCCTGATGCCTGCTGCTGTATAATTGGAGTTTGCGTGTCTCTCTCATTATCATCACGGTGGCTAGGAGATGTTAACTACCTCACCTGCTATACAGGAGGTCGTGGGTTCGATCCCGACCCTGATGCCTGCTGCTGTATAATTGGAGTTTGCGTGTCTCTCTCATCATCATCACGGTGGCGAGGAGATGTTAACTCCCTCGCCTGCTATACAGGAGGTCGTGGGTTTGATCCCCACCCTGATGCCTGCTATTGTATATTTGGAGTCTGCGTGTCTCTCTCATCATCATCACGGTGGCTAGGAGATGTTAACTCCCTCACCTGCTATACAGGAGTTCGTGGGTTCGATCCCCACCCTGATGCCTGCTGCTGTATATTTGGAGTTTGCGTGTCTCTCTCATCATCATCACGGTGGCGAGGAGATGTTAACTCCCTCACCTGCTATACAGGAGGTCATGGGTTCGATCCCCACCCTGATGCCTGCTGCTGTATATTTGGAGTTTGCGTGTCTCTCTCATCATCATCACGGTGGCGAGGAGATGTTAACTCCCTCACCTGCTATACAGGAGGTCATGGGTTCGATCCCCACCCTGATGCCTGCTGCTGTATATTTGGAGTTTGCGTGTCTCTCTCATCATCATCACGGTGGCGAGGAGATGTTAACTACCTTGCCTGCTATACAGGAGGTCATGGGTTCGATCCCCACCCTGGTGCCTGCTGCTGTATATTTGGAGTTTGCCTGTGTGGATTTATCGCCGGGTCTTCCGGGTTTTCCTCCACATTTAGAATCAACGTCGCGTGTTTAGAGTTATTTGGCTGCTCTAAACGTACACGTGGCGACGACGGTCGGCCCACTTTGTTGGGCTATCATTTGCTCCTGGAAAAAAGAGGCACTACATAAGCTCAGCGTGTGGGTGGGGGCCTTGCATCTGGTTACGATGAAAACAAAAATAGCGTTCAGTTTTGAAACAGTTCGGTTTCGTTGTGGCAACGTTTCCCACGAACCTCACCACCCCCCCCTCACCATCGCCTCCGTTCCCCCGCCCGCGTGTCGCCTCTCGCCCGCGCCGCTGCGTTTAGGCCCGAGGCTGCCGACTCAGCAGTCGCAGGCGGAGGCGGCCTCCTGCACCTTCCTCCAGCTGCCCCCTCCTCCGCCCTTCGCCGCCTTTCCCGCGCCGGCGCACGCGCAGGCGGCGGCGGGCGTGCCCCGGCTGCCCCCGCCGGCGCCCCCTCGCTCCCCCAGCTCCCAGAGGCTCCTGCGAAGACAGGTGAGGAACCCCCCATCATCGCGTGCTCGCCCGACGCGGATTCTCGGATCCATCCGCGCGGAGCTTCTTGCGGGCAGGTGGGACGAACTCCCCTCTTGAGATGGAGGGAGATCTCGGTTTACGAGGGTTATCACTGTGCGTACATACACGCACACGCACAAAGGCAAAGACCCCCCGTATAGCCATAACTGACTCTTGGGGCAAGTGCTGTGAGCGAGTAGCAGCACCGATGAAGACTGGCACAGTACACGAGGTGGTGGGTGGCCAGCACCATGCCCGGCCGTCTTTGTCTCCCAAGTGGCGATGTTTAGACACTGCACGAGGTACTCATTTGAGGCTGAGTAAACCTGGGGGAGGCCTAAGACGGGTTCAAACATACGCCAGTGTCAATGGTCATGAGCGGAATCGAACTCGGGTGGCCAGATTTCTAGCGTAGTGCACTAACCACTGTGCCACCGCTCCACACAAACTCAGAGTCTTGAGACTTGGCTCCAGGAGACTGGGTCTCAGCATCAGCGACTCCTCTGTTGCTTTATCCACGGCGGTGACGTGACGATCTGCCGTCACTTCAGTTTCTAGTCTAATCTCATCGCCCGATTCCCCGATTCCCTGATTCCCGCAGGCCGCGGTCCGAATGGACTCCATAGACGCCCCGACACTGGGCTCCAAAGACAGCCTCCTCTCCGCCACTCAAGACAGCCCTGTACACCACATCCCTCATCAGCAGCAGCAGCCACAACTGCCGCTGGCGCCGCCGCCGCCGCCACCGCCGCTCCCATCTCTGCGGCCGCCACCCACCGTGCCGAGGCCTCTGCCCCGACGGGCCGGGAGCGGCGGCGGCGGCGGCGGCGGCGCTGCGGCTAACGGGGCGGGGGGGCGGCTGAGCCGGGAGGGCTCGGACCCCAACGACGAGGAGGTGAGGAGGATCACGAGGGGCTCGGCGGCGTCGTCGGGCCGCGAGGTGAAGAAGTGCCACAGCGTGGACGACCGAGGGCTGCTCTCCGTGGCCGCGGCCGCGGCGGCCGCAGCAGCGGCGGCCGGGTCGAGTGCCGGGGCGGCGGGTTGCTGGTGGACGGACGACGCCAGGAGACACTCCATTGAGATCTGCCCCGAGGTTTGTGGCGAGGGAGGGCGCAGCAGCAGTCTGGCTCCGCGGTCCGGTGTAGTGTCGTGTGGTGTGGCGTGGCGTGGTGTACAGTGGCGTGGTGTGGCTTGTCTTGGAGTAGAGTGACATGGTGTGGAGTGGAGTGGAGGGGTGTGGCGTGGCGTGGTGTAGAGTGGCGTGGCGTGGTGTACAGTGGCGTGGCTTGTCTTGGAGTAGAGTGACGTGGTGTGGTGTGGAATGGAGTGGAGTGGAGGGGAGTGGCATGAGTTGAGCGTTGCTTGATTTTGTTGAGCCAGGGTGAGAACTCGAGTGACCGCGATGTATCTACTGTATGTTGAACTTCTTTCGCACCGTACGTAGCCAGTCGGCGGTCCGGGGGGCGGGAGTGGGGAGGACAACAAGCTAAACACAACAAGCAGTTCTAAATAAATTAGTTCGTCAATCTCGAGGATGATGATGATTTAAAACTGCATTATAGCTCCTAATGGCTTTCTAATATTGGAAGGAAGTAGCGTTCCAGACGGCCTCAGAAAGCGCCGCGCGATGCGGTGAACCGTTTCTGTTCGTCAGTTTAACACGAAGCAGCAGTAGGAGGAGAGGAGGCTTTTGCAACCGATATCATCCACAATATCGATCGCCTAAATTTCCGCGATCTAACCCAAAGAAAACCTACATCATGGCCTCTTTGTTCGATTGGTCGGCCAAAAAGCCGCCGCTGCGAGGATGGACCGGAGTCATCCTCGCAGCCTGCGCCGGCCCAGTTTGACGTGTCACGCGTGGCACGGGTGGTGTGTGTTGGCATAGTAGGGGGCACAGGTGGTGCTTTAGAGGCCACAAGCCGGTCATCTCCCCACGGCACGGCACCTGCAGGGTCCGCCCCGTGACCTCCTGCCATGCGGGGCGTTCGACACTTTCACGTGGCCTTGAAGTGCACACGGCCCGGCACGGGCGCCGCGGTGACGTCCACCGCCGCTTAGTGGCGAATGGCGGCTGCTGTTGTTGCTGGTAGTGGTGGTGTGTGTGTGTGTTAGACGAGATTTTGTTGAGGAAGCAGGAGAGGAGACTCGTTGGCCCGGCATCCGCCACGGCAACCAGAAACTTCGGTCCTAACGAGGTCCCGTTCCAGCTGGTTCCTGGGCAACCAGACTTGGGGTCCATCGATTAATTTGGCAGCTGCTGACGATGACGACGATTATTTTATCGTCGTTCATCGTTATCATTATCGTCATCATCATCATGCTCTTGTTGCATTGAACGGGTCGCATAACTTATGTGGAGTGCTCTTGCAAATATAAAAAAATCTGGCAAACCAGCGGCACATTCTTATTAAGCCGGAATCTGCTGACAACATTCCCAGAGAGTCAACGCCAGTCCCGAGGTGTGGACAAATGATGCTGCTGCTGGATCACGAATAAGAAGAAGAGGCTTAACCCTCGCTGGCAATCATACGGGAGGCGTGAAGATCATAGCTAACAACATCTCACCAGTGCCCTACCTTATTACAGACCATTTCAGATCTTATTGGTCACCGCGTGCCCCTTATACATCTCAACGTTCATCCTACAAAGCCCCATCACAAGGAAGAAACACGAACAAATAGACAAACATTATTATTCTTTTGCCCATATTGAAACGGCGTATGGGCTTGAAAACTCAATTTCCCTGTACAAGAATACGGGGTAAACCATGTGGGTTGACACGGGATAGAAGATGTTCAAACGGCAAATCGACACCGATCGGCAAGGCATCGGAAGTCTGCGTTAACCGCACGCTCGCATACTCATGGTGAAACGTGTAAACAAAGATGCATCCTTGGTTTTGCTTTATGTATAATAATTTATATTTAATAATTAATATATAAGAATTTATATTTCCTAATTCATATTTAATAATTAATATTTAATAATTATATTTCATAATTTATATTTCATAATTTATATTTCATAATTTATATTTCATAATTTCTGTGCAATCGTTGCATCACCGTGCTGTCTCTTGCCCTGGCTGCCTCCGCCCGCCCCCACCCCTGCCCCCCCTCACCCCCACCCCCCCACTCTACCCCCCCCCCACCCCCGCCCCCCCACTCTACCCCCCCACCCCACCCCCTCCACGGCCCCGTAGATGCAAACGCGAGCCGACCGTCGCGGTTCCCTGGCCCCCCTTGAGGGCAGACGCTCCCCGCGCCCCCCCCCACGCAAAGAAAAACTCAGCCCCCCCTGCATCTCCGTCGAGCCTCCGCCGTCGGAAACCTGCGGCGGCGGTAACGGCCAGGGCGGCGGCAGGCGGCAGCCCTCCGGCCACCATCGCCGGCTGCGCCACCACCCCTCGTCTCCGCCGACGCACCCCGTGCAGCGCCGAGTCGTCGCAAGACGGCGGCGGAGCCTCCGAGGAGTCCTGTAGGCCGCCGCCGCCCTCCTGCGCGCTGCTCCTGCCGCCGCCGGCGACGCCGCCGCCGCCGTCGTCGTCGGCGTCGTCGTCGTTCGGTTCCAATTCTTCGTCGTCGTCGTCGTCGTCTTCGTCGTCGCCGTCGCCGTTTTTCTTGGCCGTGCCGTGGTCCGAGAGCTCCCCGCGGCCTCCGGCGCAGGCTCCGGCCCAGGCCACGCCGAGGCCGCCCCTGCCCCCTCTCCCGGCGCCGCCGTTGCTGCCGCCGCCCCACAAGAGGCAGAAGCGGGGCGGGGCAGAGCGGCGGCCCGACGGAGCTGTCTCGCGACGACGCCGCACCGAGGGACGCGCCGCCCGCCGCCGCCGGCGCCAAGCACGGCGACGTGGCGCAGCAGCCGCTGCTGCTGCTGCCGCCGCCGCAGCCGCTGCTGCCGTCTCCGGCGGCGACGGCCTGCCCGCACGGGCGAATGCGGTCGCCGCTGATGAAGCAGAGGACGTTGGCGAAGCAGGACGAGCAGTAGGGACAAGACGCCTCGGACCTCGGGGGCGGCAGTACCGCGGGCCGGCGTCGACTTTGCCGGAGACGCGCGAGCGAGTGCGAGCGAGCGATCTGGTGCCGTCGAGGTTTTGTGTTGGGGGGTCCTGGCCGGTTGGGTGGGTGGATTGCCGCGCCTCTCTGAGCGAGCTCACGCCGTCTGCGCCGTAGCCACCGTGCCGGCAAAAGTTCGTGACCAGATTTCGGGCTGCCGTCAGATATTGCACCCAGGGTTGTCCCCTGCGTAGCGAAGTTGAACGTTGTTGTTGTTGTTGATTTTTATTTCAGCCCAATCGCCAATTTGATTCGAAAGGCTGCGACATTTGTTCTTTTGGTTTTAATCGGCTCGAGCCCACTCTCGTTTATCGATGAAATTGGGACGAGCCACCCTCCACTTCGCCGTGACGACGGAGCGCTCCGTGGAGGGAAGGAGGGGGGAGAGGAATGGGAGGGAGGGATGGAGGAGAGGGAGGGAGGCAGGAGAGGGAGGAAGGGAGGGAAGGAGGGAGGAGAGGGAGGAGAGGGAAGGGAGGGATGGAGGATAGGGGAGGGAGGGAGGGAAGAGAGGGAGGGAGGGAGGAGAGGCAGGGAGGCAGGGAGGGAGGGAAGAGAGGGAGGGATGCCTTATTGTCGAAAGCAAGACGGGCCTCTGCGCCGTTACCATCCACGGCAGTTTGCCCCCCATTTCAGGATGGCGCGAGGCTCTGCCGCAAATCGGAGATCCCGAAGGGGTTTACTTTTTTTGTTCCCCCCCCCCCCCCCGAGCCGCCATCCTCCTCCCGCTGCCTGCGACAACACGATGGCCGCGTTCCTCATTTCGCGTCTGCTGCGACCGATCGGCGTGTCCTCGACATTTACCCGGCTCAGTTAGGGGCGGGATTCCCGGTCAGTGTGCCGATGTTGGCTCCTGGTTGGGACCGTTGGACCAATGCTCCGTGTTTACTGGGGCACCCCAGTACATTAAATCCATGGTACCACGGTGAGAGGGAGACACGCAAACTCCAAATATACATTAGCAGGCGTCGTCAGGGTCGGGCTGGAACCACCGACCTCCTGTATACCAGGCGAGGTAGTCAACATCTCCGAGCCACCGTGGCGCCTGTCCACTCCGCGTTGTTCGTCTGGAGCCGCCGTGGCTTGCGCCACCGCCGTGGCAGCGGCGGCCTTTTGCACCCCATCCCGTGAGCTGCTCGAGACCAAATCGGCCTTGTGGGAGAAGAATACTCAAACATTGCCTCCGAGCGTTCTTAGCGCAGATGAGAGACGCACACACACACACACATATATATATTTACAAATGTATATTTGACAAAAGAGAACGCGTTTCCAATCGACGTCGAACTAATTTTCAATGTATTTTACCGCAGAGATCACGACACTAATAATTATTATTCGCGAAGGCGACGTTTTTTTGACTTGAGGCAGTCCCCCCACGGTAAGCGTGCAACACAGGGGCCCACGGTTAGCACGACGTTGGGGGAACGTTGGCGCGACGTCGGGGGAACGTTGGTCGTGCGACGGGCGAGCGTTGCTACGTTGGCACGCGGTGGGGGCTGGTTGGGGGTGGTGGTCAACAATCGCCGCGTCGCAGACACTTAACGAGGCAGGCACCGCTGAGATTTGGGGGGGAGCGTTTTTCGGTGTCTTTCAAAGCAGTCGGGGGGGTGGGGGTGTGGGGGGGTGGGGTGGGGGTGTGGGGGTGGGTGGGTTCATAATTGCCTTGGTCATACACACTGAGCTGCCTCCGCTGAGATCCTGGGTCCGCCCCCCCCCCCCCCCCCGGTCCAGGGATGTTTCTTTTGGTCGTCTCTCTCGCGAGCGGCCCGCCGGCTCATCGTGGCCGCGTCCGAGATGCCGACATTGGCCACTCGGTATGGGCTCGTAATGTGGCTTCGTGTGCGGTGTTAGCGAGAGGCGGTGTGGGAGCAGATCCTTAAATCACATATCAGATATATTTATCACATATTCGTGCGTTGAAGCAGTGTGTGTGTGTGCGCGCGTGTCGTGGTTACTACGCGTGCGTGCTATACAATTATGCAGGTACTTTCTGGAGTCACAAGTATACGGTTTTTAAATTGCGTGCACCTATATATATATTTGTGAGTACACGAGACTAAACACACTGCACGGTGCCGTATATGTGTGTGTGTATATACGTGCAACAGAAAATATGAAGTGCGTAACGCGGTGGCCTATGAGCAGAGTTGCTTCACTGATTACCACCAGGGCAATTTCTGCATCCAACCCCTGCCCCCCGTCCCCCTTTTGTTTTATTTTAGGCTGAGTCGACCTAGGGGAGGTACAGGCCGGGTCACTCATTCTAAAGGGTGGTGGTGGTGGGGGCGCGGGCAGGCCAAACGTTGCCAGTTTCAGGTGATATTTTTGAGGGACCTTATGAGCTCGGAAGCTCTCAAGTCGGGTTTGGCCGATTTAAAAATAAAATACCGTTTACCGTGACGGACGTGACACATCGGAGAGCAAGAAGTGAAAAATACAAATGATTCGAACGTAAAAAACAGCGATCTTTCACCGCCGCGCTCTGGGTAGCATGCCCATCGGTTATTTATTTTCTTTGGCTGCCCGCAGTCAGGACGATGCGCGGTCGCTGGCTCCCATTGGCTGCGAAGGAGGGGGGGGGGAAACGGTAAGAACCGATCGACAAGGACCCAGCGTGGGGCGAAACCGTCAACCGGTTACCCGTAGCGAGTTCGTCTCGGTACGTGGGGTCAAGCCCGAATGCGCGCGAACGGGACGACCCCGCGTACCGAGTTCGTCTCGGTACGCGTGCCCGGCGGCGTTACGTTCATTTCGAGAGAGGCCTAGTCGGAGGAAGAGGGAGGAGTGGCGCCGGTGTGGTTTCTTTTAAGGACGTCGTCGACACTCGGCGCAGAGAGCCGCAGCGAACGCGACCGCCGCCACTCTCCGATAGCCGGCGCCAAACACGGAGCCACGGCCGCCCCTCCGCGTGGCCTCGCCCCGGGAGCCTCGGCGAAGTCTTCTGAGCCGAAGTGGTGCAGGCAAAGATCCTCCGCGTCGGTTTTTGTTCCGGTTCCGTTCCGGTGACGCACAAACGTACGTTTGACACAACTCGTCGGAAACGGAATCCAAAGTGGAAACCGACGACGTACATGTACGTACGTGTACATGTCTGTATGCATGTGCACGTACGTACACGTACAGACACGTGCGTGCGTGTACGTGCGTCGGCGGAACGGTTAATGGGTTTACGTGTCCGAGGCTGACGTCTGCTCCTGTGAGCACTCGAGGGCAGATTTGTTACATACCAGCAGCCCCGTTTTGTCAATCCACTGCTGGACGAGTGGTCGGGCATTGCAGGACGGGAACGTATTTTAAATAACAAAAAAGAATCGCCACGTATTGAGGGCGCATGATTATCGGCGCATGAGGTGCGGGTCGGTGGCTAAAGCAGACGGAGTTACAAGCAAATTGCACTGCGAGAGAGAGAGAGAGAGTCTTGTTTATCTTGTCGAGATAAAACGAACAAAGTTTGTTTCTTGTGAGCGTGCGTGCAACTGACGAAGGGTTTCCACAGGTATTCTCTTACTTCCCAACTGATGCAGATCTCAGCGGTTGGCTGCCGGTCACTTAACCGCCCCCCCCCCTTTTGCCGCGCACCGTTTGTGAAGCTCTTGAGAGCAGGGGGGAAGTGTCAAATATCGGCGGTGTGTCGCTTAGAGCCGTGGTGTTGGCAGGTACAGACTCTCGACTATCCACGTGCGGTTTGTCCAATTTGCCGATTGACCACGGCACCTGAGATTTAGACGCGAATTACCAACTCGTGGATTTTCCCCTTAAGCCCAAATTAGTAATCTATAAAACAGTCATACAACGTTGTTATTCTCGGAAACGTTTATTGCAAGTCGCATCCTTTAACCGAAATCCACTTGAGATCGCCCCTACAGTACAGTAGTTGCCATAGCTTTACAACAGTGGGCGGAGTTTGATGTTGATTGGCGTGGCTCTGCTGCTGTCATTCATTTAGTGGGCCGAGTCTTCTGCTGGGTGGGAGCAGGAAAGTGTATCACTGATCTCGCGCATCGATCAGTCAATCGGTCGTTCGTTTTTGGCATCGAGATCCGTGGAAAATGGCCATTATTTGGATTGTCCGCAATTTTTACTGATCCGCGGGCTGTCATTTGCGTGGATAATCGATAGTTTACTGGGTAGCGCTTGCAGCGCTCACACCATGGTCCCCCCTATAGGTTGGGGCCTGGTTTGCAAAGTAACGGCTGGCGGCGGGTTAACTCCTCCTGATGTCGACGCCCCTTGACGGTTCATGCAGAGGAAGATTTTCTTGACACAAGCCTGGGTGCAAACCCCGAGGATGATTTCTAGCAGCCCCGATGCCTTATGCCGAAAAGGTAATCCATTTCTAATCACAGCACTCGTCTTCGTTGTCAGACGGAGGCGTCAGGCCTACGCCGAAATCCTGTCCCTAATTCGAGGTGCTAACTTGGAAGACAAGTAGAGCCCTGGCTCTGACTCGAAACACCAATACTTGGACCTTATGGCGAGACCCCGGGGTCCCGAATAAACCGAAGTCAAAATCGTAATTAATTAATAACTTTTTGGCGACTCCGTCCCACCTCGCACATAAACGCCGCGACCCACCAGATATCAATCTGCTCGTTCTTCACCAAGCACCCGTCGTTGCCAAAATTGGCGTAGTCATGAACAAAACTTTGAAACCTTGACTTAAAGCTTTCGTGACTGCAGGAATTCATATGCTTGGGTCTTTCGGTAAAGTCACGTCGATAGGTTCAAAGAAAATAACAAAAATAAAACTACGACGTTTCGATCGCAACACAAGCGGTCTTCGTGAAGGCGACCGCTTGTGTTGAGATCGAAACGTCCTGAAGACGACCATTTGCGTTGCGTTTGAAACGTCGTAGTTTTTTGTTATTTTCTTTGAACCTGTCTACGTGACTTTACCGAAAGACCCAAGAATATAAAACTTCGATTAGTGCATCGTGTAGAGCTCGTCGAGTAGAATCGATTGCCGTATCGTTCGCCTTCAACAGACATAAAATGACGTCGCAACGCAGTTCATGCAAGAGCCGGGGGCTTATGGGACAAGGGGGTACCGCCATAAGGTTCCTTGCGTAAGCCCTGAAGCACAGCTTCAAAATGGAGAACATCAATCCAGGAGGTC